GCATCAAAATGCAGTCCTATTGTTAGATGTATATTTCCATCTGTCTACATAAGCATCGGTATACATGTGATTGTATATAATATATACAAATTCTATATAGAGTTCATATCCACATATGCACATATTTATTTGCAAATATATATACTATATATTTACGCATCTCTATACAAATACATATAGTGATTTTTTTGCATTTGTGCATACTTCGCATATACTGTATGCAAAAGCACATATGGAAATTGTGTTGTCTTGTAGTATTATGCTTGAACTATGTTTACAACTATATTTAATATTATACATATATATACATATATATAGGAATATTGTTACATTTATACATGCGCATATGTCTATATTTAGTAATTATATGTATATATGTGTGAATTGCTGTTTCATTGAGTTTGTTGCATCCTTAGGGTTTAGGTCTTTTGGGTCTAGGGTTTTACTTTGATTCATATTTGGGCTTGCTTAGTTGAGCATTCATTGGTGGTTTTGGGGGTTTAGTCCTGATTTCGGGTGTACGTACAGCTCTTATTTGACGTGGTTGGTCTGCCTTTTCGTTTCTCATTGGCATTAATCAAAACGTTTCTTTTGGAATTTTTTCCTTTTTGCAATTTTCTTTTGCTTTCAAGACGAACTCGCCGGCGCCTACTATCATGTTCATTCTACTCTTGAATTGTTTTGTTAATTGCTTTTCTAATCGGCAGTTTATTTGCTTTTTTTGTTTTGCATCTTTTGCAGACTTGGGATTCCACATGCCCCACGCAGACTTCGTGGCGGGCGGCGTGGGGGCAAATGTGCTGGTAGTAGACTACAGGGGGTGAGGAGGCACAAATACAGGGAGCGGGGAGGATAAATCCACCAATGTCTTTAGTGTCATTATTCAATTCAGCTTTCAATTTGTTGGATTATCATGCACCATCTAATTGTTTCAGTTTGGCGTTTCTCGGCTTCTATTGCCACCGCAGGCGCATGCGCATTTTAGCCTTCAAAATTAATTCATTTTGAGTTTAGGGAAGCATTCAGTTTGGTTTCTTTTGAAAGAAAAGGTGCAGAGGCAAATGCTGAAGTTTAGGTTTTTGGGCTTTTGCTTCTGAAGTTGCTGTTTCTAAGGTCTTGCTGCTGCTGCTGCTGCTGCTGCAGCTGTTGCAATGGCAGCAGTAGTCAGCGGGCATAAAGGTCTACTCAACTGGACTTGGGAATGAGGCGGAGTCAGGAGAAACGGGAAATGTTTTTATTTGTTTTTGCAGATTTGGAAACAGCCAGGGCACCCCTACAGAAAAGGGTGTATATACAGATGCGGATGCTGCGCTGGACTACATTTTGCAGTGTGAAAAAGTAAACAACAAAAATGTTTTTCTGTTTGGCCACAGTTTAGGCGGCGCTGTTGCCATTGACCTGGCAAGCCGCAGAGGAGATGAGGTGCGCAGGGCTTAGGGTTTAGGGCTTAGGGTTTAGGGTTTAGCGTTTGGGTTCTGTCTGAGTTTTAGTGAGGAGGCCGCAACCTCGGCTGCGACTCCGGCTTTTGATTGCTCGGCGTGTTCTTTTTTCCGTTGATGACGAATTTTCTTTTTAGATTTAATCTTATTCTCTTGTTCATTTTGCTGCTTCTTCTCCAGATTACCGGGGTAGTTGTTGAAAACACCTTCACTTCCCTCCGAGGTGCTCTGCACGATTTGCTGCCGTTTACAAAAAACGTGACTTGGATATTAAATGTGATACAGGTAAGTGCGCGAGGGTTTAGGATTTTGAGTTAAACCCTTAGGGTTTATGGTTTAGGGCTCGGGCTGTTTGTTCAAGTTGGTGCTGGCTCCGCTTGGTTATGCGGCGTTTCGAGTCAGGGGTTTAGGGTTTAGGGTTTAGGGTTTGGGATTTGCGCAGCGCATACAACTAGCGAGCATCGACAAAGTGCGTTCGCTGAAAGTCCCAATTTTGTTCGCTTCGGGAACTGATGATGAGTTGATTCCTCCTAGCCATTCTGAGAAGCTCTACGAGGTAAGGCAGTGGTAGAAATAGAAACAAGTAAAACTTTTAATAAAAGTAACTATAATAATAGTACTAATGGTGCATTTACAATGAAGTATTAGTGGAGTAGAAATGGTTAAAAAAATGTGCGATGAGCTGGTCCCTTTCCGCTCTTCAGATGAGCTCTAGATGATGCACTTAAGTCAAAGAACGTGAGAACATGATTAATAGCAGCAACACAATTGAATAAACAAAGAATATAATAATGATAATGATAATAGCAAAAGTAACATTGCAGGCATGGTAAAGTGGTAATGAAGTAGCGCTGAGGGGGTATTATGAGTAGAAATCGTAGGAAAGATGGCATGGCTCTTTAGCGATATCCCACAAGTGCCACTAAAGGGGCCAAAGCGTAGGGACCTCCTCCTGAGGGCCTCCTTTTGGGGGGCCCCCCTCTAGGGGTCCCTCTAAAGGGGCCCCCTAGAGGGGCCCCCCTTTAGGGTCTGGGGTTCTTTCTGTGAAATTAAGTCAACTTGCAAACCGCCGCCAGACAAGGCTCTCCTTACTCAGCTTGGAAGGCAAAAAATAAATTCTTTATCCTGGCTGTCTGTTATTAAAGAGCAAATCTGTTTGTATGCATTTATACAATATTCAAACGCTTCCAAATCCACTAATATACATGGATATATAGAACACTGTGTGGGTCAAATGTGCAAAAATAGACGTCTTATCTGTATATTCTCCGCCCAGTTTCGTAGATTTTTCGGTGTATGCACGTTGTAGCTGTGCGGTTTTATTATACTTATGAATCTTTTGTTTCATTTTTAATCTAATTTTCATATTTCTGTCTCCTTTTTTGCCTGCAGGAGTGCGGGGCGAACACGAAATGGAGAGTTGAAATCCGGAAGGGCACCCACAACAACACTTACGGGGTTGGGGGCGAGAAGTACGCGGCTTTTATAAAGGAATTCATAGCAACAGCAACAAAGGCAACAGCAAGAGCAAAAGCTGCAGCACCAGCAGCGGCAAAAGAAGAGCAGCAGCAAGATCTCGAAGACGCAGGTCAGCTCTGTGGCAATAAAAGAAACCAGCAGCAAGCACGAGCCCTGCGCGGCGGGTGGCGCATGGACGCACTTCACCTTGGTGCTGCTGCTGTTGCTGCTGCTGCTGCTACTGCTGCTACTGCAGAAGCTCGTTGTTAGCAGCGATGGGTTTATGGATACTTGTGTATGCTTTTGTTTCGGTGTTTGCTATGACGCACTGTGGGCTGTACTTTGGAAATGTAGGTTTAGGGCTCATGGCGAATGCCAGTTTTTAGTCTTTATTTCTGTTGATAGTGATTCCCCTGAATGCAGGCACCTCCACAAAGGCGCTCGCGGGGTCAGAGCTTGCCGAAAGTAGCAGCAGCAGCAGCAGCACTCGCAGCAGCACCCCAGAAGCACCAGAAGCAGACACAAAAGCGGAGCCAGGGGGAGCGGAAACAGGAGCGGCTGCTTCAACATCAGGGACTGATGTGGCAGGAGCAGGTATACAAACAGCAGCAACAGGTGCAGCCCCAGCAACAGCAGCAGAAGCGCCGCAGATCGAGTCGCTGCTGCTGGCTGGGCTAATCTCAGGTCTGCTGCTGGTGTTGCTCAACCGCCGGATGCAGAAGCAGCGGAGCAGCAGCAGCAACAGCAGCAGCAGCAGAGCGAGCCAGTCAGCTTCCAATAATGCTATTAGTGATGACAGTCAGTGGGAAGAACAGTCAAGCAGTAGATACACCTCAAAAGGAACAGACGAAGCTCTGGTGCTGCTGGAGCCAGCTGTGTCTGAGAGCAGCTTGTACTAATTGTCGCAGCTGCCAATATTCCGTGGTGTGATTAAGGTAGTTCCTATTATTTTTTTATTTCTTACTATCGCCACTACTACTAGTTTGTTGCTTCCCAGCAGCAAAAAGCTGTTGGGCGGCAGCTTTTTGCTGCTAAGGCTCTCGAGTGCTCTTTTTTGTTTCTTTTTTCCCTTTTTGCTTTGGACCCGGCGTGGCTAAGTGACCGACCGACGCTAAAGACTCACCGTTCACCCTTTTTTAAAAGTTTCCCTGTTTAGGATTTCAGATATTAATTCAGAATTTTTCGTCGCTTTAGTGTCAGCCTCAACTGCCGCTTCGGCGTTGCCCAGCTACCTACTTGTCCTGGCGGCGCCGCCTTAGAACTTTTTGTGAGTTACAATCAGCTCACATTGCTCCAAATCATATGCTATTAAGTTTGATTCCAATCAGAATATCTTTGCATAATGGTTCCTTTGTGCTGAGGACCCTAGGAGACATTTTCTGCGTTTGTATGGCCGTACCCCGCAGCTGGGGTTCCTCTAGGTTCTTTTATTCTTTTGGCTTAGCAGCAGCTCCAGTTGGTGCAATTGAAATAAAAAGGTTTCATTCCATTTGCTGCATCCTCAGCTGGTCTTATTTGTGGTATTACTGATGAGCAGTAAAAGAAACAGCAACTAGAGCTCGGCCTCAGCAACCCTAAACCCTCTATAGAGTTTAGGTTGGGCCTGAGTTTTAGGGGTGAGCTAGGGTTTACGGGGTCTAGGTTTTAGAAGAAGCTACCCGCCGCAAGCATTCAAGTAAATGCCTTCAAAGAAATGAAATTTAAATGTATGCAAATGCAAAGCCGCAGAAACAACCTACGCATGTCGCTGCGTCCGTGCTGTCTTCTGTAAAGCAGATCCTCTGCTCATATTAATGTATCTATATGCAGTCATATTAATGTATCTATATGCAGAAAGGTAAATATGCACTGAAGTCAATTCGTGTGCATATGAATATGTACACATATATGCGCTGTGTACAATCATATATACACTTGTTTCTGCATGCTCGTTTTAGATACATAGTGCCCATGCCCGCCCGCTATAGTAGTTCTACTGTTGTTTGCTCCACCTATATTTGTGTTTATTTATTCTCTTCTCGATTTTCATTTGTTCTCTTTTCAATTTGCATTTGGTCTTTACATCTGCATCGTTTTCTTGCAAATGTTCTGTTGCTGCCACCATTACGGAATAAACGGCCGCTGCATGTAGCAAGCGCCCAGCGCCCCTTCAGACTCAGGGGGAGGGTACTTGAAATCTGGCCCTGCAGCAGCAGTAGCAGCAGCAGGTGAACTGGGGCTGTCGTAGCAGCAGCAACAACAGGCAGCACTGGGCAGCAGCAGCAGCAGCACAAAAGCCAGAAGCAGCTGCGTAAGTTCCAGCAGCAACACCATTAATAACAGGAGCAGCACGAGCAGCAATGCCTGTATCGACGCAAGCACCGGCGCTTGCAGCAGCAGCAGCAACAGCAGCAGCAACAGTAGCAAAAGCAGCAGCAGCAGCTTTACCTGGGTTAAATCTAAGCCTTGCCCCCATATATAAGGAAATGGCCGGGTGGTAGTCGCCCTCGCTCAGGCCAGAAAATGCCCGAGGCAGTCTGCACGCAGAGGCTAAAATGACTTTTGTTGTTAGTGCTAACAATTTATAAATAAGAATTTATATTTTAACACATTTTTAATATTTTCACTCACTTCTTGCCATTCAAGAAAAAGTCTATCCAAGAAACTGCCGCTGAGCTCCTCCGGGGTTGCGGCGGGGTCTCCGGGCAGCAGAGGATGCCGGCTGCAGCAGCAGGCACAAACCCTAAGCCCCAAACCCTAAACCCTAGTGCTGAAGCTCTAAAACCCTACGGAGAGGCTGCGCAGTGGCTTTCGTGGCCTTGCTGGCCGCCGCCTGCTATATCAACGCCCACTGCTGCCGCCGGTAGTAATGCCCTGCCATTCCTGCTGCTGCTGCTGCTGCTACAGCTATTGCTGCTTTTAGCACAACTATTGCTGCAGCTGCTTCTGATGCTCGTACTGCTAAAGCGTAGTTGCTGCTGCTGCGGGCACTGTTGCTGCGGGCACTGTTGCCGTCGCTTCAGTAGTTTCTGCTGCTGCTGTTGCTGCTGGTGCTAATCCTGCTGTTGCTGCTGCTGCTGCTGCTGCTTGCCTAGTAAGAACTCGTAGAGTTTGCTGTCTTCGCGAGGGTCTGGCGGCCACTCGGCGGGCTCAGGAATGCAGATGCAGCAGCCTATTACGTCTCCTACTTCTGCAGCCGCAGGCAACTGAAAGGATATGAATAGATTATCGAAACAAATACAAATACCGCGCAAGAACAATAATTTTAAATACAAGAAGCACAAATGAGCGTAAAGAACTGGAATAAATGTAAATGCAATAATCATAAACAATTATAAATCCAAGAAACGCAGACAAGCGCAAGGAATGTACATTTGTAGGTGCAGCCGCATAGGCCGTCTGTGGCACGCCTGTGCTACGGAGCAGCAGCTTTTGCGTCTTTCTAAGGGTTTAGGGCTTAGGGTTTAGGGTTTGGGGTTGAAGCTAATATCTAGTATAGGTATTCATTAGCAGTAGCTGCCTTTTGGTCTGGCTATAGTGAACTCGCTGTGAGATTCATTCTACAGGTCCCAAGCCCAGGGTTTAGGGTTTGGGGTTTCTCACTGATATTTACGTCGCTCAAAAGCTGCTCCCTCCTGGCCTCATGCACAACAGAAACTTTGTCGAAGTCAGAAATGGCGTAAGAGAAAGAGTTGCTGCCGATGGGAAGGTCAAAGCGTTGGTACCGGCACGCCCAGCCGACTCTGCAGCGCAAACCCTAAACCCTAAACCCTAAACCCTAAACCTCCAAATTGGAGCGTGAAATCTTTTGTGCTGCCCCCTATCCTCCCTAGAATTCGCAAACCCTTCATAAACTCCTAGCCGTTCCCCTGAGGCTTGCGCGAGTTCGCCGGGGTTTCCTCAGGTAGGGCTTTACGGTTTAGGGTTTAGGGTTTAGGGTTTGGCTGCTGGCCTGAAGTAAGGGTGGACCCTGGGCTGCATGTCCGGGGGATAACCGGCAAAATGCAAAGTATCTGTTGTGGGGCTGAGGGCTTCAACCTCGAAGAAGTAGCAGCCGCTGCTGCATGCATGCGTGGCGAAAACACTTGACCAGCCCTAACCCGGAACAGAAACACCTTTGGAATAAAAAATTAACTTAAAATGTTTATAAAAAATATATTTTACATAAATATAGTGTGCAGTTAGCGAGCACCTGTATGGATATCGACCCACTTTAAATGTTCATGAACATGTACACTTCTATGATGAAACATGAATATTCCACCGATGTATGGTAAATACGAAGACAATATTGCATTGGACTTAATGCATAAATGCCTAATTATATGTTTTTTGATATTTATGTAGTACAAGCCTGTGCAGGAGCTGTGCATGCAGGCTACAGTCTCACTAAATGCAGTAAGCAGCAAAGCAACGGCAGCGATCAGCAGCGGCCGCAGCAGCAGCAGTAGCACCACCATCAGCAGCAGCAGCACAGCATCAGCAGCAAGGCACTCGTAGCGAAGCAGCAGCAACAGCAGCAAGGCATCAGCAACAATGCAGCAGCAGCAACGCAGCAGCAGCAGCAGCAGCACCTTGTGTCCTTCGCAAATTAGTCTGTCTTGGTCAAGTTTAATTCTTCTGTCGCGGTAGCGCTCAGACAGCACCACTGAAGGAAAGTCATCTGCGCATCACAGAACAACAACAGATTAATTAAACAATTAATTAATTACCAATTTGGATTATCAATTAATTAAAATATTAATTAATTTCCTGATTGATTAATTGTTTATTAACCAGCTGGCCAATTGGTTGATCAATCACTTAATCCATTTACTGGCTAGTCAAGGAATCACTAACTGAGGTCACCGTGGCTGCTGCTGCTGATGAGTGACACTAGCCTTATTTGCTGCTGCTGCTGCTGCTGCTGCTGCTGCTGCTGCTGCTAGCGAGTGGACCCTAACAACATTTGCTACTGCTGCCTCTACTGCTGCTGCTGGTACCGCTACTGCTGCTGCTGCGAGTGATCCTGTTTCTGGTGCTCCTACTGCTGCTGCTGCTCCTAGTGATGCTCCTGCTACTGCTACTACTCCTGCTGCTACTCCTGCTGCTGCTCCTGCTGCTACTTCTGCTGCTGCTCCTGCTGCTGCTCCTGCTGCTACTCCTGCTGCTGCTGCTGCTGCTGCTGCTGCTGCTGCTGGTACCTCTGGCTAAAGACAGCGGGGGCAGCTTGGCCCTCCTGAGGGTTTCCTCCAACTGCGACCTTTCCTTCGCCCCGTGGGGCACAATGCAGTGCGTCCCATGTCGGCCGTGCTGGTCGTGCGGGTGCAGCTCCCCAGACATCGCTGCTGCTGCTGCTGCTGCTGCTGCTGCTGCTGCTGCTGCTGCTGGGAGTGGCGGTGGTGGAGGTGGTGCTGCTGCTGCGGGCGATGGTGGTTTCGCTGCTGCGCCGGGTAATGGCTGTGCTGCTGGTAACGGTCGTGGTGCTGCTGCTGCTGCTGCTAGTAAGTATGATGGTGGTGCTGCTGCTGCCGCTCCTTTTGCTGCTGCGGCGATGAGGCTGCTGTGGCCGCTGCTTCTGCTTTTGCTGCTGCTGCTGCTGCTTCTGCGGAGGAGCACAAAGACGATAATGCGCTGGTCCTAATGCAGCCTCTGCCCGTGGCACTGCTGCTGCAGCGCTGGCAGCAGCTGCTGCCGATTCCGCAGCAGGAGTTGCTGCTGCTGTTCTTTTCGGTGCTTCACAGCTTTGCTTCGAAAGCAGCGCTCCCAGACCTGCTGCTGCTGCTGCTGTTCGAAAGAAGCAGCAAGGCGTTGTTGCTGCTCTTGCTGCTGTGGCACCAGTTTTTCCGTGCCCTTACTGCCACTGCTTTTACCGCTGCTGCTGGTGCTGCTGCTGCTTCGGTTTTAACAGACTCCCACGAGGCCCCGCTGCAATGGGAGTAGTTGTCATAATCGGGCACTCTTATTGTTGCTGCTGCATCTCTCTGCTGCTGCTGCTATTGCTGCTGCTGCTGTTATTGCTGCTACTACTGCTGCTGCTGCTGCTGTAGCATCTTTGCTGGACTCGGCGTGAACAGTCAAGGACTCGACAAGACATTTCGGGAGCTGAGTCTGTCTCCCCATTCGCATTTGTCTCAAATAATTAAAAACAAAGATAAATTGAACATAATTAAATTTTCAAATAACCCATTAATACGTACTTAGACCATAATTGCCTCCACCGCAGCAAGGCTTCATGGGGGCCCCCAGGGGGCCCCCCGTAGGCAGCAGCCAGCAGGGCCCCCTGCAGTGCAGCTCCGTAGCTGCTCTACGGGTAAAAATAGTTTTTTTTTGTTTAATTAAAAGTTGCATTTGAATTTATAGTGCTGCAGTTGCACTCCTAAGTGGCCTAGGGGCTTCTTCGCGGGCCCAGGCCTAGGGTTTAGGGTTTAGGGTCGAGGGTTTAGGGTTTGGCAAGATGGAGGACTGGAGAGGCTACGCCGCAGAGGGACGGCCAGACTCATCGCCGTCTTCTCTACTTGATGGGGGGGCCTCTGATGTTGCTTCGTACACTCAGCGCTCTCAGGCTGCTGATTATCTCTACTTCTCCCAACAGCAGCAGCAGCAGCAGCAGCAGCAACAGCAGCAGCAGTATGCGCAGCAGCCGATGTACGCCACGCAGCAGCCTCCCGGCTACCCCACTCCGCAAGGTGAGTCTGCGTTGCTGCTGCTGCTGCTCCACAGCACAGCCCCCAGCCTCTTCTTATGCCGGCTCATCTAGCTAGTCAGCTAGCTGCTTCTGCATCCAGCTAGCTGCTGCTACGACTCTGCTGCTGCTGCTACTGCTGCTGCTGCCCAGGGCAAGGGCTGCAGGACCCGCAGCAAACACTAGAGATGGCGGACTACATGGAGAGGGAGCAGCAGCGCGAGCGGGAGATCGCCAGAAAGTACGTTTGAGTTTCTTTTTGCAATTTAAGTATTTATTTGCTTTATTATGTCAAAAATTTCACCTGTGGATGCCATTTTATTCAGATATTTCGAAAATTTTCGTCTTAATTTGCTGTCAAGGAGCTCGATGCATGATCTTCTGAGGTGTACAGCCACAGCGATCTTGCTCGCTCTTGTGCAAGGCTGCTGCCCTCCAGTTCAAGACAGTTGTTGTTTGATTATAAACGTGTTTATATTAGTTGAATTTAGAAGTGTCAAATTCCTTTGGGAGCTGCTGTGTGGTTCTACCCACATGCATGCGCCTGCGCTGCTGCTGCTGCTGCTGCTGCTGCTGCTGCTGGTTTGGGGTGTACAGACAACAAACAGCCCTGCGGCGCGGGCTGCTCTCTGTCTCAGAGCTGGAGGACTGGATGAGTGAAGATTGTCCACAGCTGGATCGCCAAACTTTGATAAGGTTCCCTGCAGAGGTGGCTGAGACGCTGCGCCAGCGGCTGCACAATGCTGCTGCTGCTGCTGCTGCTGCTGCAGCAGAAGGCACTGAGCCTCCCGAGCCAGGAGCTGCAGCACTTGGACTCACAATCATACCGAGGCCTGACTACAACTTCAGAGCCTTCGACGTGAAAGTCAGCCCTCGTAGCCCACCTCCGTAGCTAGCTAGCCAGCTAGCTAGAGATAGTTAGCCGCCATTTAGGCGTTTAAGTGTTAGCTAGCCAATTAGGTAGCTTTCCGCGAGCCACTGGCGAGCTAGCTAGCCATATAGCTAACTAAGCAAGTAGTTTAGGGCTACAAACGATTAATGCTGTGTTACTTGGCTGCTTTCATATCTGTGTGCATGCATGTGCCTTGTGCTTGTTTTCCTTTTCCTGCTTTTTATTTCTTTTATATTTATTATTTGTTATTCATTATTTATTCTTTTGTCGGTTTTCACAGCTATCGGGATACCGCGGGCGCCTTCGCGGAATCTTGGTGGAGTTGCCAACGCTGATCGAAACGTATAAGTCTATTGACTCTGACATTTTATTTAAATCAGGTGATAGTCTTTCTTTTCATTTTATTTAGCATTTTTTTTTTCACTTTTGCGCAGTCTGAATTTCACGAGGAGTTGTTCTTGTCCTTTTCCGGTGTATTGGCGGCCACTAGCTTGTTCGCTGCATATTTATCTTCAGAATATTTTAGTTTTGTTATTTGCATTTCATTTGCAACTCGCTTTGGTTTTTATGTGCTAAGTTATTTCTTTGTGGCTCAAAGGTGCGAACACTCTGGCAGTCTGCATGCAAGTGGCTGGCTTTTCTCTGTGGCTCTTTATGCGCACGTTATTGCAGCAGATGGCGAGCTGCTGATTCTACCAGGCTGCCGCAAACCCTAAACCCTAAACCCTGAAATGGAGGTTTTCGTTGCTGTTCAGGCGACGTGTGCCAAATGCTGTACGTGTTTGACCCACAAGTGAACAACCTCGATCTAGCCAACCTCTGCGACAAGCAGCAGTGGGAGTGGCGCGCAGGGCTGACGCCTCCCACCCACCGCATTCGCAGCCGCAAATTCAAAAACATAGATCTTTTTGACAGAGAAGAGATTAGAGACGCAGAGCTGGAAGTGCTGCAGGCAAGGAACCAGTAGCAACGCTCTCCCCCGCTGCAGCAGCAACGACCGCTGCAGCGGCAGGTGTATGTCTGGTTAGCTGATGTCTGTAAGGCCCAAACTAGACCGTGCTTGCTGCCTCTGGGGACTTCTGTAGAATGGCTGCATGCCATTTGCTGTGCTCTTGTGGCTTTGTTTTTATTTAATGTTGTAGTTATTTCTGTTTCATTGTTTCTTGTTATTGTAAAATGCTGGTTCAGCTGTTGCATGGGCTGCGCCGCGACACGTACGAAATCGAAGTTCACACGGAACTGGAAATGTTGGAGGCCCGGAAGAAAGAGCAGGAACAGGAGCAGCAGCAGCAGCCACAGCAGCAGCCGCAGCAGGGGCAGCAGCAAGGGAAGCCCGGCACCTCCTCTGAGCCCACCCCGCGGGTAGAACGAGTGGTACTGACCACCGAAGACGTTACAGAGCTGCTCAACTTGGTGGATGAAGATGACGAGTACCTCTCTGACGCCTCCGATATTTTGTTTTCGATTCAGTCGGACAGTGTTTCTGTGCCTGGCGCAGGTAATTTTTTTGGATTCCTTTGCTTGCTCTTCGCCTGGAGTTCTGTAGCTCAGTCCTAAGCCAGGAGAATACAGAGCAACAGAAGGAGCAAATAGTTCTTTTTCGGCTGTTGAGGCTGCATGCGCGCAGATGCAACAGGACGGCCTAGACGAGGGAAAGGGGGGGCCCCTGGGGGCCTTCCACGGTTATCGGCAGGGGGACCCGGGGGCCCCCAAGAAACCGATACATCTCAGACTGCCATTTTGACCCCTAGCTCTCAGATGCAGCTGGAGTTGACTCAGCAGCAGCAGCAGCAGATGTTGCTGGAGCAGCAACAGCAACAGTTGCTGCAAGGGATCCCAGAAGGCCTAGGCGTTCAACCTGACGTAAACGATGAGGAAGAGCGCGAGCGATTGAGACTTCGCAAGGAGCGTAGAAAGCAAAAGAAAGACAGGAAACGGGCAAGAAGAGAGCAGAAGCTGCAACAGCAGCAGCAGCAGCAGCAAACAGCCATGGGGCAAGGCCCACCAACAGGATCTATAGAAGGCCAAGGGGTCCCTCCACAGCAAACCATGTTGCCACAGGAGGGCCCTCAGGGGCCCCCTGGAGAAGAAGCATCTGCAGTTGCCGGCAATGATGAGGCCGACTTTGATGCTCTGAGTTCACTAGGCAGTGCAGACGGCCACTGAAAAATGACAAAGTGGCCAGTTATGGAAGAAACTGGCATTTACATACCATAGGCTTTTTTTTGGTGGCTGTTCATTTTATGTATTATGCGTATCTGTATATGCACTTTATACATGTCTGTCTCCTTGTGTTATTATTTCTGCAGTATACGTGCATTGTGTTTTCTTTGCATTTCGAAGCAGAGGAGGCAAGCGCTCCAGGTTTCACCTCTTTGTAGGACCAATTCTCTTTAATCTGTACTTGTAGGCGTTCAGTGACAATTTCACGCAAAAACGGCAAGTGTCGCTGCACGAGGCTGAAAGTCGGACCAGCTGCCTGCAAAGCCAGCTCTTGGTTCATATGTGCCCTACGTATTAGATATTAGAAATGAAGAGTTTTATGTTTGTAAAGATATAAATATTAAGATATATTTGCATTATCCCTGCTACATGGAGCCGGAATTTGGCATTTAAATCATAACGAAAAAACGAATTGGTATTTGTGGCCCGCTGCTTGGGGCCATGCTGTCATGTGGGCGTCTTGGCATCTTCGCCCTACACCCTCTAAAGAGTTGCAACCGATAAAGGCACAAACCCCACAGGGTTAGTGGGTTCCGTTATCTTAGTATTTGCAATCAAGCTTCCGTGCTCCTTGCAGATTCTGAAGAACACAAAGCAAACCACAATCAAGAAAGATAACCTGCTGTTTGGTGCTTCTGAGGCTCCATGGTCTGAATACGCTCCACATATCATACTCCTGTTGTAACAGCATTGTGAGGCATACCAGCTACGGGTGCTGCGGCTCCTGCCGCTGCTTCCCCTTGCTCGCCAGTTTGCAGCATCAGGGCAGCCCAGTAGGCTGGATCGAACCTTTGCACGAGGCGCTGCACCTCTTGCCCTGCAGCGTTCACATTGTGGGAACAAAGCGTTTAGCGAACGGTCTTCTGAATGGCCGAATGTAACCACATCAAGATGCTTCATGAAAACAGCTTAGCAGCTGCAGACATGTGAAGGGGCACTGGTTGCAGCGGCAACATTGTGGTGCCTCTGAGCTAATTTCATGTCAATAGCTCAGTCGTCCAACGGCTCACGATAAGTTCTGTATTGGCTGACCTGGTGGAGTGAGCACGCAGAGCTCCTGCGTAAGCTTCTGCTTAGGGTTAGAAGCCGAGCGCAGGGCGTTGACGAGCGACAGGCCGTTGGTAGGCAGCGAAAGGTTCCAATGCGAAAGCATACGGTCGAATGTGGTCCCCGGCGAACTAATTTGTCGGATGAACTCAGCGTAGCGCAGAGCAGCACACAAAGCCGCCACAGATCTATCGGATTTCAACTTCTTGTGAGCTTCCTTAGCCCAAGCTGCCAGCCCCATATCCTGAGACAACCAATTCCTCAGTCCCCCAGCCAACGAGGTCGGGGGCACCCGCCGGCCTGCAACCTTTACCGAGGCTCCAAAAATCGAAGACAGTTCGGCCGCTGCAGCAGGACACGCGGAACAAGCGCACAGTGCAATAGTTCAGCAATGGATACACTCGTAAGGTGAACAGCTATGGACAGAGCAGCGAATAGTGACAGCCGCGGCGTGACGCAAATGCATAGCGAAAAACGCGTACCAATCTTTGAGCACTCTTTGTGAAAACCTGAGGACAGATACAGTAACATCATTGACTAAACCATGACTGAATGCACCACGGAGCTCGTCGCTCTGTTTGACCAGAAGTAAAGTTGAATAAGTTGGACTCTATACCCTAAGCCATAAGCCATTGTTTGTGTACGGTGTATCCCCTTGAGTTTATGTGTTTGGCTTACGCATCTTTTTAGCTGCTGCTCTTGAAAGCCCGCCAAGTGCCAGCAAGAATGGGGAGCTTATATCTGGGTTCCTACGGAGAATTATGCACTTAGCGTTCTGCAAGGACCTTCCCAAGACCTCGCCTGCGGCGCAGACCTCTACAGCTGTTGCTTCTTTCTCAGCTGCTTGTAGCAACGGCTGAGCACCTCCAAGCAGCCGGTGGGATATGGCTGCCGCCTGCAGGTTTAGCTGCACGCTCTTTGTTAGGAGTGAAGCCGCTGCAAATCAAAAGATCGAAGGCAACTTAAGTCAAGTAGTTGTCTCTCTACGTTTTAAGAAACGCTGGCACGAGGAAGTTAACAAATCCTAACGAGTCAAGCATATACTCACGTGTTGCGGAGGCCAGTGGGGCGCCGCCGTCGATCTCATTCGCTGAATTTCGAGAACAGCATTGAACAGGCAAAAGCTATTGAATAGTTTTCTGTTCTCTTTTAATTTTACAGACGACCATGCCATAACAGTTAAAAGGCTAAGCATTTCGTTGTCCGTAACAACTTAAATTTGAGCACAATTTGTGGTACAATATTTAGAAGCAACTGCGCATGTAGAATCGTGTGCAGCTTATCTAGAACAAACTTTGACGAAATGGCTACTTGTTATTTTCCGTTGTGAGTGGGTCTTACCCCATAACGTTTTCTTGTACACAGACGCGCATATATCCTTGCTCATTTCAATAGATGCAGCCAGCCTCTGTTGCTCCTCTCCCGATGCAAGTTGCAGAGCGGGTATGTGTTTAGCTGCAACAGAGAATATCACACTAGGACAGTAGCATTTCCAGTCGTCGTCGCCGAGCAGCGAAGTTCCCCAAAACCCAATCAGCATCCAGCAAAGTTTTCAGTTGGGCAAAAAGGAAAGCAGCAGGTCTTCGCTCACCGCAAGTGACGCATAAAGCCAGACGAAACTGCTGCATCGAAATATCCTTTTGGTCAATCTGAAGTTCTTTCCGCGTCTCCCGATAGAGCGGTACCGCCATTGCCTCTTCGTGTAGAGTTTTGACATCTTTTATTTCGGCCCCTTGTATGTACTTGTTGTAAAGGCGCACAACTTTCAGACATGCTGAAGCAGAACATACGGAAAAATAGGATGCGCAATGTCTAATATGCGAGAACTTGACGAGGCGAGATTTTATATACGCTGTTGACCTTGCGTTTCTGTTACTCCAAGACACATGGTTAGCATACGAAGAGCCAAAGAAACCAGGAAATAGACGTCCAAGTGGTGGTTAATGCTAGAGGAACTACCACGTAGTTATCTAGGCCGGGGGTTGGTCAAAAGCGGGAAGACTATTTTACCGTCTTCCTTATGCTCCAGCTTCGGGGCTTCTTCCGTTTTGGGAGGAATCATGGTAATCATTTCCTCTGGTTCAGTTGCATCTTTATTTTCGTTTTTCTTTATGTCAATTTCTGGTTTCTTTTTCTTTATAGATATTTGTTTAGGCGGTATTGGCACTACAGGGGCTTCTGGAATCTCGGGGACTTTCTCCTCAGGTGGAGGCAAAACGATCTCCTCTGGAGCCGTGGGAGGGGGAGGAGGAAACGGCTTCTCCTCAGGTTCAGGCTTTGGGGGAACTTCAACTTCCTTGGATGGCTCAGGAATTGGAGGCAGCGTAGGGGGTGGGATAGGCAGTACAACTGGAATCACCTTTCTGGTTGGAGCCTTGCAACGCAGAGCGGGGAAAGCAGGAAGCAGCCACCCGAAAACCGCTGCCGCCAAACTCTCATCATCAGTTGCGGGGAAATTGTAAGGGGCAACCGCTGTTGCTGTGATACACACGGAACCAAAAGAAAACAAAGTGATGGTGGCACACGATTTCATGATTTTAGCGATGAGTTGGGCTTTGTGCTTGAATGGAAGTTTGTACGGAGCACCAATGAGCGAGAGTGAGATTTGGCAAGAGCTGAAGTAAACTGAAGTTTTAGGACTGTTATTATCGCGTACTCGAAATGGATATTGAAATTGCTTGTTCTCCTTCCGACCGCAACGTGCAAGAGCTGTTGCAAGCTCCCAAACATTTTACTGTCCAGGCTTCGGTAGCAAGCGCTGCTTCTAGCAAGTGGCCTACTGCATCCGAACCTGTCAGCTGAGTGGCTGAAACATTGCCGAGTACATCCTGTATGTAAACAAATACTTGCATTGCCTTTGCCCCAGATTGGGACAGCAGAGCAGCAGTACTGCTCGGGACGTACGCTGGATAGCGTATCACCGCATCCGGCGCTCGAGGGCCAGTCGCTGTGAATGTGAGCATGAGCTGGCTCAGAACAGGCCTAGCATCAGCAGCTGCAAAACAAAATGAAGATGCCCATCCCATTATACATTGGAGGAAGAAAAACAAACAGCGGGCCTTAAAAATTCGCGTGAAGTGGCGGCTGCAGAAACTGAGTGGGGAGATGAGTTGTAGTGTAATAGTCTTACCAACTGGTGCGGTCACTTGCCGAGTGATATTTTCTTTCCCGGTGCGTCGTTCTTTGATGAAGTCATTAAACGCTTGTAGGGTATAAAAGACGCTTCCAAGAGAGCCTAAAAGTTCCGATATAATCTTGGTGTCTTCGGGTTTGCACTGAGAATAAGAAGGGTCTCCTTTCACTGCCATTGCGAATGCCTTGCTTACTCGCACTTGAGTCTGTGGATAGCCACCGGCGTATTGGAGCGCTAAGGCTGTGGGCGTCTGCAGATCTTGAGGAAGAGGCTCGCGAAGTTTTACAAGCCAATTAATGAAGTTCTCCAGGGTCGGAAACTTCGCCGTACTTGCGAACATTTCAAACAAGTGCTGAATCATTTCCAGCTTAATGGAGTATCGGCCAAAAGAGTCATACCCATGGTGGTCCTTTCCGCAGCCAACTGAAGCATGTGTGAGCACAGGCAATGCATTTAGTGTTCAGCAGCTGCAGGTGAAGCGCTTTTACGTTCTATGCAGGACCTAAGAACAGGCACCTTGACTGTCAAGGCATCAAGCTGCCGGTGGGATGCTTGCTAGTCATGTGGTGTAAAGCTGGCTCACTTGAGTCGAGATGAGAGTACATGAGAAATACCTGCCGCTGCCAAGCTGACGCGTCTTCTTCTTGGAGTACCAGAAGCTCCCTGCAAGCCGAATGAGCTTTGCCCTGTGTCATCCAGTCTTCCAAGAAAGTTGCCCACATTTCCTTGTTAATTATTCGCTGGAACTCGGCAGCCGGATCGGCACATTTTCCAAGGGGCTGTGGCCTCCCTTGAGAATCCGTGCACTGAGTCTGCAGCCGAGTATCAGCAAGCATCGGGATAGTGCACCGATTTAGGCATTCTGCAGCACAAGGTAAGAGCAGAAAGAAAAACAGGTAATCATGCACGGAGTTGTTGCGGTTGTAAGCATCAATGCTCATTCCAGGCATTGCAAAAGAAGCACTCCACAGGTTTGCACTGATGTAAGTCAAGCCTGTACTCGCTTACCGTAAGCGATGTCGATGACGTATGATGGTGGTATATCTTTTCGAAAATCAGCGAACTCGCTTTTGAGCCAGGTGCTCACACTCATTCCCGCTGCTTGCTTTGCCTTCTGGAAAGAGCTGCTAAGACTTATGCGCTTTGCAAATGTTCCTATGGTGCAGAACAAGAAACATAACAAGAATCTTCTTAGGGTCGCACCAAATTAGTTGGGAGCATTGTCATTTGCTGAAGCGTTGTCACTGAGGCAGCCAACTGTCATCATCATTGCATACATGCGTATATTGTAGGTGCATCTTGTTGTGACTGTCAATAAATTTCCCTGGGTACACTGGGGCTGCGTCTGTGACTTCTTCTGACTTACTTAGCACTTCCTTGTTTACTGAACTTGCCAAGGCAACAACTTCGCCCGAGACGTTCCCTCCGAATGAGGACTTTTCTTCTTCTGGCTCTTTTTTTCCCACCTTTTCAGCCAAAAATTCTATTATAAAGGAGTGCAGCCCTTCAGCTGTGCTGAATCGTGTTGCGACATCTTCTGGTCGACTGTCTAAAAGTGACTGGATAAATATGAAGATGTGGCGCGCTTGTGATTTGACGAAGGCTGTACACAAAATGCACCCAATTATTGCTGGCGGCACATCCGGTGGGCCTTCACTGACAAACTCAGCTACACTTATTTAAATAATTTCTGCACAATGGAATAGGAGAAGCCACTTTTTTCAGGCATGCTTCGCGTGCATTAAAAAAAGCTTACTTGATTCAACTGCTCTGGAAGATAGCCCTGTTTTGTTCGCGGTGCTGGTGTACGCGCGTCGCAGCGATTCATTCCCAATAACTTCGTTTAAGTGGCCCCTCAACCTCTGCATGATCATGAAAGTCTTCAGTTCGCCTCCGCCTCCTGAAGATGGAGCTTGACGAGCTGAACGACAAAAGTGCACGCGCAAACTCTAAGTAGAAAGTCTTGGTGGAATATAAGTCTTGCTGAGTGACGTGACACGGGCATGCGGTTACAGGTGAAGTAGTATAGACGGGATACTTACATGCCTCGCTGGTGGACGAAACTATTTTTTCATGAATGGTGGGGCCGTAAAGGGAAAGGTCTCCGTCTTCAAGGAAAGTGACCCCCATGGGAAGTAAGTTGTCTTGTAGTGTGCGGCCAAACTGCCGCAAAGCGTCCTCCAAAGGAAGAGCAATACGACCTCTGTCGACTTTCAGATCAAGGGCGCCATTAGAAACTCCTGCTGCTTGACGTAGAGTCTGCACAAGCTTTGTGGCTGAAACGGTGAAATTTCTCAAAGCTTCTGAAAAATCAGGTCCTTTGGGCAGCAGATCAGGCTTCTCTGCGAAGTATGCAAGGGCATTCAGGTGCTGTTTGAGCAGTGCCCTTTGGGCCTTCCAACCAATATTTTCAAGGCTGTTGGAGACGCAGGCCAAGTATGAACTGCTGGGGGCTGCTAAATGTCCTTCTTTTCCGCATGCGGTGCCTATCATTTTTGAAGCTCCACGGATGAGTGCTAAACCAACTGTAGAAACACAAACACACCATTAATTTACCGGTTCTTCGCATATTTATCTTAATTAACGCATTAAAGTCTGCAATTCAAATTCTTCAGAAACATATGGCTTATCTTTTTGAGGTCTCCGAAGGCTAACGTTTCCACTAAAGAGTCGCAGACAGCTGCCTAGCTCGTTTCAGTCTGGATGTTGGTGACAACGTGTGAATGAGTGGGAAAATCGTACGCGCTGATCCGGTTTGGCGCAGTTTCTCGTACTCCGACTGGAGGGATTCCGGTAGCTGAACGCCGCTTAGCGCGAAAAGCAATGGTGCATTCTCTAGGGCGACGGAGGCAAACAACACTGGGCCTGATGTAATCAAACAAAGACATTCACTTGGCAGAAATGACCCGACTAAACTGAGTTCTCTGAGTGGAAGGCAGGCCAGGCATAATTCAGCAACTCACTGGAGCTTATTGCTTCGAGACTCCCAAGAGCTTGCAAGTGAGCATCAAGTGATTCCATTACTTCCGCTGAACAAGCTGCGACAGAGACAGCTACGGCCTGCTGTAGAGAAGAAAGAGAGCTAGCTTCTGGTACCTCTCCTAAGGCAGGAGTTCCTTGGGAGGCAACCAGTCTCCGACCTCGCAGGGTTGAATCGAGAACTAGCAGAGAAGCTGACAAGGAAAAATGCGACAAGTTGGAAAGCATTTGTTAAGAAGGCGCGCACAGCAGCTCGATAAGTCAAGAAAAATGTCACTTTCGGATGTTAAACTATGCAGCACTGTCTGTAGAACCCATTTTAACGGACTTGCAAAGACCTGGGCAGCTACGCTATCCTTCTTGGTAGGGGCAACGCGAAAAAAGTACTCCAACACCGAGGAACTCTTCACCCTTTCAGACTCAACACAAGCTTCAACGGTTTTTCGAAATCCTTGTTCGCCGATCCCGAAGCAAGCACTTCTGGCGACACAGTCGACCAGCTGCAAGATTCCTTTGGGTGAGCCTTCCGTGAGTCTCTCCTTTCCTTCTGTTTTAGCGCCTTCGACACCTTGGGGCTCGTAGAAGAGGCCTGATAAACGCGAACGACGATGACAGTTGCATGAAGTCGGCCACTTATGGCGAACCCTCAATAAATAGCCACATCTGTTCCTAACTTAGCAGACTACACCCACTTGCTCAAAAGTTGAGCATGTAGACTCAGTCTGCCAAATTTCGTTCACTGAGAACAAATCTGGTGCAATTTTGGCTAGCTCACGCTGGGCAAGGCGGAAAGCTGATGCGAGCTTAAAAGCTCGGCCAAATCGGGACCACTGAAGTTGCTGAAAGCCCTTTTGCATCTCTATTTGAAGTTGGATGCCTTCCATGAAAAGGCTCTCCGTTTTTTCGTCTGTTGTTGACAACGAAGTTTCCTCAAGCGTAAGGCTCCGTACCTGTTCTGGGCCCAAGCCGGTACCTCTTTGTGAAGCCAGCCTTGCGGCGGCATCATGTCCAACGTGCCGTATTGCAGCAGCTAAACGCATCGAGCAAAGGGAGCAGAGCTGAGTGTCTCCATATTCATAAAAATGAGGCAAGTTAATGGAAGAGATCTGAACAATAGCACGATAGACTGAGCCATTCTGGTTAGTGTATATGAAGATTAAACGTTTAGAAACGCACCACATATAGAGGCCTCAAGGGCTTGTATGGGGGTTCGCTCCTCTTCGGCTAATGGAATACTGAGTGCAGTCAAGGCACAGGAGAAAGTGCGGTTAGCGGGACAAACGACTCTGCTTGTCACTCCAAAGATTCCATGAATCCCTCTCAATGCATTTTCTTCAATTGGAAAACACGCTGCAGAAGCACCAGACGCAAACAAGCAGGGTCCATGAGCAGAGGCCATTGGCCATTTTCCAAAATCACAAACTTCCGTGGGCAAAGGCAAGACTTCCAAGGAGTGGAGAATTAACTTACACGTCAGCTGCCATGACAAAAGATCACGAAATTCGTCTGTGACTTCTTCCCCTGAATCGCGTAGTCGGCGAATTGTTGTTTCAACCAACTCTTGAGCCTTGGACCCCGATAACTCCACGGGCTCCCCATTATGAGTTATTTGAGTCCATAAGGACGTCAAAGCCTCGTTAAGCTTTGAAATTACTAAACAAACAATCAAAACAGAAGGCACATCGCAACGCAAATGGGTTCAGAATCTCCAGCGGCCATTTCCAGTCAGCTTCACTTCAGAGCTGTATGCAACTCTCAACTTGTCTTACATGGAGCCCTCAGTGAAAACCTTGTTCCAACTTCAACTGTGCTATCTTCAGTGGCAACTGACGAAAGAGAAGAAGTTAAAGAGGCAAAGAAGGCCATCAAAAGGAACGCAAGTCGAGCGACCGTGAAGAGACCGCGGGACCAGGAGAGGCCGTCAGCCCTCTGGGGGCCTACTGAATGTCTCGATCTATTCATTTTTATGAAGAAAATCCAATTTAAAAGCCTACTTTCCCAAAATATAAAAAAGATCCATGGTGTGAGACTTGGTGTGCAACAGCCGACTGCGTCGAGCACCCACCCAGTGGGGCCCGCGCCTTGAACAAGCTGCAAACCCATGAGTCGGCTGTTTCTGAAGCCATTCATCCTTCGTGTGGCTAGCAAAAGGCTACATTTTGTATCTTTGAAGGCACTCATATCAGCGGTTTACGTAGGATTCAATCGTTCCACTCTATTTAAGTTATTCTGGCTCCCGAAGTGACCTGGCGGCCATCTCGGCCTCCTGCCTGTGGTTAGCTGGCGACCAAATAGATACCACTCACACTATACATGTCCTGCGACTAAGTATGCCAGAAGGCTCCAAAACAGCCCAACTAGAGATGTTTAAACGGCTTAGTGAATGGCAGTGATATAACTGTCACCGTTTTTGCCGGAGCGTTCCGCCCTTTGCCGCTATGGTTATCATGCCCATTGTACGCCAAGCCAGGGAATGAAACGCACAAGTCGAAAGGTCTACTTGTTTTCGTTTATCGAATTCAAAAGTGACTTCCGAGCTGGCGACGACGTCGCGTGAGAGGTGGCCTTAGTAACTGTACATCTAGTCGTGCAATGTGCATGCTGGCTGGACACGCCAAGGCAAACCTCGCAAGGGATAGTGATAGCTCACACAGCTTATCTACTCAGTTTAGAGGTAGAACGTAAAGCACTGAAGTGGCTTGACTGCAGTCAACTTGGGAGAAGGGCTTAAGTCCACACCTTTTACGGCTGATCTTCGAAGTCTCATAAAGGGCGCTTCGTTGTCTTGTCTCCGTGTTCTCAGCTCTGCGGTGGTGGCAACAAGCTGCGGAAAAAAATACATAGCAGTGCTTCCTCTTTCAGTTCCATATTCGTAGCTGTCCTTCGCACTATCGGTTGTACAAAAATGGACACTGTGGACGAGCCATCGCAGCACCTTCGCTCTCAGGTCCTTCTATTGAAACGGGAACACTTTGCAATCAAGCTCCCGCCTAGTGACTGTTTACACTTCAAAGTATCCCTGCTGGGCGCTAGTCCCAAGGCAACAATGTCACTGTTTTCTAGGCTGCTAAGGGGAAATGCCCCTTCGAGCGCTGAGCTGCGAGACCCTGTTGGCGTTGATTGGGGGCTCCGTCGCCTTCAGCACAAGTGAGCTTTACCTTGTCTCACCAGCAGCAGCAACTAATATCGTCTTTGGCCTCTACCAGAGAGAATGCCGCCGCAGACAGTCTCGATGTCTATTCTTTTGAGATTCTGTCGATGTGTCATAGTGGTTCAGAAGCCCGCATGACACTGTGGGCACTAAGCAGTGCTGAAGAATTCTCAGAGCTGAGGGCGGAGCTCTGCTCACAGAGCAACGCGCTGCTCCTTGTCCTCGACGTAGAGAGTAATAACACGTCTGATCAGCTACAGCAGCTCCAGAGAATGCTCCACTGTGCGCAAGCCCAGATAAGACCAAATCGTCAGCCTGCTTTGTTTCTTGTTGCGGCAGTGAGTGCAACACTTGCAACGGCGCATAATGCTCTTTGCTAACCGCAAAACTCCTACCTTCCTTGCTGAGCCCTGAGTAGTAGAGTTAGTCTCTAAGCTCGCACGTCTGGGACGATAAACAAGCCTGCTGCCAGCAACTTCTGTAGAATCAGCAAAGGTAGAAATCTCATTAGCTGCACTGGCTGTACGTACTAGTGCGATTTGCCCCTCAGGGTGGTGACTGGTCTCTGTGGGCTAAAGCTGCGGCAGAATGCCGGCGGTTTGCAGCTGTTCACCGCTGTCGCTTTCTCGAAGTGCAGCCATTCAATACTGCTGGGACAGAGTCCGTGTTGCATCTATTAACTTCAAATACTCCGCATAATGTTGATGATGTGCGCTCGACCAGCCAAACAGGAAAGCGTGAACCCTCCAACACCCTTGATCTACTAACGGTATGTTAGTGCCTGCAATCATACTGGGAGCGTTCGACCCCATCAAAGCTTGGAGCCCCACGCTCTACCTCTCGGGAAAACTTATACTATGTGCTTACCTAGCCCACCCTTTTTTGTCGGTATCTTATTTTTGCATGCACGTAGGAACCCTCAAAAGCTGCAGGATGGCGGGGCTGATGTCTATTTCAAGTGCTAATCGCTTAATATGGCAAATCGATGAGGTGGTATGCGGCAGGCTTCGATGCCGCAGGAAACCTTGTCATGTGGGGACCCCACCAGAGCTCAGATTCTTCATACAGTCTCAACCCCTTCGCAGCTGCACTTCTCTCAGGTTGCTTCAGATATGAGCACACGAAAACAGTTTTGCCGTACAACCTGCAATATTGTGCGGGTGAGCATGCTGTAGCATTTGCATATTCAACTTCACTCATGCATCTGATGCACTTGCGAGTGGGCCTTTTGTTGCTCGAGACAAAAAACCGTCTTCGCACGTTGAAGTGCCTCTGTAATGTATCTGCTGCTCTCTGCAGCTCTTCTAGAGTCTACTGCACTAATGGTGCATGCATCAGTGAACACCTGAACAGTGAACACCTGAATAGTGTTGCGCTGCCCTTGTTAGGTTTGCTCAAACTAATGTTCCGATAAGACTGGACATGCACAATAAGGTCTCACGATTGTGGGCTTGTTCACCTCTGCGTGCTGCTATTAGGCGCTTGGCCCTGTTGACTGGCTTGCCAATACTTCAAGTAGTTCACTAGTGTGCTGAGCGCATCTGACTAATCCGCAGGGGCGGCATTTTGTTCAATCTAGAAACCTAATTTCAGAAACTCGGGAAGTTTGCAAACACAAAAGCTTGCAGTAGCGGTTCTGGCTTAATATCAATTAGTTCCGTAGAATACGAGCATCTCTCGGTATTTTTGAAACAGGGGGAATCGACTGTGAACGGAACAAAGTGCGCTTCGAAGCTTTAATGATTTGAGTAAACATTTTTAAGAAACCATGCTGCCTTCAGAAATGTACGACATAGGTCTGATTATTATGAAGGAAGCAGCAGTTAAAGCGAGTATAACATGGAGATAATGCTTTGCGCATGTAGGTCCTAGCTTGACCCATGCTTCGGAATTAAGGCGTTATGTACAAGAGCATGTGTTTGCAATTTCAAGTCCCCGAGGGCTTTTACAGTGTATTTATTGCTGATGGTTGCGCTGAGACCTGGAAAGCTCTTGCATTTCTTGCAATACCCTTACATTAGAGGGATACTTCTGAACACAGAATTTGTAGTCAGCTGACGTTTTCGATATATGCATAGAGTTCATCTGCTGACAGTTCACCGTGAGCCGAAGGCAGAATTCTGACCGTTTTCCACGCAAACTGTCCTCAGCTACAGGCGTGGCGCCTTAGGGATGTTTTAATGTGGCCCCTAATTCGTTCGATCATACTGTGGCGTTACTATCCAATTATATATGCGGAAGTCGGCAGGTCCGGTGCAGCTTGATGTTCCTCAAATCCTTAGCGACATTGAGCAAGTCTTCTCCTGCTCAGAAACCGTCCTTGCAAGTATAGCTTGCATGGGTGTAAATTCATAAAGGCCTAAACAAAAGCATGCAGACCATGCTCACGACTGCGGATGATATAAGCCCAAGTGCACAAAAAAAAATTAGTGCATGAAACAGAAGAAACAAACGAACACTCAAAGGATGCTAGAACGCCCCCGAAAAAATGTTCTGCGGATTCCCCAACTTAAAGTTTGTCACTAGGCGCGACTCCTGGAGGCGTTGCCAACCATCCAAGGCCTGAATTATGCCCTGAATGATCCTTTGCGCGTGACAAAAATGCAAAAGAAAATGTTGGAGACCCATTTGAACCACAAAGACCTCGGCCAAAGGCCGCGTTAACGCCAGGCTTTTCGGTTGTTGCGTCTACAGAGGTGATAGCGCCTCAACAACGGACAGTGCGCAAATAGAAGCACGCGGTGTCACACCAAAAGACTGAGTGGAAACTGAAGAGCCGATATGAAATAAAGGGCTTCTTTTGGCCGTCAGGAAAACGTTCAACTTCCACGACAAACCCGTGCCATGGCACCTCCGTGGCATCTACAATTGTTAACTGCCAGAAAGTCTCGGGAAGGAAATGTATGGAATCAGTGACATACGGTGGAAATAAAGGAAATTTATGGTAGCAGTGACATACGGTGATAGTGCAGCCGCATCCCCTGCACAAGGGTGGATGCCGTTCTGCCTCTCCAACAGCCTTACAGCTTGCCTTCAGGAATATCATCCTACACCCCTCCCCTCCATATTGAGTAATGATAAAAGGTTTTCTATGCCGCTTGCTCTATTTCTGTATATTTTCGCCGCCGCGAGTGGCATGCCTCTAACGGCCTGCTATGTTTGCTCCGCCCTTTGGCTGATGTGGAGCTATCATTGAGAGGTCTTTGATTTGGGGTGCTACTTTTCTCTCGCAGTCACAAAATGATCATTGAATGCAGCTCACTGAATTACCAGAGGCGCGTATGCTTTCTGTATAGCCAAAACGGAGCCAGTTTTGGACTCTGAAAGTAACACAGCATCACCTGCATCGGTGAACAACTCCCTATGAACGGTCGTAGAAGACGGCTAGATCTTTACTTCAGGTGAGTCATACATTTAGGAAGCCCTCTGCAACGATGTTCCCTTTTTGTAACCTCGGACAAACGACGGTGAGCCGCTCAGGTTGAAAATTTGCTGCTGTTCTCCTCCTGTCCGCAAGGCTCTCAGATGCCGCGGCTCATGCATATTAAATATCGCCGGAGGGATGATTCCCCGCATGAATTCGCTGCAAACTTCGCAGCAATTGCAATGTAGAGGTGACGTAGGGCCCACGGTACCAGAGTACTTCTGGAAGAAAAGGACACTACACAAATCTGACAAACAGTTGGAGCAGGCCTACTTATGGGTGGTCTCACATCTATGTTTCGGGACTTGTACTGTGTGAGTTTCTTGCCACGTGATCGATGCAGGTATTGCACCTGCAAAATGTGGGACGTCACCGGGACTTTTCGCCATAAGCACCCTACAGCCTAACAGGGGGAAGATGTATGCAGACCAGGCAACGCACGATAATTAAGGTAAAGAATAGCTCCAGGCCGGCACATGTTAATCATTGCAAAGGTTTAGTGGAAGGTTTTGCACGCACCGTCGCTCGCCCGCCAGGGGACATCCTCATGTCAGGCCTGAGCAGGCGTAGCCTCAAAAATAAACATTTCGGCTAAATTACACGATTAAATTTGCCCTTTTGCTTATTTCATTGACAATATGAGAATAATACCAGGTGTAGCGCAGCGGCTCGATGAATCTGCAACAGTCAGAGATGTCGGGCCATCCGAAGCCAATCAGTGGCTGCGGTAATGATACTCAGAGACCCAAGGGGACTTGGGGCCGCCTCTTCCTGCTCGTTTTCCCAATGAAAGAACCGTCAAGCAACAAAATTCAACAATTCACGTCCTATGTATGTTTAGGGGCTGGTTAAAAACATAGAAACCGCAGCAGGGTGGGACAGTTTACGCGCAACAGTTGTGCGACGACATGCATAGGCGGTCGTTCATTGCGTTACTGGGCAGCAGCGCCTAAAACGAGTTTCCAGCAGACCATTGAGTCATGTTTATATGTCTCCACAAAGGGATGTGATAGCTGCAATCGTTCTACCACTCGTAGGGGGCCTCGCTTACCCAGGTCCCGCAGTGGCAGCACCTGCATGTCACTTGCACCACTGAATTCGTCGTTTGCATCGTCACCTGAGCTCTGCAGCTCTCATTGTCAGATTCGAAAACAGAGGATCTGCGTAGGGACGAATCGGAGCAACCAGAACTGACAAAAGCGCCTGGGGGAAGATAACGGCCCGCACAGACATTGGCCGTAGTTGTGCACGGACAACAAGTGCAAGAACGGCTCACTGGAGCCGTTAAGACGGCGAACAGTAACGTTATGCTGAGGAAAGTTATAGCGGATAAAGGAACGGTGTCCACCTAGTACAACCACAGATGTCCTGGTGGAGCCTGGCCGCCATCCTAACCCGCGCGGCCTGGGTGGGCGGCTTTCTCTTATCTGTTGTCGTTGGTAAGCACCCAATGTGCTTATTTGCAGTTTTAATCTTTTTTTCTTCTTTTCAACCCCAGCTGGGGCAGTTGTGGCACTCCAACCATTGATACCCTGCTAAGGTCTTCCTCGTTTTTCATAATAATGCGTTTTGCGGACGCAGGTCTTTTATGGTTTTTCCAAGAGAAGCTCGTCTTCTACCCTGCAGGTATTTGCACACGTAGCTTTAGCATTGTGTGATGTCAACGCCGTAGAAGCAAGAGCCATAGGGAGGCTTGTTACAGGGAATACGTGCCCCCTTCGGTGTTTGAGCGGTCATGTTTTGTTCGTAGCGCTTGCTTGACTGTGCCTGTGTGCAGTTCCAAAAGGATATGAGACTCCGGATAAAAATCCAAAGGGACTACATCATCCCGGAGAAAGAAGTGAGACGGCATTTTTCGCATGTTCAGAGACTGCAGCGCCGTGTCAGTTGCACTGAAACGTCTAGCAGAGCTTGCGATTTTCTCTGCTGAACAGATTTACCATATGAAGATGTTTATATTCGGACGAGCGATGGATTAACTCTTCACGGGTGGCTCTTGCGCCAGCCTAACGCTCGACAAGCACCTACCTTCCTTTACTTTCATGGAAATGCCGGCAGTAAGTGCAGTAGCAGCTCTTTCAATTCCGCCTTACTTCTATGTATTTCCGTCGCCATCCTCGTGCCTTTTCATGCCCAGTGCACGTCTCCAGCCCTGTGCCTCCAGTGGGACGGTTTGTAGGGTGTAGGGTCTAGGATTTACGACTCAGTCTATTAAGAGGAAAGCTAGGAAGGACTTCAGCATTGTTTGCCTTCACTGCCACATACGATGGGATTTTTCCTGTTGTAAGCGAGATAGTCTGCAGACTCTCTCCACAGGTAGTTCAGTGTTCATTTTCATCTTTCCAACCCCTCGGTGCCGAGATATTGACTGCGTGGGCTCAGACATCGGATTTCGGCTACCGAATTTGGAGTTGATGTTCCGCATGGTTGGTGTGAATATTCTGATAATATCGTACAGAGGGTGAGCAAGCTTGCTCCTGAATGCACCCAATTGCAACAGCAGTTGCTTGCACGCATCTTCTCCAGAGGAAAAATCGGCTCAGCACGGCATGTGCGTGCCCTCATTTAAATCCCAGTTTGCGGTCGTTGTGTCTTGGTGGGATGCATAGAGCCACGGGTGTTCATCTTTTGGTCGCTCGGCAGCTCATGTTCTTTGTTTCTGTACATGCCTTTTTTGTGTTGATCTGCAGGTATGGGTACAGTGAAGGCTCACCCACGGAGGAGGGCGTGTACACAGACGCGGAGGCCGCCTTAGACTTCCTCTTGGAGAATAAGACGGTTAACAATAGAGATATTTTTGTCTTTGGCCGCAGCATTGGAGGAGCAGTGGCGATAGAGCTTGCAAGACGTAGAAGTGATGAGGTACACTCTCCTAGGGATCCTCCGCTGATCACTCTAAGAATAAATATGCTGCTATACGCAACGAGGCTTTTGCTTGTGCTAGAAGGCTTGAACTCACAACATGATTACGCAACAGTACTATTTTACAAAATAGCATCCTTATGAGGCAAGAACAGTGGAGCGGTATATTGAGGCAGTGGAGTCAACATCATTTGATGGCTGGTTGCCGGCTGCTTCCCCAATCGGTGAGTAGTCATGTTCTTCTTTGCTCTTGAGTCTTCGGCTGTTGGTGCAGTTGAAGGGGATTGTGGTTGAAAATACGTTCACGTCGCTCCTGGAGATGTTGTACATTGTTTTTCCCTTTTTGGGGCCATTCAACCTGCTGGTAAAAGCCGTGCAGGTACGCATGACTCCCCCCCCCGATTCATATGTGCAGAACCTCTCCCTTCCCATTTTTTAGCCTGCAACTATCACATTAGCCGTGAACGCGAAGTTTCAGTTTTTCTGAGGAGCATTCTTCATTGGTTGAGGGTAAAGGTCGTGTATGGCAAAGTACTGTGTGGCTAAGTACTGTAGAGATGATGAAGAAATGACGCAGATTCTCGCAGTGACAAGTTTCTAGTTAGCGTTACAGATCTTTCCTGGCATTTAGCTGAGAGGGAAAAAGGATCTTGTAATAGATACGTGGGCGATTGAAGGGCTGTGACGTCTTGCGGACTGCAGCGCATGTACATGTTGAATGACGAGAAGGTTCGCACACTAACTCTACCTGTTTTATTCATTTCTGGCCGCCAAGACAAGCTTGTACCTCCTTCGCATATGGACGTGTTATACAGTGTACGCTCAACCCTAGTGTACCCTGTCAGGAAAGCTGCTATTGAACAGATGTCGCTGTTCTTGGACAGTTGCTTTTGCCTTTTTCAATATTTCTCTATTTCCTTATCACTTGTGCCATCTTGATTGTTGGGATGGGCGATTCATTTAATTACTTTGTGCACTGGTTTGTTCTGCTCTTCATTGCAGAGCTGTGGTGCGCGTCTGAAGCTGAGAGAAGATGTTGAAAATGGCGGCCACAACGACACGTGGGAAGTTGGGGGTCAAAGATACTACAACAGACTTCGCGAGTTCGTGCAGGTGGCGCTTCCGGCGTCGACGTCTTCTGAAGTCAGCCGTGCCTCGGGGGCCCATTCCACCATCAGCGACACGTCAACAGATGTTTCGTTGAGGCGGTTACAGTGCAGCTCCGCTGCAAAGGAGAAAGCCGTGTGCACATAATTGTTTTGCTACTGCTACTCCACTTGCTTGTGAGTGGCTCTTCCAGTGCTTGTTTCACGACACGACCTGTCCATAAGGCGCTCGTCGGGTATAGTGTACATTCCCCACGTCAGCTGATATGCTTCGTTGGTGCTTCCACTGCGGAGTAAGGACCACCAGTCGTGTAGAACGCACTTCGCGTTCGGCTTCTCAGAGCGTCAAGTTTGACTTGTCATCATTACTGCCTGCTTTCAAGGCAGAATATAAAACACAAGCAGTTTGCTCTCTACAATTCTTGCGGACCCACGGGTGTGTGGCTGTGTGCCCCGCAAGTGGTTGTGAAGCACTGACTTACCTACCCTCCATTATTAAGTGGAGCATATTCTTTTGGTTCTTGATGCCCAGCTGAGACAGCAGTGGAGTGTCTGTGACTGAACTGGCACTCTGCCGACGGTGGAGGTGCAAGCACTCCCCGAATGGGGCGAGACGGAAACTTTCTCCTCTTCCGGCGAAAGTACGGGAAGTACGCGCTTGGGACCCACCTTAATCGGCCACTCGAGAACGGCGAATTTGGTGTTTAGCTGGCTAAAGGGCTAGACAGATTGTGAACAGTTTCTGCCATTTGAGAATGAGACCTACCATTCTGTAATGTGGATGCACAGGTCATGATACTGAGCCCACAAAGCTACGCTGAGCCTAGCTGGGTAGCAGACGTTAACATGGCATATTTGTATACTTTCACATACAAGGTAGTTGAATAGTTAGGCCTTAAACCCAAGAAGAGAGGCCTTGAAGGGCTGCATGTGGACCAGTGAACAAATGCGAGACGCACAACTGCTCGACGTACACATCGTGCGATGGATAAAAGCCTTGCGGTTAGACGGCAATTAGCAATTGAATCCGTGGAAGACATTAGAACATACCATACATTCGCTCATTGTGTTTAGTACATGCCGCGCAAAGAGAACGGTCCGGGCAGTGTGGAGAGCCAAAACAGCTGCATTTCCACTTAACTGTTAACCTAGCCTTCCAACATTTCGTTCCACTAAGAAAAGTTCGCATCTCGGCAGTGATTGTTGTTTTTTATGCTGCATTTGTCTGGCACTTCAACACGGGAGGGGCCTGTAGCGCGCAATGCCGCAAGAGAACAACCTCCCAAGCTTGTAACATTTACTATTCTACATACAAAAAATAATGAAAGAGGCTATAGATAGAGAAACGTGGCTCCTGCTGCAGACTTAGTCCAGCATGGTCTGTTAAAAGCCCAGGGAGAGGGGCTGGCAGTGCCACCGACACTGAAGGGCTCGGCGAAGTTGAAAAACACAGAGACCTCAGTTATTATGCTTTAAATGGGTTACTTGGGTGCCTTTGTCCTTATTGATTTCGTGCGCACCTGCTTAACGAGTTGGGAGCCCATGTAGGGGCGAGGCAAGGCCGCGGTCACTACAGGGCCCGTAGTGAGCTAAGCCCCGCATGATCCTACCTGTGGCTCTGAGAAAGCTAACCAAGATGTAACACTAGGTGGGATTTCGCGAACACTTTAACTTAATGTAAAAGAACGGCGGTAACTGAACCCGCTATTCATGCTTGACCGCGCAGCGCGCAGAGTCTCTGTGCGCTTCATGGTCCGCCAGTGTCAAAATTTGGCCTCACAAAGCAGAGCGGCATCGTTAGTCCCCCACCTTTGTTACTTACTATTAGCCATTTCGATTTAAATACGTTTCAATTGTTTTGCTCAGTTTCATGCACACGCGTTCATGCTTTGTTCCAGTGCTCAGCACTAGAGGCTCATGGGTGTCTGGAGTGTACCATGGGGGCTTGCCAATCGCTCTACGATAGGAAGTACAGGCTGCAACGTCCTATCAAGTTTGAATCAAGATAAGCGACGAAGGGAAGGAGCTTCGTTGGTAACTCCGCTCATGGGTTGCCTTGCAGTCACTAGCAGTCGACGGTTCTCCGCGAAGAGGTGTTCGTAGGCCATTCCCTTCGTCTTCTCTTTCCATTCTAGAAGCCTCAAGATGAGCTACGAATCGCCGTCTACAATACAGTCCGCCCTAAAGGGCAGCCGCGCAATGCAACAATATGCAGGTACTAATGGCACTGCAATACGATTTTTCATAGTTTGTCAGTCAAAGCATGGGGCACATCAATATAGATCTTCAGCACAGGCTAGCTTTTTGACTTGGATTTTGTTTTTTTCATGCAGAGGCGTTCCGGCGAACTACTTCCAAAGTCACATTTGACCCGGGGGGTGCCGCTAGTAGGACTCCACACGAAGCTGCTGCGATTACAACATATGGATAGCAGCTTGCCCTTATTTCTTGCAAGCCTACCTCTCCATTGCTAGATCTTTTGGTGGACTTGACATGCAGCTGTTGATTTATGTGCGGTGCAGTAACAATGCCAAACGAGAACCCCACGTCGGATGGCGCCAATCTTTCTTTGCCTGGAGAAATGCAACCGCCTACAAACTTCGATCGTTTAAAGGATCTTAGCCTACTCACAGGTGCGTGAAGTCTCCCTCCATCCTTGATCTAATATGTTTTCTCCGGCCTAAAGAAGTATGGCGTCATCATTGAAAGGTTGCTTCGTTTCTTTGCGCACCTTGATTGATAGAAAGGGATGAGGCTGAAATTTTCCCCCCGTATCGCCGAAACATCACGTACACCCTGCCGACGTGGCCAGAAACGCAGGAAACAGAACCTGATTTATGGCATCCAAAGAACCCATCGACCATTGCGTGAGCCGTTTGCTCCCTAAAAGGAGGAATTCTATTGCGTTTGGTGCTTCCCTCGCTCTCTCAGGCGTGAGCCTGTTCTCATCAATGATTGAATTGTGCCGCTCTTTCAGCAACTGCCTGCTTGCTTTCTGCATCTTTGCAGGGCCAGAGAGCTGCCTGTCTCGGAGATGTTTTTGGGCGGTGATACGTTGCCAAGACAGTTGATGCCTCGTTTGAATCCCAGTGACGTGCGTCTGCTTGCTGCGGAGACAGAGCAGCTCACGGTACCGTACGTACGCGTGGAGGGTACTTCCGAAAAATATAGATTTTTCCCTTCATCGGAAGAATTGCCTCTGTCTGGCCTCTGGCATGACCCAGTGTCCTTCAGTGATGCAGGAAAGGGTCAAACTGCCTTGAAGTTCAAACCAAAGGGGCCGCAAGAGCCTACTACAACCGACAACTGGAGCCAGCTGCCACCCGACCCCTCTGGACTTCCTATGATGCCTCCGCGGCCGCTTTCTTTATCTGAGCAACAAGCGAAAGAAGCACCAAGGGCGGCTATGCAGTACGCGCCAAGAGATATTGCAGTATATCCAGGAGGTATTCCAATGGACAGTGTAATAGATCTTCAAGAAAAAGCTCTATTCAAGACCTTCGAGGAACCATCTCAAGACATTCTTGTAGAGAATCTCATGTTGGAGGCAGTGCGGCCTGGATTTAAGCGGGGCGTAATCCAGCAGCTTCAACAGCCTACGAACAAGCAGTGGAAGGAACAGAATGAGCGGAGACGAGCAGAGTTCATCAAAGCTGAGGAATCAAAGGCAAAACGTTCACGGCCTCCAGAGCCGCCACAAAAAGCAGAAGCAGCAGTAAAGTCCGCAGGGAACAAGAAGGTAACCTTCGCCCTGCCTGAAGCCTCTAACGAGCAGCAGCGGAGCCGTGATGATTCCAAAGACACTGAGAAAAATCTACAGGACCTAACAAGGCAACTGCGCGCGCTTCAGCGAATGCATCAAAACTGCGAGGCTCAGGAAAATGTACAGGCCTCCACACTGTCTCCCGTCCGAGCATCTGACGTGACATCAGAGAGTAAGGGGGAGGCTGGCAGCGGTGCTTTTGTGAACGAGCTCATAGATCGGTGCTCTTTGAAGCTGAAAACTTTAAAAAGTGACAAGAGGGTCCGTGCAGAAGAGCCGGATCCTAAGAACTCCGCTGTAGCACCGAAGGAGATGGGACGTCCCTCTCGCCTCTTGAGAGATATTGAAGCAGCCGAGGCCCGGAAATACTATGAAGATAGGAACAAATCAGGGTTTGACGTGTTTGACTCACAGCAGCAGAGGGATGGCACCCTATATTTGCCTCAAGCGACTGAAGAGCCCATTTCTCTTGCTTTCGTCAAAGGCGTGCGAGGACTACGCAAGCTTAGAGGTAGACCAAAAGCAAAGCTTCCCCATTCTATGCCGAAGTCGGAGCTCGTATGCCTCTCGCGTTCGCTCTTGCAGGAAGAGTCGAGCGAAGAACAAGACGAGCTAGTCAGTGAAGAGGAGCCTGTGGAACAAACGCTGGAGAAGATTTCAGACCATATTGAGACGCCGTCTTATGAAGTGTTCCACGGCTCTCCAACACCTCTAGAGGATCTTATCGATACGACACCCAGCTTGGAAGGGCTTGCACGAAATTTCGTGCCGACCACGGGATACCCGCATGATTCGACAAAGAATAATTACCCGGCTGCTGTCCCCGCTTATGTATCGCGTCTAAATAAGACTCAAGACAGCAGAATGTCGGTACCACCAGCGGCGGCAGTTCTGTACGCCCTGCCGGAGGAAGCAGCTGGCTCTTCAGTGGTAGAGGCAATGCCGACAGATCCACGTTCAGGCACGTTCCAAACTACAGAAGTTGCTCTATCGAAAATGACTGCCAGGGAAATAAGGAATATTGAGGAACTTGTAGCTGGTGGTTTTGTTGCCCTTCAGCGTCAGACTCACACCGTAGACTATAAGCACACATGGGAAAATGAAAAGATGCGTCTTAAAATGATCGTTAACGAACCAATCCACGCCAGAGATCCGCAGTTCGCAGAGCGACAAAATCAACTCTTTGAAAAATGGAAATACCCCGCCGACGAGATTTCGCCTGGATACTACATCAAGGAAGCGAATTTGGAAGACATTCGCAACTCGATTCTTGCCAACAGAAACAAGCGTTCCATCTTCGATCTCCAGAGTGAGTTACAGCCCCCCTGGGCCATGACCGTGAAGCTCAGCAATTCACGGCGTCTAACAGAGTTTAAACTGGAGATCGCTGAGCGCACTACTCATTTAACCATTAGAATATACTGAATTGAGATAAGCTAAGCAGTCTGCTATGGTACGCAGTATGCATCCTACCCTTTTCGCGTGGAACTTAAGAGCTCCAGAAATCAGAATGCCACTCATTTGAAATATAACTGCCTATTTTCTCATCCTTTCTCGAAAAGATGAGGTGAACGTTGGTCAAATTTCTTCGCGTACAGATGCGCGAATTCTGCCGTGCGTTGCAGAGGCACTGCGAGAGGCAAAGGAACGGGAGGAAGAAGAGCTTCGTAAACGGCGTGAGGCTGAAGAAAATGAAGTTGCGAAGCGTTTGAAGGAGACTCGTGAGAAAGAGCTTATTGCTGCAACCAAAATGCTACAAAAAAAGGAGCCTGAGGCCAAGCCACTTGTTGAACCGAAAGGATCTCTTGCGAAAGAGGGAGAGGCCCCACACGCTGACGAGAAGGAAAGAACCATTGAGGAGCTCAAGAAGGCATATCGGCGACTTAGGAAGCAATCAAAGACAGAAGAAAGATTAACGGAAATGAAAAAGATCAAGAAGCGTATCGCTGAGCTCACAGGACACAAAAAGAAGAAAGAGCAGCAATCCGAAGTAATACATTTGTTGACAAGGCCCACTCTCAAGCAGGAGCATCTGAAATACTCTCTTTAAAAATACGAAGGGCTAGAACCTACATACAGTTTCGTGTGCTGACACATCTGGGGTTTTTGTATGCAGCGTCGACAGGCCTTGAATCCATCGCCCGAAGTCGGCCCGAAGCTGTGGAGAACGGACGAGCAAATTGAAGACGAGAAGCGGAGAGAGCGTGTCAGAGAAATGCTGAAATCAAGGCAGACAGGGGCGGCGGCAATGTTGGCAAAAATAATGAAAGAAGGGGATGTTGAACCTCTCTCCGGGGAAGAAGACCAAGAACCAGCAGAAGAGGGAGAAGAGGAAGACGTGGAAGAAGAGGAAAGTGAAGAAGAATCGGACAAAGAGGACGAAGAGGTGGCGACAGAAAAAGAGAGCGACACATTTAGCATGGAGGGAACGATCTCTTCGGGCTCTGTCAGCAGCTACGAATCAAGAGAATATCCTGTATTCCAACGGTCTGAGTACCACGCACCGGAGTACAAAGCTACACCGGAGAATTTGGAGGAGTGGATGAAACTCCCTGTGGACTACTGCGGCAGGATGCTGCTGGAGACGAAAGAAAATGCAGAGAAGCAGCGGACTCGCGCAATGACAACAGCCCGAATTAAAGCCCCTACACAGCAGCCAGAGCAAGCCAGAATGCTTCTTCTGCTGGAGGCAAGAGGACCTGTAATACTAGTTTATAGTTCAGCTGAGCCCCCAGCTCCAAAAAAGAGATTCAGCCTCGCAGCCCTCTGTAAGAAGGAAAAGCCTGAGGAAGAGCCTGAAATAGCTCCGTTACGGTGGAAATATCTCTGCGCCTTTATGCTAGACAACACAGGAGAAGCGCAGGAAGTAAAACTGGGAAGCGGTAGTCCAGGACAAGTATACAAAGCCATCAGAGTAAATGGTCGAATCATTCCGGATCCAGAATATTCTGCTTCAGAAGATGGTCCGCCACGCTTTACAAAAGCAGAGCTTGCTCTGCGTGAAAAGGCTTATTTCAGCGGCTTCCTCAGTGCAGATACTGATGCGGAAACTGAGGAATGGCTGGTGGTCTTCAACGGACGCAAGACTTTCTTTCGTTATCTCTCTGTATGTGATGGTGCAAATCAGAAGCCCACGTTGCCACTCGTGGCAAGTCTGTGGAGTCCTGGGCCAAGGGAACTTGTCCTTGAAGGAACCCGTTACCATAATGCAATAGACAAAGCCCTTTTTTCCTCATTGAAGGTGCCATACTTGGATGCGGTGTATTGTGGGTGGAGAGATATGGATGGCGACGACCTGGCAGCAACCTTGCAAAATATTTCATGTAAAGTGAGAACGCTGGATCTAACGGCAAACAACTTTAGCTCCGCAGTATTGAAACAAATTGGCGACGTTTGCGTGAAGCTGAAAATATCATATCTTTCCGTATCAGAAAACAACATTTCTGGAGACATGCTTGGAGTCCGGGGTATTGTAGAACTGATCGCAAACCCTCAGCCTCTGTTGTTGGAGATGAGGCGCACAGCAATGACGGACGAAGACTGTGCCCATATTGCCGCAGAGCTAGGGGACGTAAAGCAGCCTTGTTCACTGCCAAAGACAATTAACGTGGGAGAGAATGACATATCTGTGGGAGGTTTGAAAGTTCTTGCTGCATCTGTCGCAAGAACGCTCCCCCGCTTAAGGGCTCTCTGTGTTCCAAATATACCTAGTGTTGGTCCGAATGAAGTAGCGGAAGCTCTTAAGGCAGTGCCAGATATGCGCCCGGCGCAGCTATCTACAGACGATCTCCTTTTTCCTTTTCGTTCTCTAAACGAAAGAGAGCTGCCGGAGAAGTGTCTGTCATTGCCTGCCACTTTCAGTGGCAGACTCTTTATGGAGAATGGCAGTGTGGCCACTGGAGCCAATGACCCAGAGCCAGTCTCCCAATTGTGTTTAGCTTTTTTCGAGCTCAGGGGTCCTGCGCTTTTCTGCTATAGAACGCCAACGAGGTCGAATTCTCCGTCTCCTATGGCGGGCCGGAAGTCACCGAATAACGCGCTTTCACCCTTTTTCGGGGACGGGCTGGAAGGCATTTTCATTTCGTCTGCCACGATCTCAGGTTTAAAACTTACTGCAACGGGGAAAAAAATTGTGTCTGCCGATCTTGTTTCGAAAGACAAATCTGAGACGTGGGTTCTTGAGGGAGAGTCTGAAGACTATGTACGAGAATGGTTCAGGGTGCTTACACTCAGGTGCGCAGCAGTCTCCACGAAGTCGGTGTTTTTCTGTACGTGGTGCTGGTTTTGTTCCTTACGTGTCTCTAATTTATTTGCCTTTTGACAAGTGTCAGCTTTTTTTTTCTTGTAGAAAGAAAACGTCACCGCATGTGTCTGCATGTCATTCTCTTCATTTTCTGGACAGCGAAGAAGCGTTGTTCACAATTGCATTAATGCATAGACAGGAGATCTGAGGTATTCAGAAGTGTTTTCGTACTAATGTTCTCTGATTTGTCTCAGGCAAGCTGGTGTGGCTTGCAACACGATTGCGAGGAGCAACCTTGAAGCACTCCATCCGGGTGTAGGCCAGTACTGCAGCAGCTGCTTTAGGCGAAGCTTAGAGCTTGGCGGTCGTCCATTGGCTGTTGGGCAGTTTATGCGCCTCTTCTCTGCTGTGGCTGAAGATTTTCGTCTCCAAAGCGTGGACATGAGCAATATGAAGTTGGGCAGCGAGGCGCTGCATTGCTTTCCAAGCTCGGCTTTTTCCAAGAGTGAACTCACGCTTCTCGACTTGTCTTTTAATTCCATAACGCCGCTGGAGGACATGAGCGGCGTTGTGGCGTTCTGCGGTAGCGCGGCGAAATGCGCTCGGCTGGTACTAGACGGGAACAACCTCGGTGACACTGAGTTAGCTGCAAATTTCGTCTTCAATCTTCTTGGATTGCGCGTTGAACAACTGTGCCTCAATAAGTGCGGTCTTGGCGACGTTTTTGCCGAGGCATTGTGCAAACGCGTGGTGGCGGAGACAAAGCGATTCCCATTCGTCTCGGTTCTGGAGCTTCAGTCGAACAAAATATCTCAAGGTTGCATGAAGGAACTTTTAAACGCCTTAATAGGTCGTTCTCCTGGCCTTACGAAGATTAGCTTGTTTGGTAATGGATTCGATACCATTGGCCCATTCAGCCGCCGCGTAGCCACTGATTTCACAAAGACTTTCCGCGAGGTACCCTATCGACAGGTACCGTACGGCCGTCGTCTTGTTAAGAAGCCACCGAAATCCAGACCGCCGGAAATAAAGGCAAGTCAGCCTTCAGAGAAGCGAGATGCTGCAGCACCAGAGGCCCAGAACTCTGGAGGAAAGAAAGATCCTCCTCAAGCTCAAACCGAGGCGAAGGCTGCTCCAGCCACAACCCCGAAAGCTGCTCCAGAGGGCAATTGATAGGTTCCGCAGTTCCGGAGCTCTCTTTGGCAGGTGCTACGTATTTTCGGAAGCGAGGTGGGTGGCTGTGGCTCCCGCGATCTGCACTTTATGCTTTTGTGTCGCCAGAGCTGCGCCCTTTGTCCAAGTGACTTTGGCATAGCTTGTTGTCCCGAGCCATTTGAAAGGCCAGTGGGAAGGTCAATTGTTGAGACTTGCGCAGAAAGGGAAACTCATCATAGCTGAGCAAACGGTGTGAAGTCCCTTCTGCACGCGATTTTTGAGTTCGGCTCGGCACCGCCCCCGAAATTAAGCCATGAGCGTTCAGTGCATAGCAGCATGAGACTGTGACAGTTTGCGCGGCCGTCGAAGTGCTTCAGTGAGCAAACACTTCATTCCTTACGCTACCATACGGTTGCGTTACCTATTTGGACACTGTTATAATAATAGCCATATACTGCCAACCGCGAAGCCCAGCTCAGCCTTTGAGTTCGAAACTCTTCCCAAACTGTTCTGACGCCTCGAATGAGTGTAACGCTCAGGTCTTTTTTGGATAAGTATACATATTTTTTGTAATCTAGATACCCGCCGCACGAAAATCATCTGATGCAACTGAAACTTGGTATCCGTGTTCTACAGAGAGTGCTTACGGAGCTAGGGTTCGTCTCCGCACAGGTGTCTGGTGGGCATATTCTTTTCCAAGGGCCGCAGTGGGCTTTTTACTAAATGGCTGCCGTTTTCTTTTAGTATTTCCCTGCATGTTCGGAAATTCATGGGCATCGCAAGAGATGTGTCTCTGCACGTGCTCCTGCATCCCCCCGTAGCTCTGTGCCGCAGTTCTTCGTTCGGCTCCTCGCATATCCCTTATTTTTTGTTTGCATAGATCTATCTATATCCATATAAAGGACAGGGTAGCACATTTTTCAAAGAAAAGGCAACTAAGCTGCCGCTACGGGTGTATGTCGGGCAGCATCACGGCGAGAGCGCTGCCTGGAGCTCTCCGCCGACGCTAACTCGGCTTGTACAGCGAAACAATAGCTATAAACTTTTGATTGATATAATGACTGAAAAAGTACATTATCTGTGATTTTGGGGCAAAAGTACCTCTGCTCTGCGGCGGTTTGAGCGTGCAGACGAAGAAGTGACACTGTGGGGTGGCCGCGGACGACAGAGTCACTCAGTCTGGCTTCACAGGAGATATTTTTGTTCTATAGAAGGTCTTCAAGTTTTTAAATGTGTGTTTGAGGTATGGTTTCAACAACAAGATTTGTAGTTATAGATTTTCGGGAAAGAAAGGCAAGGAGCGGCCGATAGACGCTGTCACCTTCCTTGCCCCCCATCGCTGCTGCGGCCGTAGCGAGACAGCGGCTGCAGACCGAAAGTGACTGACTGACAAACTGCATTTTTCTCCAAGAGTCAGCTGTCGCTTTCATCTTGATTTTCAGGTATAGTTGTTGAATTCATAGCCAATTGTCAGGTGTAGCAGTTGGATTCATCGTTAGCTTCTTGTTTCATACCCTACAATGACCCGCCTCATCTTGGCGGCACTCGCCGCCTCCGCGGCGGTGTTGACTGCTGAGCAGGTATCTGCAGGTTTCATGCCAGTACACGATGGCAAGAAGACGCCTATGTATTCCAAGTCTAAGGGCCCTCCTCCTCCCCAGGAGATCTGCCAGACCATTCCGGTGCAAGTTGACTCTGTCTGCTTCGAGAATGTACCTTTCAAGGAGGCGTATGTATGCCCTCAGGTAGTTGAAAAGCAGGTTTGTGAAAAGGTTCCTGTAGAGGTGGCAGACACTTGCTACAAGCCGACCACGGCTTTAGAGGCTTATGATTGCAAAAAAGAAGTCAAGAAAGAAGAATGCAAGATGGTGCCAAAACAGTGCTTCAAAACCATAACCGAGCAGGAAGAATACGAATGTGAGGAAGAACAGTGTGAAACTGTGGTGAAGAGAATCCCCCAGACTTGCTTCAAGAAAAAGAACGCTAAGGAGAACTACCCGTGCATGAAGCACAAAAAGCAGAAGGTCTGCCAAGAGGTACCTCAAGAATATGAAAGCACATGCTTCCAGGAGGAGACTCAGCAAGAGCTGGTTCCCTGCAAAGGCAAAGAGGAAGGCAGCGCTGTCAGCTTTGAAGAGAAGTGCAGCATGGTGCCGAAGGAGGTGGAGGCGACATGTGAGCGGCAGGTTATGGCCCAACAAGAGTACCAGTGCATGAAGAGGGAAAAGCGCCGGGACTGCGAAGTTGTACCTCAGAAGGTGACAGAGATGTGCGAGGAGATCGTGGAGGAACAGAAACCGTACAAGTGCAAGAAGAAACAGATGGCCCAGAAATGCAAAATGGAGAATGTCAGCGTGCCTTCTACTTGCGAAAAGAAGAAGGGCGACAAAACTGAATATTATGAATGCGAGAAGAAAGTCAAACAAGAGGTGTGCAAGGATGTGGAGGAGAACGTCGACGCCGTTTGCTACCAGCTTGTCTCTTCGAAACAGACGGTTCCTTGCAAGAAGAAAAAGATGGGCGAGGTGTGCGTAGAGAGGGAGGTCGAGGTGCCCAGCACTTGCTTCCGTGAGGTGCCTGTCATGGAACCCTATCCTTGCATGAAGACGGTTGAAGTGCCAAACTGCATCAAGATCCCCATGTGCCCAAGGGTTCATACCCACAAGAAGGCATACCCATGCATGGAAACCAAAATGAAGCAGGAATGCCACGTTGAAGAGGTGCCGTACGAAGACACCTGCACTCGTCAGTTCACTGAAGAGCAGCCTTACGACTGCAGCAAAGAGGTCAAATCCAAGGAGTGCAAGATGGTGCCCAAAGTTTGCAAGCGAAAAGTCTCAAGAGATGTCGCCTTTGAATGCAGCGAGAGAGTCTGCGAGAAGGTCAGCCAGCCCCAGGCCTGCTACAGGAAGGTCAAGGGCAAGGAGGCTTATCCTTGCACGCGCACAGAGTATAAGGAGCAGTGCCACATGGAACAGCAAGTCATGAGCAAGACTTGCTACAGCCAAGGAATGAAACCTCAGCAGTACCCATGCAAGGAAACCAAGTACGAGACAATCTGCAAGCAGATCCCCTCCAAAACCCCTGTGGTCATCCCAGCCCCTCTCAGGAAGGAGAAAGAGAAAGAAAAGAAGGCCAAGAAGCTCTGAGCCAATTGTATGTGCGTGATTCGCATGCGTTTTAAGCTGCACAGCCACCAGCTTTCATCATTGCATAGATTCAGTCAATCTCTATTCGACAGCTACGGCAGCCAGCGAATTCTGCTGCTGCGGACGTTATCCTTGCCCTGCCTTTTCTCTTCGGACTGGTTATCTTCAGGCGTGAGCAGCGCGTAACCATCTTAGTGTAGACTCGGACTGTAGCTAGCGCGACAGTTGAAACATTTAATAAGTCATGAAGCAAAGCAACAGTGCGCCAACAAGAACTCTTTTCTAAGCAGCGTTTTCAACTTCAGAATCTGACTACGGTCAGACTCATTAATACGACAGAGACAGCAGACAGCTCGAATCAAACAGCAAGTGTCAATTAGTGAAACGATCAGTCTGAACGCTGCGGAAAAATCACTCATTGAAAGAAAGGTGAAACATTTCTCAGCAACATCTCATACGAAGTCACTAAGCACATCTCAGTGGCAAGTTCACAAGCGCCACTGTAGTTTGTTGGCACCTTAAGGCGTGACTGAGGGCCTATTTCGTTCACGGGCACTAAGGAACTCTGGAGCTGGAGTCCAGTAGTCGCATCTTAGGGCTTGATGCGGTCAGGCCGTGCGCATCTTTCTTCACTGGGATCTCTCTTGTTTGTGAGAAGTCTCTTTGTGGGACTCCTCCTCACTGCGGGAGGACTCCTCCTTGTGAAACTCTTCCGAGTGCGACTTGCGGGAAGGGATCTCGTCACTCTTTTCCTTTTTTTCCTTTTTTTCATCATCATCTTTCTCGTCGGCTTTTTCCGCTTCCTTTTCCTTCTTTTCATCATCTTTCTCGTCGGCTTTTTCCGCTTCCCTGCCTTCTTTTTCCTCCTTTTCTTTCTCTGCCTTTTTTGCCTCTGCTTTGCCTTCCTCTCTATTCACCTTCTTTTCCTTTTCGTCATCTCCTCTATTTTCCTCTTCTTTCTTCTCCTTTGCAGCCTCCTTGAGAGCTTCCGCCTTCTTTTTGGCCGCCTCGTCCTTCTTTTCCTTTTGTTCCTTCGCCTCCTCCTTCTCATCCCCTTCTTTCTTTGACGCCTCTCTCTTTGCCTCTTCGCTCTTTGCTTCTTTTTTTGTTTCTTCCTTTGGATTCGCCCTGTTCGCCAAAAAGCCGTCGTTTTCTCTGTCTTCCCGGTCGCTCTCTGCATTTGGCTCCTCCTCTATACCCATACCTGTTGCGGTGGCTGATTCTTCCTGTGCGCTCTCAGGGTTGGATGCGAACCAGGCGTCATTTGATGATGGGGCTTGGTTTGTAAGTCCTTCTTCGTCTTGCGTCATATAGTTGAATAAATTGTTGGACACATGAGGGACTTCCGGGGTTGACTCGGCCGCGGGAGCTTGCTCGCCAGGTACTTGGGCGCCTGGTGCTCCGTGGAGAGGTGCCATGGGCACAGAAGGGTATTGCGAAGAGGGTCCGAAATTTGACCAATGAGATGCGGAGCCGTAGTTGAAGGGTCTTGGGCCATGGTGTACCGGAGGGTGCACTGGTCCAGGAATGACAGGGCCCGGGCCTCCCCCAAACCTACCAGGGACATGAGGAGGGTGAGGTCCATATGGACCACGTACCCCGTGATACCCTATAGGATACCCGGGGCGGTGAACCATTGGAGGGCGAAACCCACCATGATAGCCACCGGGCCGCCCGTGGACTGGAGGGTGAGGGCCACCCATCCCTGGCCCATAATGGCGGTATCCCGGTTGGGAATGTCCAGGCGCAGTGCAGAAGAACAGGACGGCTACGAGGACGATGGCTGTGGCCAAGGCGCTATAGGGCTTCAGCGCGCCAGCGCGAAACCCCTTTTTTGCCGGAGACCAAGTGTTGGAGTGACTCATCTTGAAGAACTAAGATGATATATACTCCGCCTGAAAGGACAGTAAGCAGAGAAAAAGAGAGCAGGTACTCGGCCGAAAACAGCAGATCAGCCGGCATCACTATCCAGCCAAGCAAGCAAAAACAATGGATTACGTGCTTGCTTGGGTGTGTATTGGCAGGATAATTGTTGGACTAAATGGCGAATTCTGTACCTGGGTTGGAAGCAGAGCTGCTTCGCTGGAAGTGCTGGTTTGTTGATGACCAGCTGATGGACTGGTCCGAGAACCGCTCGAAGTGACCCCGTCGAAGGATGACGGTGTGTGTGCAAAAGAGCTACCGACACCGAAGAACGAAAAAATTCAATTGCGTAAGCACCATACAAACTGCAAAACGGAAAGTGAGACATAAACGGGAGAGGTTAAGCAGCGGCCAACGGGCACAAGCGACACCCAGCGATCAGCGATACGGGAGTGCGAGAGGCCAGCCAGCGAAGGTGAGGCAGCGTGGCTGTAAATATCGATCAGCGTGTTGGTAATACAAAGCAGTTTCGCTCTAAATACATTTCTTAAATTGGTTCCCAAACAAGTTTTGAGCTGCGTAATCCGGTTTGCTGCTGTGCCTCTATCACACAGTTACTCGCTGCCTTCCTCGCCAGTCAAGTGCCTCCTGGTCTGTCTAGTTGAACACCTCTTCCCTTAATTGCGTATGTTGAAATAAGAGCCATCAATAGTTCAGCAGAAGTAAATCTAAAAACTGAACATATAAAGTCTGAGCCCATAGCCATCATGTTGGTTCACCAGCTGTATGCAGCAACTGTCGAGGCAAGCAAGCCACGCAATTTCTTCGAAACAATCTGTCCAGCTCTTCTAAGCCAACAATTTGAAGCAGACAACGGGCTCAATTTTATTCACTGTAAAAACTCAACAATTCAGCGCAGTTTTGGCGTTAAAATGAGCTCTTGCGAGTGAGGCAGGCCCGCTCGTCCGGAAGTTTGAGCTTTCGGCGCTGTGCGGCGCCTACGTGTCTGTGGATTGTGCTGGCACAACGTGGCTCCAGAGTTTCTCTTACTTGCATATGTAGCATTGCTAGTTTGAGTCGGGAGACAGCAGTTCCCGATTGCAAGCTCTGCAAGAGAGCGAAAGCCAGTACTGAGGGAGCGGGCAATGCGCTTTCCAAAAAATATACCTATCCTATTTTCTCCTTTTGCTTCCTCTTTGCTTCCTGTGAAAGCCCATCTTGGGAACCAAACACTACGCCTGCTGGCTCTGTTGGTGTGCAGATGACCCCTCAGCGTCGACTACTTTGAGGAACTCCTCTTCAGTAAATTGTAACCAACGCGCAGCTTCTAGGTGCGCTTTTTGTTGCTTAAGTACTTCAATTAGTTTGAACTGTTTCTTTATTGCCGTTGCTAGTGCATCTCTCTGGGTCGTGACCTTTCGCAGTTCCGCTGCATGGCGCGCTGCTGTTGCTGCTTCCTTTGCTGCTGTTTCCATCGACTTGTCCGCACGAACTTGCCGAGCTAAACTGCTCTGTTGCCGCCGGAGCTGCTGCAGCTCCTCAGTTTCGCGGAGCCGGAGTGCCGCCACTTCCTTGCTGCTGGCAAGCGACCTGCAGCAGCACGAAATAAAGCGCGAAGCTTCAACAGAAACCAGCGTAAAATATTCAGGCTTGTAGTTTTTTTCTGGGGTTAAAGCACCTCAGCACAACTGAGATTCACCACCGTATGTGTTTTGTTCGTCAATTTTTTCCATTCAGCATTGTTTCACATGCGTGGCAAGTTACTAAGGCAAACCCATGGGTTGTAGCTACAAGTCGACGCGTTCTACGACTTATGCATGCTTCCATATTGTTTTCATCACACACTTTTCAAGTTCTTCCTCTAGCTGTGTGGTGCGCGCCTTTTGTTCCTGCACCAGCTTCTTCTGTTGTTCATTTACAGCTGCAGCTGCCACTGCTTCAGTTTCCATTTTCTCGAGTTGCCGCTGCTGTTCCGCAATCACTGCAGCAGCTTGCTCCGCTTCTACCTTTCGCTGCTGCAACTCTGCTTGCTGCCGCTGCAGTTGCTCGTGCTGCCGCTGCAGCTGCGCTTGCAGGGACTCAATGTGACGTCCCTGGGCTGCGATAACTGCCCTCAGCTCGTCAACATCATGAGCTGTCAAACTGGCTATTTCGCCTTCTGCCTGCATGCATATTGATACATGCATGATAGAAGCGCGCATCCTGTACCTGAGCCCTAGTGTCATGAGTATTCTCAAAGTATGTATACCAGCTTCCGCTGAGGTCCTCATGAGACTAGCAGTGCATCAATATTGCCCACATTAATATGAGCAGTTGCAGTGATAATAAAAACGGAGTAACTGCAGTGGTAATAAAAACGGTGAAGACGCATAGATTCTGCTAATTACAAAATCTTGTTCGACGTATTGTTCCAGGCAAAGCATAACACAAGCGGAAACTCTCTGGTTAAGGCTTACTACACCCGGCGCAATATATCTCTACGCACGGCATGAAATTACAAGGCTCTGGGTCAACAGTTTATATTTTATGTGCAAGGGTCAAGGCTTAGGGCTCAGGGTTCAGGTTCATGCCCGCGCGAATTGCTTGGCGAACTCCTGTGCGACTGGCGACCCCCTAGCTACGTCCTCTCGGAAAGGGCTGGGGAAGGTTTCTGGCCCCACGCACTGAATCTTGCTGTGTATTTGTACACATTGACGGGTGTCTGTTCCTGTTCCTTGGCTGGCAAAGGCACTGAGAGGACGCGGCCGACTATGGGTCAAAGGCGTCCCCCCCAAGGCTGCCTCAAACTGCTGCCGCCGCCGCAAAAAGTACCTCTCAGCTTCCTCCATTTGACTGTTTATGGGATTCCTTACAGCAACAGGTAAGGCTACTACGGATGGCAACGCCATACGATCTGGTAAACAGCAACGGCACGGAGTTGCAAAGCCAGCTGGCTGGTGGCGTGTGGGCCTGTCAGCTCTCTGCTAGTTCAGCTCCAGGAATAGCGACAGATTAGACACTATAAGGAACCTGTACAGATAAGAATACGCCTTCTTTGCATCATGCAAAACTGAAGGCAGACAGAAATGGCCGATTCACTTGCATGTCGGGAATCGCTGTCAGCCATCGAGTCTCTCAAACTGCAAGCGCGGTGCGAATTTAGAGTTGAATGAAAACCGCGATTCGTATCTAATCAAGTTAGTTGAACAAGTCCATTTAGAAACCGAGGCAGCACCTGGTGCCTGCTTAGCTGGCCGCTGATACTCGCGAGGTCACTGTGGGAGGACCCGTGGTTTTCTTATTCTCTCAATGCGGTAAATCGCGCATACATTCTTAATCGCATACCAATTTTTAAAGCCTTTTGGATATATTCTGTGTATGGTTTGTTCTCTCTTCTAGGGCACTAGGGGAGATTTCCCGAAAGCTAGACACTGCGGCAACACCAGCCCCTAGAGCAGCAGTGCGATCAAGGCCAGTAAGGTCACACTAACACTGCAATTGACAGAAAAAGTGTACGATTCCGTCATTAAATATAACTATACTTGACTAGGTGAAGGAGCTAATAAGTCGAACGAATGAAAACATCGACTCTCTCGTGGTTGTGTAGCGATGGCTGTGTTTCTCTCCACATCTGTGCTCGTTCCTTAGTGTTGCGTCTCGCCTTTCCTGTGCATTTTCTTCCTTCTCTGATAGCATTGCATTTATTGGCTACAGGAGAAACTAACGAGAGCTGCTGTAGCCGCTTTTGCCGTTGCACCACCTAATTCTCAACCGTCCAATAATGCACAATTTGTTCTCACTTTGCAGGACCAGCAGGATAGGCCTCTCGCTTTCTACAACACACCGGCAGGAGCAGCAGCTGCTGTAAGAGCAGTAAACCCCGCACTTGCACTCCTCTGCACTCCAAGCCTCTGTGTGCATCTTCTGCTCCGTCACCCCCCTCTTTGCCTCCACCGCAATAGCGCATGAATAGAAAGTAAATAAATCTTTGCAGGGGATCCCCTCAAATATACACTCTGTCCCTATTTGCTCCTGTGTAGCCTCAAGCTGATTCCAGTTTTGAAGCAAATGAGGGCAGCTACGTGGCCCTCTTATTTTGTGTTATTCGACTATCCTACATCGCTGCACTGATGACCCAAATTTCGAGAACCACAAACGCCTGAAAGCTGCTGGCGACATCCTGCAGCTGCTCCAAAACACTATGGTTAGAAAATCGGCAGACATTACGGTGATAAAATGAGCGTAATCATCGGTAAACACAAATACAGGTAGAGATAGACAAAACACGTCGTTCCGTTTGCTTGGTCGCTGGTCCCTGTTCCCCTCAGCGCCGCCTGCTGGGCCAATCGCGTCTATTTTGCAAACTTGAGAACTGGGGCTGGGCATGCATGCCACCGCGGCATGCATGCAATTACGTTTAAACGCGAGAACCCACAGGACACACTCACTCTTTGTCTCAGTGTCTGCCAAACAGCAGCGATTGCTGCTTGCCGTTACTTGTACGGAAACTTACGCATATGTGAGCACAGACCCACAAGGAGGCCTCTCTTACTGCCAATCTGTAATCTGTAGCAGGGAATGCTTAGTTGCACACGCCCCAAGCTCTCCTCTCTGCTGCATGGCAGCCGGGGTCCGCGCGGTCCCCAAACAAGAGCCAAAACAAACAAAAACAGTATCTCTTTGCATTCCAACTGCAGTGTACGTGCATATGGGTCACTAGGTGGTGTGCGTGGTCGCAAAAAGCGGGGATAAATACACCATTTCATCCATTAATGCTCAACCAGCAAATAAACCTATCAACGATCCCACTTATGAAGAGAAAAGATAGGGTGCCGCAAGGCTTCCTTTGGCTCTGGCCGCTTGCGAGGATCCACTTGCAGCAGATAACGTACAAATTCGGCCAGGACTCGGTCTTGAGGTAGCACCAAATCCTAAAGGCAAGAAGCAAAAATCCTGAACAGCCCCTCTTCATGTACTTTAGTGGCCGCAAGCATGCACATGTTTCGGATTGACACGAGAAGCAAAGCACATACTACAGCGGCTGCATATGCGCTTAGTACGTGCATTCAAATTGCATGCATGCAGTTCACAAGCTCGGAAACAAACATAAGAAAAATACAACAAAAGCAACTCACGAGCACCTCAGATCAAGCATGAAAACCCCTCGTTCACAGAAACCCCTGGAGCCTCTCTTTTTCACTAGAATCGCAGGCACAGCACAACTAGCTTAAGCTGCAGCTGCAGCAAAACTGCATATGCATTCGACTGCACCGCATGCACATTAGCTACCGTCGGTCTGAGGGAAAACAAGAAAAACACACCTCTAGCGGCACGCAGTTCTTAACTCTGTTCACACTCCCCAGTGAGGCTGCCCCCTCCGGCCACTTGAGGCGCACGCCCCCGCGGCTGTCTGTAGCCAGGTAGCCTTTGCCTGCGCCTTTCTGTGCTTTCATCAGCATATCCTTGGGAAACGGTTCCACTATGCGTTCCTAAAGGGCGCCAACAGCAGCAGCAGCGAAAAGTGCAAAAGCAATAATCCGAATAGCAACAAGGAATGATTGCCCTACTGAAATGCCACGCAAGTGGGAGGCTCAACTCTATAACCTGCAGCTGCAACGGCACTCTAATGCATTGCACTGGGGCCACACAAAACAAATGGAACCTGACAGAACAGACAAACAAAAGGCATCTTGCTACACAAAAAGACAAGTTTACAGGCGAATACATAGGCACACAGAAAACAGACACAGAGACGAAGCAGAAAAAGCATGCAAAACAGCGGGAAATAAACGTGCAGAATATCCAGGCATCCTACCATCATTGCCAGGTGCTCCAAATGTTCATGAGTTCTAAAAAGAACATCTCCAGTGTAAAGCTCCATCAATATGCACCCCAACGACCACATGTCGCTCGCCATGTCCCACCCGATATCTGCAGTGTAATGACACCCCGGAAATGCGGCAAAAACAGGAGGGATAAACACAAAGCCAACACCGGGCCTTCTCCTCGGCAGATACCAAGCAAATCAAGTAAAGCAGCAGCAGCAGCAACAGCTGCTGCTGCTGCTACTGCTGCTACTTTACCAGTGGTTGTTACTTGGGCTAAATGCTCGCAAGAGCTTTTTCAGGAGCCCAAAGTTAATCAAACCGTAGGACTGTGTTGCTAATAACCCGAAATCCTAAACCCTTAGCCCCTGGCCTACCGAGAATGACCTCCGGCGCTCTATACTGCCTTGTGTTAATAAGAGAAGAGTGATAATCTTCCTCAAATGTAGCGCTCCCGAAGTCAATAATTTTAACTTGCATGCTTGCAGGCCTCAGAAAAGGAGTCGAGCAGTCGTCCTCTTCTGAGGGCTGTACATACAACCCAAATACGAACACATACAAACGGGATAAGGCACAAATTGCCATATTAAAGTATATCCATGGATACCTTCTTCCTTCAGCTATAATACAAGTCCACATTTGCAAGTTCATGGATTTGTGTCTACAGATCTACGTGATTGCACGCATACAAGCATCTAAGCTTTAAGATGTGCTTATATCTTTATGTGCACAAACGCATCCATCCATATGCTTACTCAAATGCACAATTAGATAGACGGCAGAGGCGCAAAAGTGTACAAACGAGCAGCTGTGTTTGTATATACACTTGTAGGAGAGAAGCACAAATGTTTCATCATCAAACATTTCAACATGATCACTACTTTTTCTACTGCCAAAGTTGATCATGCATGCAGGTGCCATACCCTGGGCGCTCGCGTCTCATACATCTCTTCGCCTTGCAGCAATATGTTCTCAGGCTGCATTCAAAAAAAACACCAAAGCATAAGCCATATGCAATGCACACTAAACCCTAAACCCCAAAGCCTAAACCCTAAACCCTACGCCCTCGTGCCTCCGCAGCCACATCTTCCAACCGCCGTCATCAGCTGCAGCAGTGGGCGCAGCAGCAACTGGTGGTGCTGCTGCTGCCACTCTCCGCACATCTTGCTGAACATGAATCCCCAAGTAACTCGAATGCTGCCCAATGCAAGCACTGCGCAAAAGTCTAACGAGCGCATGCACGCACTCCGGCCGCGTGCGCTTAGCAAAGAGCGCACGCAAAGTCCATGCATGCACGCATGCATGCGTGCATGCATGCAGGCATGCATGCGTGCACGCATGCATGCATGCATGCATGCATGCAGGCATGCGTGCATGCATGCAGGCATGCATGCGTGCATGCATGCGGGGGGAGGCCGTTGCTAGGCCCTACCTTGAGGTCCGTGTGGGCGAGCTTGCAGTCGCGCATGAAGGCCAGCGCCGTGAGGCCCTGCTTCGCAACCTGGATGATGTCTTCGAGGTAGAAGCCGCGGTACTTGTTTTCGGACAAGACGTCGTAGAGGCTTTTGCCGAGGCACTCGAAGACCAAACACATGTGCCGCTGGTGGTGCATGAACGCGTCCAGCAAACTCACGCAGCCGGACTCTTGTCTGCGGTCTTTGCGGTTGACTTCTCGCAAGATGTCGGCCTCGATCTGCGCAGCAGCAGTGTAGCGCGTCACGTCCCGCACGACCTGCACGGCCCCATACCAAACCCTAAACCCTAAACCCTAAACCCTAAACCCTCAGCCCCAGCCCTCGCGCACTCGCCACCGCCCGCGCGCAGCCCGCGCCCCTCGCGCGAAACCCTTTGAACTCCGCAAACACTGGAACGTCTACCCCTTAAGCGAAGACCAGCAGCAACAACACCGGCAGCAGCAGCTGCTGCAGCTGCTGCTGCTGCTGCTGCTGCTGCTGCTGCTGCTGCTGTGGACGCTCGCCTTGATCGCCACCTGCGTCTGCAGCCGCACGTCCGCGCAGCGCAGGACTCTGCCGAAAGTGCCGTCGCCCAGTTTGGCCAAAACTCTGTAGCGGTCGTTGAGCCACATTCCTGGCTGCCAAGAAAAGTGGGTAATTTCATCTTTATTTGCTTCTTTGTTTTGCTTGCGCATGCTTTTGCGCGCACTTTGCTGCTGCTGCTGCTGCTGCTGCTGCTGCTGCAGCCCCTGCGCGGCCTGCGCTGCTGCGCCCCCCCCAGAACCCGCCACCCCCGAGTGGTCCGAATGCATGCGCCGCTTCTTGCTGCTGCTGCCTGCTGCAGCACGCCGGCTCACTCTCTCTGTCCTGTGTCTGCTGCTGCCTCCCTTCTGCGAGACAGAAGGGGGGCCCCCCCTGCCGTTGGCCAGGCTGTAGTGGCGCTCCTCATAGGGGGACCCGGGGGGCCCCCTGTGCGTGCTGCTGTGCTTCCGAAACCTCGACCCTGCTGCTGCTGCTGCTGCTGCTGCTGCGCCTCCCCGCCGCCGCTCCCCACCTCTCCTGCTGCCGCCGCTGCTGCCGCCGCTGCTCACCCAGTTGCTGCTGCTGCGGCTCCTGCTGCAGCTCACTCGCCGGGCCCTGTCCACGTAGTAGCGGCGCCCCCCGTAGCGCGGCGGACGCCAGCTAGGATCTGCAGCAGCAGCAGCAGCAGCAGCAGCAGCAGCGATACAGCGTCAGCAGCAGCAGCACAGCACAGTACGCGCAGCAGCGGCAGCAGCCACCACGGCAGAAAACGCAGCGGGAGCAGCAGCAGCAAACGGGGCAGCAGCAGAAACGCCAACGCAGCAGCTGCCGCAGCAGCCAGCCAGCCGTCGCCAGCAGCAGCAGCAGCAGCAGCAGCAGCAGCAGCAGCAGCAGACCTGTGTCGCCTCGCGGCTTCCTCGGCTTGTGTCGCGGGGCTGGCTGGGGCGAAGGGGAAAGAGAGGGCAAGTCCGGTTTGCTGCTGCAGCGCCTCGTGCTGCTGTCTCTCACTTTTCTCCGCTGCCGCAATCTGCTGCTGCCTCTGTCTCCCTGTTTGCTGCTGCAGCGCTCGCGGTGTCTCCCGCTGCGGCGGGGCCGCTGTCTGCTGCTGTCGCGGTCTCTGTCTTTGTCTCTGTCTTTTTCCCGCTCCTTCTCCCGCTCCCTTCCCTTTTCTCGATCCCGATCCCGATCCCGATCCCGATCCCGATCCCGATCCCTGCTGCTGCGGTAGGACCTGGGGTAGGCTCCGGTGTCTGCGGAGGTTCTGCGGCTCGCGCGGTGCGAGCCGGAGGGCTGCAGCAGCCGCTGCTGCTGCTGCTGCTGCTGCTGCTGCTGCTGCTGCTGCGCTCGAGAGCTGTCCCTGTCGTGGGGGCCCCTGTCATCTCTCTCCCACTCCGGCCTGCTGCTGCCCCCCGCGCGTCTCTTCATGCTGCGGTGCTGCAGCACGGGGGCCCCCAGGCTGGGGGCCCCCAGGCTGGGGGCCCCCAGGCTGGGGGCCCCCGAGGGCCTCCGGGGGCTGCGGCTGCTGCGGGGGCCCCCTGCCCTTGACCTGCTGCGGCTGCGGCTGCGGCTGCGGCTGCGGCGGCCGGGAGGACGGCTGAAGCTGCTGCGGCTCATTCGCAATAGGACTTGCTGCTGCTGCTGCTGCTGCTGCTGCTGCTGCGGTTCGTCGGGCTGGCGCTACTGCTGCTGCTTATGCTGCTGCCGATTTTGCATGCTACCGGCTCTGCTGCAGCTGCAGTGCTGCAGCGGCTGCTGCTGCGGCTGCGGCTAAGCAGGTGCTGCTGCTGCGGCAAGGCTAGACGTGGCTCCCTCAATAGGCCTACCGAAACCACGGCAGCAGCAGCAGCTGTTTGCTGCTGCTGCTGCGGCTTCTGCTGACACGGATGCACCAAAGACAGATACGTAAAAGCTCATTAAGGCCCTGGAGGAGCAGGAGGGTGTCTGGGACCCCTGCTGCTGCTGCAACTGCTGCTGCTGCCGCAACTGCAGCCACTGCCACTGCTGCTGCTGCTGCTGCTGCCGTCGCTGCGGCTACTGCTGAGCTCCACTATCTCCTTCTCCAATGTTGAGTGCACGTGAATCTCTTCAGACCAGGAGAGGGCCTCCGCAGCAGCAATCCTCGCAAGCTGCTGCTGCGCTCCTGAAAGGAATGCCGCTGCTGCTGCTGCAGCAGCAGGGGTTCCGAGACAGACAAGGGTGGCAGAAAATAAAAGCACAATACTTTTAATAAATTCTTCGGTTTGCTGCAGCGCCAGCTGCCCTACTAGAAGATAAAACTAAGGCGCATGCAAGCAGCAGCCGTGGGCCGACTCGTTGGCTGCTGCTGACGCTGCTGCTGGTGCTGCAGCTGCTGATGCTGTGCTTCGTTAATTACAAACATTTAAGCCTACACAGCGGGAACGTAGGCTGAATGCAGCTACTGCTGCTGCTGCTGCTGCTGCTGCTGCAGCGAACTATGTGGGGTGGCCCCACGGGGGCCTCCGATGCCCCACGCAACACAGCTGGAACAGCAGCAGCTGCAGCAGCAGCAACAACAGCAGCAGCAGCTGACGCATTTTGCAAATTTCTAAGGCGAAGCTCGCAGCAGTGGCATTCTCTTCAACGCCGCTGGCCGGCTGCCCCGCCAGCAGCAGACAGTGGGAGTTTTCTGATGAAAACCCTCTAGGGTTTAGGGTTTGCTGCTGAGGGTTTATGTGCTGCGGGGTTAAAGTGGATTTAGAGTGTTTGGAGTTGAGAGAAGATACTTACCTGAGTGGCGCCGCTAGCTGCAGACAAGCAGCAGCACGGCTCCAAGGAGCAGCAGCTGCAGCAGCTGCAGCAGCTGCAGCAGCGGCTGCTCCTCCCAGTGTTGCTGCTGCTGCTCCTGCAGCAGCAGCAGCAGCAGCGAGCAGCCAACAGGCAGCCCTTGCAGTTTTCAACTGCGCCGCGGGCGAATGGACGTCACCGACTGGCAATGGCACCAGGAAGTGCGCATGAGCTTTCTGCTGCTGCTGCTGCTGCTTGTGCTGCTGCTGCTGCTGCTGCTGCTGCCTTTGTCGATGATGTGTTCCCACAGCCGCTTTTGCTGCTGCTGCTGCTGCTGTGGTGCTGCAGACACTCCGGCGGCGCGGCCGCTGCGCCGTGGAGGGCTGGCCTTCAAAGACGGAGTTGGATTGCGAGTCAGAAGCAGCAGCAGCAGCAACAGCAGCAGCAGCAACAGCAGCAGCAGCAAAGACAGAAGCAAGTGAAGCAACAGGAGCAGCAGGGATGTGACTGAATGGCAGGATGCGCTGTTGCTGCTGCAGGCGCTGCAGCAACCGCTTCTCGTCTACTCTGCTGCTGCCTCGGCCCTCCCGCAGTGAGTCAGCAGCAGCAAGCGCCCCCTGCTGCTGCTCTGCTTTTGCTGCAGCTTCTGAGGGGATATGTGTGAGCTGCTGCAGCACACCATTGCTGCTGCTGCTGCTGCTGCTGCTGCTGTTCCTCAGGAACGTCCGCAATGGCTTCCCTGTTGCTGAATGTGCCCATCACATCTGACCGATCCCAGCAGCAGCAGCAGCAGCAGCAGCAGGGTGCTGGAGGGGCCAGGAGTCCCTTTTGTGGGGTTTTGCAGCAGGGCCCGGGTTCTGGGGTGTACGTACAGCCCGGAAGCGCAGCAGTGGAAACAGCAGCAGCACCTGTGCTGCTGCAGGAGCTGCAGCGGCTGAGGGGAAGTCAGTGGCTCGATGATGCTGTTATAAATGCTTTTTTGAAGCAGCAGCAGCTTTTGAATGCAAACAGACACAGAGAGAATCCCACGAGGTTTGCTTCTGGCTGCTGCTGTTGCTGCTGCTGCTGCTGCAGTTGCAGTTGTTCCTGCTGATGCGGCCGCTGCTGCTGATGCAGCTACTGATGCAGCAGCTGCTGCTGCAGTTGCTGCTGCTAATGTGGCTGCTGCTGCTGATGCATTGAGCGCAAGCTGGGCCGTGGAAGCTGCTGCTGCTGTTGCTGCTGCTGCTGCTGCTGCTGCAGCGTGCCGAGCGTGTGCATCCTGAACACTTTCTTCTTCGCGATGCTTCAGAGTGGGCTGGCAGATGCCGCGAGAGTCCAGGTGCGAGGGTTTAGGGTTTGGGGTTTGAGTTGGGGTTTAGGGTTTAGGGTTTAGGGTTTAGGGCTCGAGAGTGCTTCAGATTGCGACGACGCAGCGACGGGCCAAGGGTGTTAAGAGCACAGAGCTGATGAGGGTTTGCATGCGTGAAGCTAGGGTTCAGGCTTTAGGATCTAGGGTTTAGGGTTTAGGGTTTAGGGTTTAGGGTTTTCCTTCAGAGGTGGACTCGTGGAACAGACATTTTCTCCTTTCGCTTTTTGTTGGTGCCGCTGCATCTGCACACAGTTCACTGGGCCCTGGGGGTTGCCGATTTGGCGTAAGTTTGCTGCTGCTGTTGCTGCTGCTGTTGCTGCTGCTGTTGCTGTTGCTGCTGCCGTTGCTGCTGCTGCTGCTGCTGCAGTTGGGCTGCACCTGTCGATGCTGATGCTACTGGTGGCGGTTTACTGGGCAGCCACGGTGAAGTAGTGATTTTTCCGGAAGTCATTTCGTGTTGCTGCTGCTGCTGCTGCTGCTGCTGCTGCTGCTGCTGCTGCTGCTGCTGCTGCTTGCTCACAGGCGGGGCCTGACGTTTGTTTTCGACGCGCTGCCTCAGCAGTTTAAACCTTTCCATGAAGTTATTAAACTTTTTCTTACGGAGTGCTGGGAAGCCAAGAGGCTAGGTCAGTCTGCTGCTGCTGCTGCTGCTGCTGCTGCTTTTGCTTCTGCAGCTTTTCCTGCTCTTGCTGCTGCCCCTCCACGTGCTACGCTTTAGCCTTATCTTTCGACTGATGCGAGCTAGCCCAGCTTAGCTGTCTCTGCATTGTTGGTCCGTTGCTGCTGCTGTAGATCATGCTGCTGCTGCTGCTGCTGCTGCTGCTGCTGCTCTTCATACTTAATGGCATTTGGTGCTGCTTTACCTCAGCTGTGCCTTCACCCGAATGGCAAGCGGCACTGCCTTGCGAATTCTCTTACGAACTTCCTAAAGAAGGGGAGCGCAGCTTTCAGCAGCAACAGCAACAGCAGCAGCAACAGCAACAGCAGCAGCAGCAGCAGCAGCAGCAGCAAGCGGGAAGGGACGAGCGTGGGGGAGGGTCACCCCACACTAGTGAAAAGTCAAGTGGTTTGTCGCAGCTGTCTGCTCATGACGCCCATGCAAGCAGCAACAGCAGCAGCAGCAGCAGTTGCTGCAGCAGCAGCAGCAGCGGCAGCAGCTGCTGCAGCAACAGCAGCGGGCGCTGTGGTAGCTTCTGGGTTCCCCCGCAGAAGGGGTCAGACGACTGCGGTGTCTTCTTGTGCCTCTTCGCGGCTGCCATTTGCAATGGAAGGCCTTTTTGCTTCTCGCAGCAAGACATTGCTGCATGCAGACTGAGACTGGTACGTACGCTACTGCTGCTGCTGCTGCTGCTGCTGCTGCTGCTGCTGCTGAGCCTCAGGTAGAGCTGCTGAGGCGGGGTGCTGCTTCCTGCAGGCGGCAGCTCTTCTTGAAGGGCCCTGAGGGCCTCCCCAGAAGCAGCGGCAGCTGCAGCAGCTGCTGCAGCTGCAGCAGCTGCTGCAGCTGCAGCAGCAGCAGATGCAGCAGCAGGAACCGCAACCGCAGTGGGTGCCGCTTCCGTGCGTCCCTGAAGCCAAACAGGGATATATTCGTTTGCATTTTGTTTCTTAAACTGATCCATGAATTTATATTTCCTGTTATATTCTCTCACCGCAGTGGCCCTTTCTATTTCTGACTAATTGACTTCTCAGATACAAAGGACTTCGCTGTATGAGGCAGGCCAGCTGTGGCTAGCTAGCTGTGGCTAGCTAGCTGTGGCTAGCTAGTTGTGTCTAGCTATCTGTGGCTAGCTAGCTGTAGTTCTTGCTGAATGGCAAGAGTTCCAGCAACTCAGTGCTAGAGTTTAGGGTTTAAAAGGGTTTAGGGTTTAGGGTTTAGGCATTTTAGGGGCTGCGCCAAAGCAGCTAGCCACCTAGCAGGTCGGGGTTTTCAGGTCCTGCACAGCTAGCCAAGAACTTCCCCAACACAGCTGCTTTGCCTCTTCTGCATTTCAGTGGCTTTCTGAAAACATAAAAAACAAAAGATGTTGCCTTTTTTAAGAGCAAGACGTCTTCCTTGGCTAGCCAGGCAGACCTGGTAGGCTAGCCGCTGGCTAGCTGCTGAAGGCGCTGCAATACCGATACTAAACCCTAAACCCTAAACCCTAAACCCTGCTAAACTCCACTGCAAGCCAGCAGCTGCAGCTAGCCCCGCTGCTGCAGATCTGCTGCGGAGGCCAAAGGTTGCTGCTGGAGCTCGAGCTGCATGCTGTGAAGTGCAGCAAGATTCAGGTTTGTGTTGCTTCTTCGGAAAGCAGAACGCAGCAGCCGGAAGCGCCTTCAGACGCTTCATTGAATAGCATTTCACAACTTATTTTTCATAAATACACTTTTTAAAATAATTAGTTTATCAAATAATGGCGGATCAGCCGGAGAAGAGCAGAGCTGAAGCCCCACCAAGGGCTGATCGGACTCCAGTGGAGGCTCTGCTGCTGTCTGCAGCACTTTTAGGCAAAATTTGAATTTTGGGGCAGCACTCGAAAACATTAAGCGCTTTCAAGCAGCTAGCCAGTGGCTAGCTCGCAGGATCTGTTCATCGCAGCTAGCCAGTGGCTAGCTCGCAGGATCTGTTCATCGCAGCTAGCTAGTGGCTAGCTCGCAGGATCTGTTCGCCGCAGCTAGCCAGTGGCTAGCTCGCAGGATCTGTTCATCGCAGCTAGCCAGTGGCTAGCTCGCAGGATCTGTTCATCGCAGCTAGCCAGTGGCTAGCTTGCAGGATCTGTCCATCGCAGCTAGCCAGTGGCTAGCTCGCAGGATCTGTTCACACAGCTAGCCAAGAGAGGATTCCTTTCGTTCAAGTTCAACTTCCAAAAGTGGTTGTGTCAAACTCTACAGCTCGTAGCTGTGGAAGAAAGCCTTTGTAAAAGACCTCAAATGGAATTATATTTTTTGTTATAATTCTGAAAGCAACTCTTGATTTTCATGCAATCCAATTTCTGCATTTCAGGAATGGTTTGCTGCGCTGCAGCAGCTAGTTGGAAGCAAAATGAATTTACAATACAATGTGCAAAAATATATATTTAGAAAGTCACCGGCAAATGTAATTAAAACCATCTTGAAGTTGAATCAACTTTAACTTTCTTGTCATGTTCTAAAGGAAACGAAATTGGCCTGTAAAAGGCGGGGTAACTGTGGCCGTGCAGCGGCTAGCTGCGGCTAGCTAGCCATAGCTAGCTGGCCCCAGATGGCTAGCCATGTCACGCTAGCTAGCTGGGCAGCTGGCCGAGCCAGCTGCTCACCACCAGCTAGCCACGGCTAGCTAGTAATCATCAGCTCACCGTAGCTGCAGCAACTAACTAAGGCTAGCTAGCCAAGGCCAGCTAGCTGCGGCAAGCTGTGGCTTGCTATGTGCAGCTAGCTACTTTGTTCCAACTCCGGGGGTGTGGTGCATGCACAAGTGAGGCTTCATCACTGCAGCAGCAGCAGCAGCTGCTGCTGCTGCTGCTGCTGCTGCTGGCTGCGCGAGGTGGTTCCTTTGCTTATTGGTTCTATCCCTTGGCTTTCTATTTGTTTTTCCGATTTCCTTTTTTAATTCAAAGGCTTCTCCATTACACTCTCGTGAGCTGCAAACCCTTCAGACAGACACGCTGTGCAAATCCTTGGCCCTACACCGCAACACACTGCGTAAACCCTAAACCCTAAACCCTAAACCCTAAACCCTAAACCGTCAGTTGTCTTGCAAGGTTCTGCGGTGTTTACAGCCTGAATGTTGTGTCTCAAGAAGCCTGAAAGCCGAGAATTACAGAACACTTATAAACCTCTTTTTAGGGTTTAGGGTTTACTGCAATCGATTGCTTGCTGATGCTTGGGGCTGTGGCAATTGAGGCCCAAGCCCCAAACATCAAACCCTAAACCCTCAAAAACCCTAAACCCTAAGGCGTTAGCAATTTAAAAAAAGCGATCAATTAATTAGTGAATGAGTGCAGAGGATCAATTTCAAACCCTTGAGGCCAACAAGAGTTAGGGCGGGTTTAAAAACCCCCGGAGGCTCAAAGGGTTTAGGGTTTAGGGTTTAGGCATTAGGGCGTATGAAACTTCTCAGTTTTGTCCTACTGCGGTGTCTTGATATTGTCAACTCACCAAAGTCTAAATCATTGTTTCTAAACTTCAAGCCCTAAACCCTAAACCCTAGATTAGCGACTACAGTCCTCTGTGCAGCCTAGTTCCAGCTGATGGCATGGCCGCCTCGCTCCGCTTTTTGTTCTACCTTCTTAATTTCTCCTTTTTAATTTTAATTAAATTAATTAATTGTTTACAAACAACAGAATCTGTTTCTTCTTGCGGCGTAGCTACACCTGCGGCCTTTGCTGCTGCAGAGTACCAGTTGCTGCTACGGCAGCCACTCCCCAGGCGATACGCCACTGCTGCGGCTCCCGCAGCAGCAGCAGCAGCAGCAACTGCAGCAACAGCAGCAGCAGCAGCAGCAGCAGCAGCAGCGAACTCGTTTGCTTTGCCCAAGTGCCCCCCAGCCGACGCGCTGCTGTCGGCCAGGCCGCCGCTGCAGCAGCCGCCGCCAGGTGTGCACAAAACACCAGCAGCAGGAGCAGCAGCAGCTGCTGCTGTAGCACTGCAGCAATATGCAGTGAACGCCACGAGAGCAGCAGCAGCTGCTGCTGCTGCCCTCAAGTTTTTCCCTGCCAGAGTCCAGAACCCAACAGCGAAGCAACTGCTGCACCTACTCATGCAGCAGCAGCAGCAGCAAGAGCAGCAGCAGCAGCAGCAGCGGCTACTAGTGCAGCAGCAGCAGTTGTCCAGAGAAAGAATCGAACATGTTCGGCAGCAGCTGCGACTGCTGCATCAAAGCCTTATCTCCTCAGGCAAGCCAAGCCCTAACCGCTGCTGCTGCTGCTGCTGCTGCTGCTGCTGCACTGATTGCTACTTTTGTTGCTGCTGCTGCAACAAATGCGTGTGTCTCGTTGTTGCTGCTGCTGCAGCAAAACTGCTCTCCAGCGAAGTGAGCGCAGCAGGCCGTCGCGGCTCGCGTTTGGCCGTGCGGCGGGTACGTGCTGCTGCTGCTGCTGCTGTTTCCCCTGCTGCTGCTGCTGCTGCTGCTCCACCTGCTGCTGCTGCCAGCGCGGGCCATCACGAGCGGCTGCTGCTGCTGCTGGCGGTTGCTGCGTTCAGCTATACTCCGCAGCAGCAGCAAAGCTGCGGCAGCTGCTGCTGCTGCATGCACCCGCGCTGCAGCAGTACGCGAATCTAAGGGGCTCAGTGGAGTGGCTTTTGTCTAAAGGATTCCTTTTGGAGGTACAACAGCTGCTGCCAGTGTTGCTGCTGCTGCTGCTGCTGCTGTTGCTGCAAGTTGCTTTGCTGCTGCTGCTGCTCGTTTGCTGCTTCCCCTGGATCCGCTACTGCTGCCACTGTTGCTGCTGCTGCTGCTGCTGTGTTGCGCTGCAGCGCGGGTGGAGTCGAGGCCCCTGCGTGTGCTTCGTCTCAGCAGCAGCTGCAGCAGATGCAGCAGCAGCAGCAGCAGCAGCAGCAGCAGCATCCATGCCCGCAGCGCTGGATGTTACCCCGCCTTTTCTTGGGGGCCTTCGGCTGCATGTGGCTTCTGCTGCAAAGAAAGGACAGGTGAAAACCCTAAACCCTAAACCCCAAACCCTAAACCCTAGGCATTTTTATCTAGGGCGCTCCGGAGCAGCTGAAGTTCCTGCTGCTGCTGCTGCTGCTGCTCGTCAGCTTGCTGCTGCAGCTGCCTTGGTGGCCTTTCTTTTGCTGCAGGTGCTGCTGCTGCCTGCTCTCACTGAATGCACAGAAGTTCATTGGTCTTTTCTTTTCGCAGTGAGTTGCAGAAACAAAGTTTGTCCTTCAGGGTTTTGCATTTTGAGGCTTAGGGTTTAGGGTTTAGGGTTTAGGGTTTAGGGTTTAGGGTTTAGGGTTTAGGGTTTGGGGGCCCGTTTTGTGAGGTCTGTAACAGCGCGCAGTTTTGGGATCGACTCCTGCTGCTGTTTGCTACGTCACGGATGCCGAAGCGCTCAAGTGCAGCAGCAGCAGCAGCAGCAACAGCAGCAACAACAGCAACAGCAGCATCACGAGCGGCAGCAGCAACAGCAATAGCAGCGGCAGCGACAATAGCAGCAGCAACAAAGTAGGCAGCAGCAGCAGCAGCTTAGAAACCAGTGAAGTGCTCTCAACGCGTTTCACGCTGAGACGCCTTTTTCCCCGGAGGCCATGGTCCGTCTAGGGTTTAGGGTTTAGGGTTTAGGGTTTAGGGTTTAGGGTTTAGAGGTCTACTTAATGCTTCAGGTGAATACTGGGTGTGCTGGACAGAAATGCTTTGCTGCTGCTGCTGCTGCTGTGGCTGACTGTGCTGCTGCCGCCTGTGCAGCAGCCACGGCTGCTGCTGAAATTGCTATTTTGCTGTATTGGCTGCTTCGAGTGTGGCTGAGATACATTCATGACACTTCTGTTGCTGCTGCTGCTGCTGCTGCTGCTGCTGCTGCTGCTGGGTTTTGAGCAGGCTGGACGTTGTCTGCAACGCCTCTTGCCTCTCTTCTGAAGCTCTTGGCTCTCTGCAGGTCCTTTGCTGCTGCTGCTGCTGTTGCTGCTGCTGAGGCTGTTGCTGCTGTTGAGGCTGCTGCTGCTGCTTCTTTTTGCAGCAGCTGCTCGTACATGAAATGGGGTTTATGTGTGCTCAGGACATTCTGCCAACGGCGCTGTACATCGATGGCTCCATCCAGGAGCAGCAGCAACAGCAGCAGCAACAGCAGCAGCAACAGCAGCAGCAAGAGGAGCAGAGCTCGCCGCTTGCGCGGAGTATAGCAGAGCTTTTACAGCAGGTAAAGCCTCTTGCTGCGGCTGCTGCTGCTCGGCAGCAACAGCAGCAGCAGCAGGATCCATCAGAAGTCCTGCACGATGCTCTTGGAGTGTACGACTTAATGCGGCGAAAGCGAGGAAACATAGATTGAATCTGAGTTGAATTCTTTTGCCGAGGGTTTGGGTCTTGGGATTTATATTAAACTTCTCCGAAAAGCCCAACTAAATCTTCGTCAGAAGGAATGGACAGAAGGCAAGAGCCACAGACTGGGGGGAAGCAAGAAAGAGAAAATGGAAAAATGCAACTTTTCGTTTATTTCCAATAAACATTTTCATTGCCTATTCTTTTTGTTGCATTTAAAAGCTCTTTTCAGCCCCAATTAGTTCCAGCTACGAGAAGCCTCCTCGAGCGTCAGCTAGCAGCGACAAGTCCCAGCTAGCCACAGCTAGCTGCAGCTAGATGCAGCTAGCTAGCTGCAGCTAGCTAGCCACAGCTAGCTAGCTGTGGCTAGCCACAGCAGCTCAACGGAATGACTGCCAGTGTGTTGACTAGATGCGGAGCTTGCCCATTATTCAAGTAAAGCCAACACTTACGCTAGCTGCGTCTACAGCGTTAACAAAGAATTAAGTATCCGGCTGCACATAAATACTGACAAGAACTATTTCTTAGTATTTTTATTGCATTCAATGCACAAATCGGTGAAAAGAATCTCTAGAGGCATAGGGAGGGCGTGGCTCTCGGCTTTCCCTTTAGCAAATCTTTGGAAAGCAAGTCTTTCGGAAGAGGAATGTTTTTGGGTTTGAATAAGGGCTAACAGGGAAATGAATGAGGCATTAAAGAAACTCCTAGTTCATTTTGAGAGCAAGACACTGAGTAGGGAGTCGCAGGTCTCAAAGAATCGCAGGAAGTTTGCGTGAGACGAATGAACAGCAACCTAATGTCGAATAAATGAACAAGGCCGATTCAAATTAGGTTTTATTAAATCATTTGGCCTTTTGTATTAACGCTAGAAAGCCCTGAGGGCCATAGTAAAGACTTCGCATGCCTCTGTAAGTGGCGGACTCCAGGGCAAATGGGTGGCAGCAGAAAATACTTAAGTGAGAACTCTGAAGAATGAAATGCAGAAGAGTTTTGTTTGGACTGATTTGAAAACTGAAACGCAAAGGGGTTTTGTTTGGACTCACTCCGTGTCCCAATTTAAAATCCAAAGTTTTTGCGCGGCTTGCTTCTCATTTTAAACTATAAAGCTGAATAAGATGATTATTTCTAATCATCTTTTAACGAAAGTTGTGTGCACTGAAGAGTGCTTCGCAGGAGCGGCTTCTGCCTCGAGGTGCTCTACTTCCCAGAAACCATATTTGCTGAAGTGCATCAGATCCAGTCAAAACTCATTCCTTACAAAGTAATCTACGCTGACCAATTATTGATTTCTGGTTTTTATGAGAAAGCTTTCTTCCCCGTGCGAAGTATAGTAGAGGGATTCAAATGAAAGTGATGGGACTGTTGCGTGATATCTTCTTTTCTATGCCACCATCTGATATTTCCTTTTATTCCGTCGATGCCTCTAGATTGAACTTTTTTTTCATAAAAGTTTTCTAAAAGGTCACTTTATCTGCTATCGTTAGGTTTTCAGGTAGCTGCCGAGGAAAATAAATCTTTTTTTAGTAATTTAAACATCTGTCGCCCAGCTGTCAACCTGAAATGGCTTCCTATGGTCAAGATATCGATGATTGCAGCTGTCCTCCACAAAATGTTGTTTTAATTTTCTTTTTTTTCCTTACTTTTGTCTTGTGGTGATCGCCAGTATAAGCCTTCTCTGTAAGGATTCAAATGCCCTTTTTAGCACTGATGAATAATAGTTTCTCAAAAATGTTTTTGGAGAAACTATGCTTTCAGCATTAGTCTGAGCCCACGAAGAACACTCCAAACTCTGTTGTCCAAGTCGTAGTGTGTTGCATGCAGTGATTTGCTCCCCTTTTGAGCAAAAAGAAAATCTTTTTGGCGAGGAATTTGTGCTCAAGCATTTGTTCAAAAGCACAAAACCCTTTTGTGAGTTAGAAACGACTTTAAATTGTATTTGGAGTTGGCAATTGATTCAGTTCTTCTGCACTTTCACGCAGAGTTCGTAGATGAGCTTCTGTGGACAAGTCACAAGTCCTTGACTTTACTAGGACCTCTCTGCCCTTCAGTTCCAATTTTGGATATTCCATTCCGTTTTGCTTTTTCTTGTTTTGCTGAGATCGAGTTTTGCAATCTATTTTTGCTAGAATGCTCGCATTTTTGAAACAATTGCAGACAATAAGCAATGCCACCTGTGGCCCTGCAGCTGCAGCTGCACAACTTCGCAACAAACTGCTGAGTATAATCATTCTACAGGCTGCTGAATAAACACATTTTGTTTTCTAAAGCATAACTCCATCAAATCTGGCCCTTAGGGGCTGCAGCGAAAAGTAATGAAAGCTCTCGAGCATCTTTTAAAGTAGCAGATCTGTCTTGCTCTCTGAAGCACTTTTGGAGCTTGTCAAGTTGCATTGAAGAGTTCTGTTTCCCTCACTGAAATTCTTTAGCTAGTATTTGCTTTATATGTTTATTTTTGGGTTTATGATGAAATGCTTGACACTTTTGTGCAGATAATATCTCACGAAAGCGAATACGAGGTGACGTGCTAAGCTCTGCAGGCAATTCCAGTTTCGTTTTCCTTTTGTGCAGGGAATCTTTTCTTTGCAGGTTTAATTCATTTAAATCCCTTAACCATTCGCTGAAATATTTAAAAAAGAACTTTTAAGTTTTCCTGGAAACCTCAAAGTTTATTATTATTCTTCTGCAGACTTCTACAGCAACACGGGCGTCCCCGGGTGCAGCTGCGCGATGACAGTTTGAACTAGGGAGAAATCTGCACAACTTTCTTCCCTTTTGGTCTTTTTCTGCGGAAATTAGTCTTTAAAATTGCTAAATAAAGAAACTTGAAAACATTTTAAAGCTTCTGTTGCAGTACTGCAGTTAATAACTCAGAGATCGCGTGAAAGCGATCCGAACTTGCAATTCCGCGTTTTTGCAAATGTGCAGGAAAGCTGCTCGCTGCTGCTCATGTGACCAGATCCATCATTACTTGATTTACACAATTGCAAAAGTTTTACTTTTTTAAAAGAGTTTTACTTTTTAAAAAGGTTTTATAAATTGAAATCAAGCCCGAACATGAGGTATAGTGTAGAGCTCGTTGAACTCCGATCTATTCTGACTTTCCCGAACCGCAGAGCCTGCAGCTTCGAAGATCTTGAAATGATGCTGCTCTGCATGTTTTTCCACCAATTAATGTTTTTCCACCTATTAATTTATGATAATAAGTGCAAATGAAAGGCAATTTTCCTTTGCTGCTGCCAGAAAGAAGCTGACGAGAGCCGAAGGGTCACTGACACGGCAAGGCGTGTTGTCTCAGCAGCAGCAGGCGGCCGGAAGTCAGCAGGATGGGATGCACTGAAGCTCATAGTTTCCCTGAAATTGAATAATTTATTTTAATTCAACGAAAGAATAATTTATTTTAATTAAAACAAAAGAATTTAAAAGAATGCGAACACCTCCGGCCATTTCGGCTGCCAAAGGTGGTCCTTGTGCTCTCCCACCAACCACCTAATTTGGATACAAGTTTGGGGCGACTCACATGTAGAAAAGACCCAAATTAAATTAAATTAAAATTAAAAAACAATGAATTAATAAAGTACAGAAATTCCCCACCTATATTATATATTATATGTTATGGCTGCAGAAAGCCGGGTCCTTTGACCAGTGCATGCAAAGCCTGTTCACGCGCAAACCTTTGTCTTCTGCGCATGCAACGGCCAATTTGCATTTCAAATCTTTTTAAATCTTTTTTTCGCAACTTATTTGAATTTATTTTGCCATTTTTTGCACAATTAAAGCGAGAAAAGTTGCAAAAGGAGCCCGCAGGCCTGTAGCCGCGATCTTGGAAGACTGACGCGGCTACTTAGCGAATTTTTGAAGTCATTTGTGCAACTTTAGAACAGAAAATGATATTAAAATGGCAAATAAAGTGAAAAATGTGAATTAGAAGCCACTTTAATAATAAAACTCGCAAATAAATGCAAATGGGGGGGTGGAAAGACCCTGCAGGATCCTGTGACAAGCTCAGAGTTTGCTACACCTGCGAACTGCAGCAAAGAGGAACTCCGTGCGCCTTAGAGAGCCAGCCGCTGCTGCAGGTCTTTAAATTTAATTTTAATTTCCAAAGAATTACAAATTTGTTCATTTTAACTTCATTTTGGCAATTTGCAGCGGGAATTGCTGCAGCCGGTGCTGACCCGACTTGCTGCACCAATCAGCAGCCTTAGAAGGTGCTGCTGCGCCGCTGCAGCTGCCAAAAGTGGTGCAGCATTACATGAAGCTAAAGAGAGTCATAAAAATTAATTAAAATGGCTAATACTTGTGCTGAGGAGAAAGACAACTGGGCTTTTCTTGCTGCTGCATTATCTCATTATCTGCAACGTGGGAACAGAAGTGCTATCTAAGAAAGCCGTTAAAATGCTGCAACAATATTCCAGGATGTGTTGGATCTACAAAATAGTTTTAAAAGGAATTATTGGTGAAATGTTTCTGCAAAGAATTGTGAATAAGATGAGAAGAGGAAAGAGCGGCGAAGATCGCTGGCAGCTTTCCCGGTGAGCGATGGCTGCTGCGGTGACTGCGGGAAAGGGGGCACGAAATTGTTTCATTTGAATCCAAATATTCCAAAAAATGATTTTAAAAAGATAATTTATCGAAATAAATGCTTTAAAAAAGATCTAATCCGGAGAAATCTTCTTTTCACGAAAGCTGCCAGCCCTAAGGATCTGCTGCTGCTGCAGAGCTGCGCATACACCGCGTCTGGGCCTGGCCTCGTTTTCAGCAGAACTTTTTGCAAACTTTTTGGAAACTTTCGGAAACTTTTGGAAACTTTTTGAAAACTCTTTTTAAACTTTTTGCAAAACCATTTGCTGGCTTTTGCTGCTGTTTTCCCGTGTTATTGGCATTTAAAAAGGCTTTTTCTGCACTAGAAAGCCCCGCATCCGAAAAGTTGAAACTTGAAAAGTTGAAAATGCATGCAAGCTTTGCTGCTGGGGTTTTTGGGGGCTTTTTCACTTTTCTTTGAAAACTCTTTTTTCCTTTTTTCTCTCCAACTCACAAAAGCACATTTGCTGCAAAAAGAAAACCTTTTGGAGCTCTAATTGGCACAAAAGCTCGCCCTGGCTGCTGCTGCCACCCTTTCCCGGGGGAAACCCACCGCTTTCTTGCTGCTGCCGCTGCTGCTGCTGCTGCTGCTGCTGCTGCTGCTGCTGCTGCTGCTTTAGCAGCGCGGCTTGCTGCTGCTGCCTTCTGCTGCTTTCTTTGAACTCGAAACTTCCCCGAAAATAAATCCACTTGAGGAGCCCCACAGCTCTGTTAAGCAGCTGCCAAGCAGCAGCTTTGGGCTCAAAACTTAGCCGAATTTTGCAAAATTTAAAAATTACTTCTTCTCCATTTTGTGCCTCTTTAGGGGCCCCAGCAAAGCTCTCAGGCCCAAGAGGCCAGCGGGGCCCCCAGGGTTTGCTGCGCTTTTCGCTGCAGCACGCAGCAAAAAAAAGAAAATGCACTTGCAGCAGCAGCAGCAGCAGCAGCAGCAGCAGCAGCAGCAACACCAGCAGCAGCTAAAGGGCCTGCGTAAACCAACAACAAACAGACTTAATGTTGACAGCGGCTCTCGCAGCAGCAGCGCACGTTTACGTGAGTGAGTTTCTGCTCGACAAACCAAAGCTAGCTAGCAGCAGCAGCAGCCGCAGCAGCAGCAGAAGCAGCCGCAGCAGCAGCAGCAGCAGCAAGAGCAGCAGCAGGGTGAACAGCTGCAGCAGCAGTTGTTGTCGTGGTAGCCCGCTGCACCTCTTGCGGCAGTCTACCGGGGAAGCCACTGCAGCAGCACTGACAGCAGAAGATGGGTGAGACAACGCAGCAGCAGCAGCAGCAGCAGCAGCAGCTGCTGCTGCTGCTGCTCCGCTGCTGCTGCTGTGGGGTTGCAGCGAGAAGCCGGGCCTCTAGGCCCAACACGAAGACTCAGACAGATTTTCTAAAAGTTTGTAATTGAATTGAAATTAAATTTAAAATAATTAAAAAGACTTTTGAAGAAAAAATAAACCGCGCAGCAATCGAGGGGCAGCCGCCGGCGTATCGGCGCTGCAGCAGCAGCAGTGGCATCAGCTGCTGCTGCTGCTGCTGCTGCAGCACAAATGGCATTGCTGTGCGCTTTCGTAAGTGGCCTGCTGCTGCTTTATCTAGGCTATTCTGCGCAGCCCCAAAAGTAGAAGAAGTTCCCACTAGTGCTGCTGCTGCTGCTGCTGCTGCGCTCACTCGGCAGCAGCAGACGCCGAAGCTGCTGCAGCAGCAGCAAGTAGAAACGCCGCCTTGCTGCTGGAGAGTTAGACAACAAGTCAGCAGCAGCAGCAGCAAGTTGAATGTTTCTGAAAATGCTGCTGCTGCAGCACTAGCAGCGACTGTACGTGGTACGTAGGCGGCGGCGCTGCCGCTGCTGCTGTTGCTGCTCCCCCACAGCTCCAGCAGCTGCTCCTGCTGCAGCAGCAGCAGCAGCAGCAGCAACAGCAGCTGGGTCTGCATCTGTTCTGCTGTTTGTGCGTCGTTTGGGGGATTTTGGAATATCAAGTGAGATTGTGCTGCTGTCCGTTGTGAAGTTTGGGCTGCTCGGTAGGCTTGCAGCAGCAGCAGCAGCAGCAGCGGCAGCAGCAGCAGCAGCAGCAGAACTTGTTGCCGCTATTGCGGCGTTGCCGCTGCACTTCTTTTCTCCTCAATTCCTTCATTTCAGCCACCCCTCTCTTCTGTTTGTCTGTACACATCGCCTGCTGCTCCCCTAGCTGCAGCAACTGCAGCTGCAACTGCAGCAGAAGCTGCAGCAGCAGCAGCAGCGCCCCCCGCCAGCGCCCGCAGAGGGCAGCAGCAGCAGCAGTGACTGAAGCAGCTCCCACAGAAGACTTTCTTGGTGCAACACAGCGCATTTCCGTCCCTGAAGGCGTTTGCTGCCCGGCAGCAGCAGCAGCAGCAGCAGCAGCAGCAGCAGCAGCTGCTGCAGCACTGGGACGCCATCACAACAGAGCGGCTTGCATCTGCATGTGCATGTGATTTCGGGTGTGATGCCCTGCCACTGATACTAGGCCACTGGAAACAGCAGCAGCAGCAGCAGCGGCAGCAGCAGCAGCAGCAGCAGCGGCAGGAAGGCAGCAGCAGCAAGGCAGCAGCAGCAGGCCCGTTTTCTTCTAAGGCCTTGTACCTGCCGCAGCAAGCCAGGCCTCCTTTTTGCTGCTGCTTCCCAACTTTTGCTGCTGCCTCTTTTGTTGCTGCTGTGGGGCGGCGTTGCTTCCAGGCCTGAAGCTCCTGCCAGCCATCTGCGGAAGCTGCAGCAGCAGCAGCAGCAGCAGCAGCAGCAGCAGCAGCAGCTGGTGCTGCTCGGCGACCTCTTTTGGGTTTAGCGTTTCAGAAGCTTTCATAAGACTGCCTCTGCTTCCTCTGCTTCTCCCGTAGCCTCTGCTGCTGCTGCTGCTGCTGCTGCTGCTGCTGCCAGCTGCTCGTCATGATGTCCACTGCCGACACAGACACTCCCCCCCACAATGCGGGCTTGCTGAAGCTGCAGCAGCAGCAGCAGCAGCAGGAGGCAGCAGCAGATAAGTGCAGCTCTCAGCGTCCCAAGGCGAAGAGCAGCAGCAGCAGCAGCAGCAGCAACAGCAGCAGCCCTAGCCTCGACGGCGCGCAGGAGCAGCAGCAGCAGCAAAGCAGCCGCTTGCGCGCTGAGGCCTCTGAATTTAGACCCCTGCCAAAGTCTGTCACTCCGCAGCAGCAGCAGCAGCAGCAGCAGCAGCAGGCAGGCGTAACCAGTAGCAGCTGCAGCGAGAAGGCCAACAGCAGCAGCATCAGCAGCAGCAACAGCAGCAGCAACAGCAGCAGCAACAGCACCACCGGAAAAGCATATCAGTTTAACCGCAACGCGCAGGAGTTTGTTCCGGGGCGGCCTTACGTGCTTCCTGGAACAGCAGCAGCAGCAGCAGCAGCAGCAACAGCAGCAGCAACACCGGTGGGCGCGTCGCCGGCAGCAGCATCCGCAGCAGGGTATGCATGCGCAGTGCAGCAGCAACCTGCTTTCTACGGCTCCCCTGCAGCAGCAGCAGCAGCAGCAGCACGGACTCCCCACCAGCAGCAGGCGTATCCTGCCTACGCCTACGCAGCTGCTTATGGGACGCCGCAGCAGCAGCAGCAGCAGCAGCAGCGCCAGCCGAAGCCGGGGAGGCAGCAGCAGCAGCAGCAGCAGCAGCAGCAGCGGGGGGGCCCCATGAGCGCCCACTCGGGGCGCCGGTGGGCGCCCACACACACTCCAGGCTCTCCCGGTGTGTCCCGCACGCCGCAGCAGCAGCAGCAGCAGCAGCAGCCACAGCAGCAGCAGCAGCAGCAGCAGCCGCCACCTCCTCCCCCGCCTGCCAGCGTTGTCTGTGAACAGCAGCAGCAAACGCTGCCCGGAGGCAGCTTCAGAGACAGGCTGCTGAAGGGAGCTGCTGCTAAGAAACCAAACAGCCCTGCGCAGCAGAAGCAGCAGCAGCAGCAACAGCAGCAGCAGCAGCAGCAGCAGAAGCCGAAGGAGGCAGCACGATCCAGGTCTCCACAGCCGCAGCAGCAGCAGCAGCAGGCGGCTGCAGCGGATAAGGAGCCTTCTATAAATGGCTGTGTGCAAGCTCAGCAGCAGCCACAGCAGCAGCAGCAGCAGCAGCAGCAGCAGCAGCAGCAGCTGCAGGCACCCGCTGCGTCAAAGCGGGGGCCTTCGCCCGCATCGCCTCGCCGTGCAGCGCCTGCAGCAGCAGCAGCAGCAGCAGCAGCAAAGCCAGCAGCAGAAGCACCGAAGCAGGGCACCTGGAGCGATCGGGTGCGAGCTGCTGCTCCTCAGCAGCAGCAGCAGCAGCAGCAGCAGCAGTTGGCACCGACGGCAGGACAAGCTGGTGCCGCAAAGAGAGCCAAGAGCCCAGCAGCAGCAACAGCGAAGCAGCAGCAGCAGCAGCAGCAGCAGGGCCAGCAGCAGCAGGACTCCAAGCAGGCAAAAATTTACTCTCCAGCTCCTCCCGCAGCAGCAGCCACAACAGCTGCAGCAGCAGCAGCAGCAGCAGCAGCAAAGGCAGAACAAACAGCAGCAAGTGCTGCTCCTGCTAACAATTGCCCGAAGGCACAGGACACTCCACCCTCAGCAAAACCGGCAGCACCAGCAGCAGCGGCACCAGCAGCAGCAGCAGCACCTGCTGCTGCAGCAGCAGCACCAGCTGCAACCGCAGCAGCTCCAGCTGCAGCCACAGCAGCACCAGCTGCGAGCGCAGCAGCACCTGCTGCACCAGCAACAGCACCAGCTGCAACGGCACCAGCTGCAGCAGCACCAGCTGCAGCAGCACCAGCTACAGCAGCAGCAGCACCAGCAGCAGCAGCAGCAGCACCAACTGCAGCAGCAGCAGCACCAGCTGCAGCAGCAGCACCAGCTGCAGCAGCAGCACCAGCTGCCGCTACAGCTGCAGCAGCACCAGCTGCAGCAGCAGAACCAGCAGCCGCAACGGCTAAGGCGGCAGAAGTGACAACGCCACCGCCGCAGCAACAGCAGCAGCAGCAGCAGCAGCAGCAGCAGCAGCCGGCCCCAGCAGCAGAGAATAGCGGCAGAAGCAGGGGCAGCGGGGGTTCGAGCTGGGCTGACAGGGTGAAGGCCGCCAAGGCAAAACCAGCAGCACCAGCAGCAGCAGCAGCACCTGCTGCAGCAGCAGCACCTGCTGCAGCGAAGCAGCAGCAGGAGAGCGATGGTAAGCACCAGCCGCCTGCCCGGGCAACACATAGCCCTCAGCAGCAGCAGCAGCAGCAGCCGCAGCAACAGCCGCAGTGGCCTGTACGGCGTGCTGCTGCTGCGCAAGATGCGCAGGAGAGGCAGCAGCAGCAGCAGCAGCAGCAGCAGAAGCCTCAGCATGAGTGGGGTAGAAGGGCGGCAGCAGGAGCAGCAGCTGCCCCCGCCGCAGCAGCTCCCGCTGCAGCCACACCACCATCAGCTGCAGCAGCAGCTGCTGCCCCAGCAGCAGCAGCAGCAGCTGCCCCAGCAGCTGCCCCAGCAGCAGCACCTGCTGCAGCAGCAGCACCACCAACAGCAGCGCCTGCGGAGTCACTGGCTTCTTCCCCAGCCCCCGCAGCAGCAGCAGCAGCAGCAGCAGCAGCAACAGAGAGCTCGGCGGCGAGCACATCCTCCCCAGACTCGAGCGGAGCAGCAGCAAACGAAAGCCCAGACGCAGCAGCAGCAGCAGCAGCAGCAGCAGCAGCAGCAGGCGGCAGCCTGTCTTGGGCAATGCGGGCGCGGCTAGCGAAGGACAGGCCCGACCCCGTGAAGCTGCAGCCGTCGCCGCCGCAGCAGCAGCAGGCAGCAGCAGCAAACGGAGGGGAGCAGCAGCAGCCGCAGCAGCAGCAGCAGCACGGAGGCGCGCAGCGCGGCAGCAGGGGCAGGGGAGGTGCAGCAAGGGGAGGCAGCAGCAGCCACCAAGACCAGCACTGGGGCAGCAGCAGCAGCAGCAGCAGCAGCGGCAGGGGGCCCCACAGCAGGGGCCGGGGGGGCCCCCATGGGGCCCACGGGCAGCGCAGGGGGGGGCTGCGGCAGCAGCAGCAGCAGCAGCAGCAGCAGCAGGAGGAGTGGCCGGGGGAGGCGGCGCGCTCGGAGCAGCAGCAGCAGCCGCAGCCGGAGCCGCAGCAGCAGCAGCAGCAGCAGCCAGAGCCGCAGCAGCAGCAGCAGCAGCAGCAGCAAGTTCCCAAACCCGCAGGAGTTTGGGCTGCAGGCGCTGCGCCTCTTGGCCGGTGGGTGGTGCCTCCCCCCCGCCCTGCAGCAGCAGACCAGCAGCAGCAGCAGCAGCAGCAGCAGCAGCAGCAGCGGCAGCCAGCAGCTTCAGGAGCTGCTGCTGCTGCTGCTGCTGCTGCTGAGGCTGCAGGCGCAGCAGCTTCCACGGCTGCTTCCGGCACGGAGGAGGCAGAGAAGGCTCCCCGCGCAGCAGCAGCAGCACCTGCTGCTGCTGCGCAGCAGCAGCAGCAGCAAGAGCCGTGCGCTGCGCCTGTGTGGCCAAAGTCAAGGCCAACCGTGAAGCGGCCGCAGCAGCAGCAGCAGCAGCAGCAGCAGCAGCAGCAGCAACCCGCAGAGACGCAGCTGCTGCCGGGGCAGTGGCAGCGCTTTGCCCTCCCGAGAGGGAAGAGAGACGCAATGAAGGCGGAGGAGAAGAAGAGGCCGCCGCAGCAGCAGCAGCAGCAGCAACCGCAGCAGCAGCAGCAGCAGCAGCAGCAGCAGCAGCAGAAGCCGCGGTCGCCTGAGTGGGCGCGCCCCACACCGCTCCCTATGGCCAGCAGCAGTATCCCTGTGGCTGTCTTTACTTCGGAGGACAAACCAGCAGCAGCAGCAGCAGCAGCAACAGCAGCAGCAGCAGCTGCTGCTGTTCTCCCGGGGATGCTCAGAGATAGCTTGGCTATGCCGAAGACATCCCAGAAACCGCCGTTGCAGCAGCAGCAGCAACCACAGCAGCAGCAGCAGCAGCAGCAGCAGCAGCAACAGCAGCAAAGGCCCGCCGCGCCGCGCACTTCATCTCCTCGACCCGCTGAAGACCGCGGGTCGGCAGCAGCACCTGCTGCAGCAGCGCCTGCTGCAGCAATGCCCACTGCAGCAGCACCTGCTGCAGCAATGCCCTCTGCAGCAGCAGCAGCAGCACCTGCACCTGCTGCAGCAGCCCCTGCTTCGGCAACGCCGGCTGTAGCAATACTTGTAACAGCACCTGCTGCAGCAGCACCTGCTGCAGCAGCACCTGCTGCAGCAGCACCTGCTGCAGCAGCACCTGCAGCGGCGCCTGCTGAGGCAGCGCCTGCTGCACCAACACGTGCTGCAGCAGCACCTGCTGCAGCAGCAGCTGCTGCAGCAGCACCTGCTGCAGCAACACGTGCTGCAGCAGCAACTCTTGCCACCTCAGAGCCTGCGGAAGCCTCCCCAAGAAGGAGGCGGTCTCGCTCTCCTGCTGGCAGCAGCAGAGGCCGGCTGTCGCCTGCTGCTTCTCCAAAGCCTGCTGCAGCAAGGGCAGGCAGCAGCAAGCCAGCATCCCCAGCAGCAGCAGCAGCAGCAGCAGCAGCAGCACCTGCTGCTGCAGCCGGCAGCAGCAGCGCAAAGAAGACGAGCCCGAAGGACGCGTGGGGTGACGACGATGTTGAGGAGGAAGAGCAGAAGCCTGTGCAGCCCCCTCCTGCTGCAGCAGCAGCAGCAGCTCCAGCAGCAGCAGCAGCAGCAGCAGCAGCAGCAGCAGTTTATTCCATTGGATTCCTAGCCAAAATCAAAGGACACCCCAGCTGCCAGCCCCCCAAAGTGAATGCTGTCTTCCGCGTGGCGGACGGCGCCTTCTACTTGCCGCAGGCAGCACTGCATCCGCAGCAGCAGCAGCAGCAGCAGCAGCAGCACCAGCAGCAGCAGCAGCAGCAGCAGCAGTTCAGGTCGAGGCAGCAGCAAGGCGCCATGGACCACCAGGAGTGGCAGAGAAGGCCTAGAGACGCGGGAGCGCATGAAGACGCAATGAGGAGCTTCGGGGCAGCACGGTGTGTTGCTGCTGCTGCTGTTGCTGCTGCTGCTGTTGCTGCTGCTGCTGCTGTTGCTGCTGCTGTGGATATGCTCAGCAGCAGCGTGCCCGTCCACTCTTTTGCAGAAAAAGCTGTAAACTGTAGAAAAATCCAAAGAGGCTTTCTGCGTATCTTTCTACCGATAGAGTAACATGCTGCTGTTGCTGCTGCTGCTGCTGCTGCTGTTGCTGCTGCTGCTTCTGCTGCTGCTGCTGCTGCTGCTGCTGCAGGTCGGCGGGGCTCCCGGGGGCTCCCCGTGGCGCTGCTTCTTTGGGGGGTTTCTTCTCTCAAGAGAAGCCCCCAGACTTCAGCAGCGTGAGGCGGGAAAGGCCTAAAGCAGCAGCAGCAGCAGCAGCAGCAGGAGCAGCAGCAGCAGCAGCAGCAACACTTCCTGCGCCTTCTAAGGACTCTTGGGTGGTCATTCAGGAGAAGCAAAAGGAGTCCGTGGGGCCCTCAAGATTAAATAAATAAATAAATAAATAAATAATAAATAATAAATAAATAATAAATGGTAATAAATATTTAAATACATTAATGGCAAATTATATTTAGCTGACTGGCTTGTAGAGTTGGCTCGCGTGGGGTTTTGCTGCTGCTGTTGCTGCAGTGGCCGCTGCTGCTGCATTTGCTGCTGCTGACTTGTCTTCTGCTGCTCTTTTGCTGCTGCTGCTGCTGCTGCTGCTGCTGCTGCTGCTGCACTGGCTGTTGCTGCCGATATGTGGGCTGTTGCTGGTCCGTCTGCTGCTGCTGCGGCGCACGCGGCCCCTCTTCCGCTGCGGGGTGCGCTGCACCTGCTGCTGCTGCTGCTGCTGCTGCTGCTGCTGCTGCTGCTGCTGCTGCAGGGACGCGCAAATGGTGCTGCTGCGGCACCTCAAGGGCCTGCTGAACAAACTCACAATAGAACGTTTTGACAGAATTTATCAACAGATTTTAAATGCCGGAATTAAACAAGAAAAAGAAGTCAAGGCCCTCATGCAAATGATTTTCGACAAGGCCGTTTCCCAGCACCACTTCATACAAGTCTGCTGCTGCTGCTGCTGCTGCTGCTGCTGCTGCTGCTGCTGCTGCTGTGTTGCTGCTGTGTTGCTGCACTGCGGGTGTGCTGTCGGGGGTCTGCTGCTGCTGCGGCTGCTTCCTTGCTGTTGCTGCCCTGCTGCTGTGCTGCAGCTGCTGCTGCGTCGCGTCTGTTGTTGTGTTGCTGCTGCGCTGCTGCAACTGCTGCTGCTGTTGCTGCTGCTGCTGCTGCTGCTGCTGCTGCAGATGTACGTGATGCTCTGCGGAAAGTTGAAAACGGACTTCCAAGAGCTCCTTCAAGACGACCACAGGAGCACCAAGTTCCGAAGGTAGCTCTGCTGCTGCTGCTGCTGTTGCTGCTGTTGCTGTTGCTGCTGCTGCTGTAGCTGCTGCTGCTGTTGCTGCTGCAGCAGCAGCAGCAGCAGCAGGCTGCTGCAGGCATTCATCTGCTGCTGGCGCTGCAGCCGACCATGCGGGTTCCACCGCTTCGTTTCTTCCTGCTCTTTGTTCGAAAAACCAGACAAATAAATAAAAATTAAATAAATAATTAAAATTAAATAAATAAAAAATAATTAATTACTTTTGCTGCTGCTGCTGCTGCTGCTGCTGCTGCTGCTGCAGGATTCTTATTGACCAGTGCGAAGATTCCTTCAACGCCAACTTGGAGCCAATTGCAGTCCCGCAGGGCCTCAGCGAAGACGACGCCTACGAGTTTGAACTGAATTACAAAAAGACAATGACAGGTAGGGTTTAGGGTTTAGGGTTTAGGGTTTAGGGTTTAGGGTTTAGGGTTTAGGGTTTGGGGTGCGTGGGGTGCGGCGGTTTCGCGCGGGAGAAGCGGGCGCGGCGGAGGCAGCAGGCGGCCGCGCAGGCTTCCGGCTGCAAGGCTTAGGGTTTAGGGTTTAGGGTTTAGGGTTTAGGGTTTAGGGTTTAGGGTTTGCGAGCAGGGAACATGATATTTGTGGGGGAGCTGCTGAAGTCGAAGATGATCTCGCAGGCCATTCTGCTGGAGTGTATCGACAGGTTGCTGCAGAAACGCTCCGAGTGTATAGACACCTCAAACTCCAAAGACCAAGGAGTTCACCACGTGGAAGCCCTTTGCGCCTTTCTCCACACTGTCGGGCCTTTCTTCGATAACCCCCAGGTGAGGGTTTAGGGTTTAGGGTTTAGGGTTTAGGGTTTAGGGGTTGGGGGTTGGGGGTTAGCGGTTGGGGGTTAGCGGTTGGGGTTTGCCCTTTGCGTTTTTCTCCGCACCGTCGGGCCCTTCTTCGATAACCCCCAGGTGGGGGTTTAGGGTTTAGGGTTTAGGGTTTAGGGTTTGGGGTTTAGGGTTTAGGGTCTACGTTACACTGCGTTACAGTGGCGGTTGTACGGGGAGTTTTGCACTCGAATGAACGCCGCGAAAACCCTCTCGCCGCGCGTTTAGGGCCTAAAGTTTAGGGTTTAGGGTTTAGGGTTTAGGGTTTAGGGTTTGCGCTGCAGTAGCGGTTGTACGGGGACTTTTGCTCGCGAATGAACGCCGCGAAAACCCTCTCGCCGCGCGTTTAGGGCCTAGGGTTTAGGGTTTAGGGTTTAGGGTTTAGGGTTTGCGCTGCAGTGGCGGTTGTACGGGGAGTTTTGCACTCGAATGAACGCCGCGAAAACCCTCTCGCCGCGCATTTAAGGCCTAGGGCCTAGGGTTTAGGGTTTAGGGTTTAGGGTTTAGGGTTTGCGCTGCAGTGGCGGTTGTACGGGGAGTTTTGCACTCGAATGAACGCCGCGAAAACCCTCTCGCCGCGCGATTGGTGCTTAGGGCCTAGGGTTTAGGGTTTAGGGTTTAGGGTTTAGGGTTTGCGCTGCAGTGGCGGTTGTACGGGGAGTTTTGCACTCGAATGAACGCGGTGGAAACCCTCGCGAAAGACAAAAGTCTCCCTTTTAGGGTTCGGTGTTTAATGACGGATGTTTTGGACTCGAGAAGTGTGGGGTGGCGGCGGCAGGCGCCGCACCAGCGGGAGGGCCCCACGACTCTGGGGGAGTTGCATGCGCAGCAGCAGCAGCAGCAGCAGCAGCAGCAGCAGCAGCAGCACCCCTACAACCCCCTGGCCAACCCCCTCCAGTCCAGAGACAAACACCACCACGATGAAGGCGGCTGGGAAGTTGCTTCTGGAAAAAGGGGCGCAGCAACTCACGCCAGGACGCCCTCCAGCGCCGTGAGGGTTTAGGGTTTAGGGTTTAGGGTTTAGGGTTTGGGGTTTGGGGTTTAGGGTTTAGGGTTCGGGGGTGGGGTGTACGGGTTGGGGAGCTGCAGCGCCGGTGGGACTTGGCTGCAGCGCAGCAGCGGATCGGGCGAGGGCTAGTGGGAGCGAAGGTTTAGGGTTTAGGGTTTAGGGTTTAGGGTTTAGGGTTTAGGGTTTGGGCTGGGCTTGCAGACGTCCAACGCGCTTTCGGGGCTCGGCGGAGGCGGCCAGTCGGCCTTTAGGTGAGCTTCTGCTGCTGCTGCAGTTGCTGCAGTTGCTGCTGTGACTGCTGCTGCAGTTGCTGCTGCTGCTGCTGCTGCTGCTGCTGCTGCTGCTACTGCTGCTGCTGCTGCAGGCCCATGCACTTGTAGCTCTTTCCAGTTCGCGCAACTTCGACCTGTTTTATCATTTAAATACTATTTATTATTATTTATTATTTACATTAATTAATTTAATTAATTAAATTAAATTAATTAAATTAAATTAATTAAATTAAATTAATTTATTTATTTTTGCTGCAGCCAATTGGGCCGCATGCGACAAGAGCGCGAGCGGGACCGCCGCCACCAGTCGGGAGGCCGTTTGCTGCTGACAGAAGAAAAGAAGAAAAAGAAGGAAACTGCGTTAGTTCCATTTGCTGCTGCTGCTGCTGCTGCTGTTGCTGCTGCTGCTGCTGCTGCTGCTGCTGCTGCTGCTGCTGTTGCTGCTGATGCTGATGCTGCTGTAGTGGCTGCTGTTCCTGCTGCTGCAGCTCGTGCGAAGCTGGCTGGGGCTGCAGCTGCTGCTGCTGCAGCGGCTGCTGGGGCTGCTGCTGCTGCTGCTGCTGCTGGGGCTGCTGCTGCTGCTGTTTCTGCCATTGCTGCTGCTGCTGCAGCTGCTAAAGGTCCCGCCTTACTGTGTAGTAGTCAAGAGAAGCACAAAGCATTTCAGGATCACTTGCGAGCTAGCATTAGGGTTTAGGGTTTAGGGTTTAGGGTTTGGGTCTTGTTTTCTTCCTGAAGTCTTAATTGCTGCTGTCTTGCGGATCTGCTGCTGCGGCGCAGCAACGCGACGATACCCCCTCCGCCCGCTGCAGCGAGCCCCAGCAGCAGCAGCAGCAGCAGCAGCAGCAGCAGCAGCAGCAGCAGCAGCGGCTTGCTGGACGCGGAAGCTGCGAGGGTTTTGGCCCGGCGAGAGTTTGGGGATTTGCTTTGCATGTCAGCAGCAGAGGCTTTGGAGGTTTTCTCAGGCATTGAGGGGGCAACTCAAGAGGCCCAAAAGGTGAGGGTTTAGGGTTTAGGGTTTAGGGTTTAGGGTTTGGGAGGGCCTGCGAAGGGGCGAGGGTTTAGGGGCTGCTTGGGCTCCTCGGGGACAGGGAGGTTGCTGAAGAAGGCAAAGACAGGGATCTGCAGCGGGGCCCGCAGGCGAGGGTTTAGGGTTTAGGGTTTAGGGTTTAGGGTTTGGGGGTGTTGCGGCAGGCCCTGCTGCTGGAGCTGCTGCTGCTGGCAGCAAACAAACTGACTTCTGACAAGCCGCAGCAGCAGCAGCAGCGCAAAACGCTTTTTAAGAACATGGTGGCCGTGGCGGCGTCTCCAGCTTTTCCTCCCGAAACCCTAAAACAAGGGTGAGGGTTTAGGGTTTAGGGTTTAGGGTTTAGGGTTTAGTGGGGGCACAGGCCGCGTGTGGGGACTCGCGAGTGCCCGGGGCTCCTCGCGCCGCCGCTCCAGCGGCCCCGCAAACCCTAGCAGGGCCACGGCTTAGAACTAGGGTTTAGGGTTTAGGGTTTAGGGTTTAGGGTTTAGGGTTTAGGGTTTGTGGCTGCAGCCTGAGGGAGTTCATGGGGCTCACTGGAGAGGGAGAAGGCCTTTATAGAGACTTGCTGCTGGATGCTCCTCACTTGCCGAGTTTTATGCGAGAGTTCATTGACGTTATTGAAGGCAAACCCTAAACCCTAAACCCTAAACCCTAAACCCTAAACCCTAGTTTGGGCGGGGGGTCTCGGCCCTGCCAAACCCTCGCGCCGCTGCTGCTGCTGCTGCTGCTGCTGCTGCTGCTGCTGCTGCTGCTGGGCGAAGTGCCTAGCGCTTCTTTTTGCTGCTGTTTGTTGTGTTTTAATTTAATTTAATTTAATTTAATTTAATTATTTATTTATTTAATTTAATTAATTATTTATTTAATTTAATTATTTAATTTATTATTTATTTTATTTATTTTATTTATTTGTTTTGCTGCTGCAGCTTCAGACAAAGACCGCCAGCTGCTGAGTACTGCAGCGCTGGATGACTTGCGAGGGCGTCTATGAAATTAGGGTTTGGCAAACCCTAAACCCTCGCGCTTTTTCTAAACCTCTTTTTAATGATAAAGCCTAGGGTTTGCAAACCCTAAACCCTCGCGGCCTGCTGCTGCAGCAGCAGCAGGCGCTGCAGCAGCTGCAGCAGCAGCAGGCGCTGCAGCTGCTAAGCACAAAGCCTTAGGAGTTGCCTGCTGCTGCTGCTGCAGCAGCAGCAGCAGCAGCAGCAGCAATTTCTGCTGCTGCTAAGGAGGCTATTGCCTCTCCAATTATATCTTATCTGAGAACACAAATATTTGAACTTACACGTACCACCGCTGGCTGGCGATGAGGGTTTAGGGTTTAGGGTTTAGGGTTTAGGGTTTAGGGTTTAGGCTTAGCGCGTGGAGAAGCTCTTGAGTCTGCTCGCGCTAGGGTTTAGGGTTTGCGGCTGTGGGGCCGGATGAGGGTTTAGGGTTTCTGGGGGCAGAGTTTTCTCCCGCTAGGTTTTAGGGTTTACGATTTTTAGGGTTTAGGGTTTAGGGTTTGCAAGGGCTAGCCCGAGGGTTTAGGTGTTCCGGGGAAAATGGCTCTCCGCCCTCCAGGGCTAGGGTTTAGGGTTTAGGGTTTAGGGTTTGGGGTTTAGCCCGGGCTGTCTCGGGGTTTTTGGCGAGACGGAGTTGAAAAATTGCTTTTAAAAACCCTAATTTTGACTTTTGAATCTTAAACCCCAAACCCCAAACCCTAAACCCTAAACCCTAGCCACAGGGTGCTGCTGAGGCGCCGCCGCCGCCGCCGCATCGTCTCCCCCCCAGGGTTGAGGGTTTAGGGTTTAGGGTTTAGGGTTTAGGACTTGCGTGGATTTCTTTTTTACTCTTTTGGGGCCTATGGGACAAATTAGTGTTTGTCTTTGTCTTTAAGGTCAGCAACTCCTAAACCCTAAACCCTAAACCCTAAACCCTACCCCCCATGCCTCCTGTGTGCTGCAGCAATCGAGGAAACGTGCAGCGTGATCAGCTCCCAGCGCGAGCACTGCAAACCCTAAACCCTAAACCCTAAACCCTAAACCCTAAATTCTAAACGCTAAACCCTAAACCCTAATGTGTCGTTCCTGTCTTGTTGGAGTTCTGCTGGGGTTTAGGGTTTCGGCGACACCAGCCGCTGTCTGCGCGCCCCACTGCGCCGACAAACCCTAAACCCTAAACCCTAAACCCTAAACCCTAAACCCTGCGTGCGCATTCAGGATTAAAAAATAATGAGGGTTTGTCTCTCTCTCTGTGTTGGCGCTGCTGCGCTGCTGCCGGCCTACGGCCTCAAGCTCGTGGAGGACTCCAAAACCCTAAACCCTAAACCCTCGGACGAGGGTTTAGGGTTTGAGGGACCGCAGCAGCAGCTGCAGCAGGAGGCGGTAGATGAGGCGCAAGCAGCCACCCCAGCAGCAGCAGCAGCAGCAGCAGCAGCAGCAGAGGCGCAGCTCTTTGCAGAGGCAGCAGCAGCAGCAGCAGACGACGACGACGCAGCAGCAGCACAGAACTTCGCCGACGCAGCAGCAGAAGCAGCAAATCAGGCAGCAACTCTGGCAGCAGCAGCAGCAGCAAATGAGGAAGACCAGCAGCAGCAGCAGCAGCAGCAGCAGCAGCAGCAGCAGCAGCAGCAGGAGTCGATTCACATATTTGCTCCTCGGCAGTTCCGCTTCGCCGACCCCGCGAGCGGGAAAGCCCTGACGGTTTACTTCCACAACACATTCGGTAAACCCTAAACCCTAAACCCTAAACCCTAAACCCTAAACCCTAAACCCTCGTTTGGAGAGCCGAGCTGTAGCGCGGGCGTTTCCGCGCGGACTCTGCGGAAGCAGGCTCTCCCCGCGCCCGCCCGCGAGCCCGTAGAGTTGGGGTTTAGGGTTTAGGGTTAGGGTTTAGGGTTTAGGGTTTAGGGTTTAGGGTTTAGGGTTTGCGCGCAGAGCCGTTTGACTGGCTGAGCTGCTCGGCGCTGCACTCCTTGCCGAGTGTATGCAGCCAGCACCCGCGGTGTACGTACACCTCGGGGGCGGCGGGCGGGGGCGGGAAAGCCGGCGGAAATGAAGACTTTTCGTCATTTGATTTAATTTTAAAAACTAAAAATAATTTAATTTCAAATTTAAATCCCAAAAGAATTCAAAACGGCGGCTGTTTCCTCTCGAACGCCTACTTGGCGCTCGCCGCCGACTCCCTCTGCGACCGCGCTGTACGTACACCCCAAACCCTAAACCCTATTTTAGGGTATAACGAACTCAAGGCTGTCGTCATTGACGCAATGCAAGAACTGGGGGCGGATCCCGAGCCCCTGTTGGTGGCTCTCGAGGAGGCCGGAGCAGCAAACCCTCAAAGCATCTGCGGACTCGTCAAAGTAGGGTTTAGGGTTTAGGGTTTAGGGTTTAGGGTTTGGGGTTTGGGGTTTCGCGGGCGGCGGCGAGCTCGAGGAGCCGCTCTGCGGGCTTCACAAGCGCCAGGCGGGGACTGGCAGCTGCAAGGGTTTAGGGTTTGGGGTTTGCTTAGGGTCTAGGGTCTAGGGTTTAGGGTTTAGGGTTTAGGGTTTGGGGTTTAGGGTTTAGGGTTTAGGGTTTAGGGTTTGGATTGTTTCAGGAGCTGGCTACGGAGTTGCTGGCGACGGAGCGGAACTTGCAGCCGCTGCCAGAGGGCGCAGTGGTGGAAACCCTAAACCCTAGCGAGGGTTTAGACGAGGGTTTAGGCGAGGGTTTAGACGAGGGTTTATCCTCTGACTTCTTCGAGGGTTTAGCAGAGTCTTCTTTAGGGTTTGTTGCAGGAAGGGGTTCTGCAGCCAAGGGTTTAAACTCCCCGCGGCTCGTAAACCCTAAACCCCACCTGCAGATGTACTCCAGCAGCGCCAAACCCGCAACGGGTGAGCGAGGGTTTAGGGTTTAGGGTTTAGGGTTTCTAGCTAGGGTTTAGGGTTTGCTGACAAGGGTTTAGGGTTTAGGGCTGTTTCGTTGTTTGTGGGCGTTTTCCTCGGCTGCTGCAGCGGCGGTGCCAGTATATGCGATTTGGTGGGACAGGGTTTAGGGTTTAGGGTTTAGGGTTTAGGGTTTAGGGTTTGTGGGCAGCAACGGCTACGGGAACTGAGCCAAGAATTCGCATAGGCATTAATGGCTTTGGGCGAATTGGGCGATTGGTGTTTAGAATTGCAAGCAAAAGAAAAGACATGGTGGGCGAGGGTTTAGGGTTTAGGGTTTAGGGTTTAGGGTTTAGGGTTTAGAGGCGAGCGCGAGTTCAGATCCCAATCAAAACGCAACTAAAAAGCATCAACGTAATCAAATTAAATTAATTAAATTAATTAAATTAAATTAAATTAAATTAAATTAAATTAAATGAATTTATTTCCAAGCGGTGACTCACATAAACTCTAAATCCATTTCAAATTAAAACACCAAATAGAGCATCAAATTAAATCATTTTAAATCAGTTTAAATCAATTTTGAATCAAATTAAATCAATTTAAATGAATTTAAATGAATTGAAGTGAATTAAAATGAATTAAATGAATTAAAATGAATTAAAATGAATTAAAATGAATTAAATGGATTTAAAAATGAAGTAAAATTGGTTTAAATGGGCTTTTTCAGGCAGTGACGCACAAAAACTCAAATATTAATCAAATTTAAGTGCCATTTGGACCAAAAAAGACCAAATTAAAAGAATTAAAATGAATTAAAATGAATTAAATTAAATTAAATTAAACTAAATTTAATTAAATAAATTAAATTTAATGTAATTTAATTTAATTAAATGAATTAAATAAAAGAATTGCATTAATTGGACTGTTCAGGCGGTGACGCACGTAAACTCGAGGATATTAATCAAATTAAAGCACCATTTGGACCAAAAAAGGCCAAATTGAATGAATTTAAATGAATTTAAATGAACTAAAATGAAATAAATTAAATTAAATTAAATTAAATTAATTAAATTAAATGAATTAAATAAAAATGGAACTGTTCAGGCGGTGACGCACATAAACTCGAGCCTGTCTGCGGAGTACTTGGCGTACTTAATAAAGCACGACTCCGTGCACGGGCGCTTCAAAGGCCAAGTGGAAAGCAAAGATGGAAAATTATTTTTTGGAAATAATGAAATAAAACTTTCGCAAGAAAGAGACCCTTCTAAGATCAGGTGGACAGACACCTCAGCGGACTTCGTTTGCGAAAGCACTGGCGCTTTTTGCACCTTCGAGCTCGCCAGCCAGCACGTCGACAGGTTCGTTTTTTCCTCATTTTTGCGATTTTTTTCCTTTTTTTCTTCTTTTTTTCTCCTTTTTTCTCCTTTTTAACTCCTTTTTCGCACTTCTTTTCTTCTTTATTCCTTTTCTTTCTTTTCTGCGCTTTTTGCGGAACTTTTCGGCTTTTTTCCGCCGTTTTTGGCCTCCAAATGCGCCCGGGGGGGTTTACTGCTTTTCGGCTTTTTTTTCTTTTTCATCCAATTTAAATGCCCTTTTTAATGCTTTTCTTTCTTTTTTTAACTCAGTTTGAATGCCCTTTTAATATACTTTTCTTTCTTTTTTAATCCAATTTAAATGTCCTTTTTAATTCTTTTCATTCCTTTCCTTTATCCAATTTAAATGCCTTTTCAATGCTTTTCTTTCCTTTTTTTGACTCCATTTAATTGCCTTTTTAGTGCTTTTTCTTTCTTCTTTTGTTCCAATTTAAATGCCTTTTTAATGCTTTTCTTTCTTTTTTAATTCATTTCGAATGACCTTTTAAAATACTTTCTTTTTGATCCAATTTAAATCTCTTTTTTAATTCTTTTCACTCCTTTGTTTCTTTTTCCGAATCCACTGCTGCTGCTATACTTTCCGCGTTCCCCCTGCCGCCAGTTCCCGTGCTGCTGCTGCTGCACCTGCTGCTGCTGCACTTGCTGCTGCTGCTGCACCTCCTGCTGCTGCACCTCCTGCTGCTGCACCTCCTGCTGCTGCTGCTCCTCCGCCTGCTGCTGCTGCTGGACCTCCTGCTGCTGCACCTCCTGCTGCTGCACCGCCTGCTGCTGCACCTCCTGCTGCACCTGCTGCCGCTGCACCTCCTGCTGCACCTGCTGCTGCTGCACTTGCTGCTGCTGCTGCTGCTGCTGCTGCTGCTGCAGGCCTGGGGGTGCGCGTCACGTGGTGATATCGGCTCCTGCGAAGGACGAAGTGACTCCGACTTTGGTGGTTGGCGTAAACGCGGAAGCAAATTATTCTCCGGAGATGAAAGTTGTGTCTTGTGCTTCTTGCACGACAAATGGATTAGCTCCTTTATTGAAAGTTTTGGACGAGAACTTCGGGATAGAAGAGGGTTTAATGACGACAGTGCATGCAGTGACGAGTTCGCAGAAGACCGTGGACGCGGCCAGCAGCGGCAGCAGCAAGGCCCGCAGCAGCAGCAGCAGCAGCAGCAGCAGCAGCAGCAGCAGCAGCAGCAGCAGCGCGTGGCGCAGCAACCGCGCAGCAGGCAGCAACATAATTCCCGCAGCAACGGGAGCAGCAAAAGCCATTGCCAAGTGCCTGCCGCAGCTCAAGGGGAAGATAACGGGAATGGCAGTTAGAGTTCCGACTTTAGATGTTTCTTTAATAGACTTGACTTGCAGACTGCAGCGCAGCAGCAGCTACGAGCAGCTGCTGCAGACTGTTGCTGCTGCTGCTGCTGCGGGGCCCCTCAGGGGCCTCCTGGGCTACACGGAGCAGCCAGTGGTGTCTTCAGATATTATCGGCACTGAGTGCAGCACTGTCTTCGACGCTACTGCGGGTTTAATGCTAAACCCTAATTTTGTAAAACTCATTTCTTGGTATGACAACGAGGCTTCTTATGCCGCCAGACTTGTCGATTTAATTGCAATAATGGCGGCCAAAGACGGGATTGTCGAGCCGGGAGTGGGGCTGAATCGCAGGACTTTCGACGAGGAGTGAACCCAAACCCTAAACCCTAAACCCTAATTTAGGGTTTGGGCGCGGCGGCCAAGTCGGGGCTTCTTATGTGGCACTGTCGAGCCGGGTGGGGGGCTGAATCGCAAGACTTTCGACGAGGAGTGATCCCAAACCCTAAACCCTAAACCCTAATTTAGGGTTTGGGCGCGGCGGCCAGGGCCGGGATTCTTTTGTGGCACTGTCGAGCCGGGAGGGGGGCTCAACCGCAAGACTTTCGACGAGGAGTGAACCCAAACCCTAAACCCTAATTTAGGGTTTGGGCGCGGTGGCCAGGGCGGGGATTCTTAGGTGGCGTTGTCGAGCCGGGAGGGGGGCTCAACCGCAGGACTTTCGACGAGGAGTGAACCCAAACCCTAAACCCTAAACCCTAATTTAGGGTTTGGGCGCGGCGGCCAAGTCGGGGCTTCTTATGTGGCGGACGCGTCGGTTCAACTGCAATTACGGCGAGACTGAAGAGCCTGGAGTCGGGCTCAACCGCAAGACTTTCGTTGAGGGGTGATAAACCCTAAACCCTAATTTAGGGTTTGGGGTGCGTGGCCGGCTCGATTCAATTGCAATTATGGCTGCCAAAGACGGCATCGTCGAGCCGGGAGTTGGGCGGAGCCGCAAGACTTTTGAGGAGGAGTGGTAAACCCTAAACCCTAATTTAGGGTTTGGGGTGGGTGGACAACGGGAGGCTTCATATGGTGCCACACTTGTCGGTTTAATTTCTGTTAGGGCTGCCAAAGACGGGATTGTGGAACCGAGAGTTGGGTTCAACCGCAAAACTTTGGATGAGTAAAGCCTAAACCCTAAACCCTAATTTAGGGTTTGGGGTGGGTGGCCAAGTCGGGGCTTCATATGGTGCCAGACTTGCCTATTTAATTGCAATTAGGGCCACCAAAGAAGGGATTGTGGAACCCGGAGTCGGGCTCAACCGCAAACCCTTCGACGAGGAGTGATAAACCCTAAACCCTAATTTAGGGTTTGGGGCCGCGGTTTGGGAACGGTTCGCAAGAGGCAGCTAGGCGCTGCCCTGCAGCAAACCCTAGTTCGGAAGAAATGGAATTAAACAACAAAAGTGTAAAAGTGGGTTTTTTCAAATCTGAATGGTCAATAGAAGTCCAATTAAACATCAAATAAATAGAATAAAAGAGTTTAGAGACAATTTAAAATGAAAAACAATAAAAACAAATGTAATAGATATTCCTAAGAGGCTCTTCGCCGCGGGGTAATAACGCAAAAAGTCCCTTTTTGAAGGAGCCCTTGAAGCCCCTGAAATGAGGACTTTTGTTTGCTATTATTTTCTAAAATATAAATTAAATTAAAACTATTAAATGCTGAAATTGCAAATTATAATTCATTTGATTTTTTCAGCATTTCGCAATTCGCTCGCGGGCCCGCGAGGTGTACGTACACCCGAACGCATGCACCCAAATGCCACTTACGAACCCACCGACGCAAACGTCGAATTAATGATCAATTAAATCAATTAAACCTTTTAATTCTCCAAAAATGCAAAATAAAATACTTTTTGGAGTTGAAAATATCCAAAAATGCCCAAAAGTGTCTTTAATGAAAAGGTTTCCAGACTTGAGGTGTACGTACACCTCAAGCTGCGCAGCCTGTACACCCGAGATGCCCGAAATGAATAAATGAATCCGTCAGCCGGTGAATCAATAAATAATAAATAAAGTAAATAAATAAATAAATAAATAAATAAATAAATAAATAATAGTAACTATTTACTATTCATTCCTTCCTTTTCCTTTCTCTTTTGCTGCTCATGCAAAGGAGGAGGGATGCAGCAGCAGCGCAGCCCCACCTGCTGCGGGGCCCGACAGTCTGAAGGCAGCAGCAGCAGGAGCTGCTTCGTTGCAGCAGCAGCAGCAGCAGGAGCTGCTTCGTTGCAGCAGCAGCAGCAGCGCCAGGGTTTGCTTTGTTGCAGCAGCAGCAGGGGTTGCTTTGTTGCAGCAGCAGCAGGGGTTGCTGTGTTGCAGTAGCAGCAGGTTGCAGCAGCAGGTGCTGCTTCGCAGCAGCAGCAGCAGCAGCGTCAACAGCAACAGGTGCTGCTGCGCTGCAGCAGCAGCAGCAGAAGCAGCAGCAGCAACAGGTGCTGCTGCGCTGCAGCAGCAGCAGGGGCTCTGGCGGTGCGCTTGTAAGGGGGCGCCCGAGTGACTGAATGAGAGCTACATGCTGGGCAACCTCTTTTTGTTAGGGTTTAGGGTTTAGGGTTTAGTGGTTAGGGTTTAGGGTTTAGTGTGTGGGTTTAGAGTGTAGTGTTTAGGGTTTAGTTCGTGTTTAGGGTTTAGTGTTTAGGGTTTAGGATTTAGTGTTTAGGGTTTGGGTTTAGTTTTTGTTTAGGGCTCAGAATTTAGGGTTTAGCTTTTGATCAGGTTTAGGGTTTAGCTTCTGCTTAGGGTTCGGGGTTTAGCGCTTTTTTAGGGTTTAGGGTTTAGGGCTTAGGGTTTAGGGTTTTTGTTTAGGGCTAAGGGTCTGGGGTTCGCCTTCTGGTTAAGGTTTAGTTTTCAAGGTTCAGGGTTTAAGGTTTTGTTCTTGTTTAAGGTTTAGGGTTTATTCTGTCTAGGGTTTAGGGTTTAGGGTTTAGTTTCCCTCTAGGGTTTAGGGTTTAGGGTTTAGTTTTTGTCTGCAGTTTAGGGTTCAGGGTTTAATTTTCGCTGAGGGTTTAGGATTGTTGATGGTTTAGGGTTTAGGGTTTAGTTATCCTCCTGGCGTTTAAAGTTTGTGGTTCAGTTCGCCAAGGGTTTAGGGTTTAGGGTTTAGGGTTTAGAGGTGTAAGAACTGGGCGCTGAGGTGTACATACACCTGGATCTAAATCTGCTGCGCCGGTGTTTGACGAGGTGTATGTACACCTCAAAGGCATAATTTGAACTGCAGCAGCAAAATGAAAAAAACATTTTTATTTTTATTTCCTTTTTCGGTTTGCTGCAGTGCTGCTGCAGCGCTGCTGCAGCACTGCAGCAGCACTGCAGCAGCAGCAGCAGCAGCTTCTGGGGAAGTTGAATTCGAAGTTATGAAAGGGTTTAAATGAATTTTTCATTTCTAATTAATTTTAATTAATAAAAAATGAAATATAGTGAAAAGTAGCAGCAAAAATGCAGCAGCGCAGCTGCTGCATTTTTGCTGCAGCAGCTGCTGCTGCTGCTGCTGCTGCTGCTGCTGCTGCATGCTGCATGCAGCAGCAGCAGCAGCAGCAGCTGCAGCGGCGGAGGCTTCCTGGGGCCTTTTCGGCGTAGTGTACGTACACTGCATCTGGTTAAGTAATTAACTCTTTTATTTATTTGGTGTTTCTCTTTTGGATTCTTTTCCCGAGATTTTGCTGCTGCTGCAGCTTCTGCAGCAGCAACAGCAGCAGCAGCAGAGAGGCAGCAGCGTCAGCAGCAGCAGCAGCAGCAGCAGCAACCTCAACAGCAGCAGCCAACTGGTCAGCAGCAGCAGCAGCAGCAGCAGCACACCGCCATGGAGGCCGCGGGTCCCGCGGATGCTGCTCCAGCAGCAGCAGCAGCAGCAGCAGCAGCAGGCAAGGGAGCAGCAGCAGCAGCAGCAGAGGAGCAGCAAAAACGAAGAAAGACCAGATGGGAGCGAGTGAGTTGTGGAGTGTATATACACCTCAGACACCATTTGCTGCCACAAGTCGGAGGCTCTTCTAGCTTATTGAGTTGCTGCTGCTGCTGCTGCTGCTGCTGCTGCTGATTCTGCTGCTGGTAATGATTCTGCTGCTGCTGCTGATGGTTCTGCTGCTGCTGCTGATTCTGCTGCTCTGCTCTCTTTTCCGCTATTGCTGCTATTAATGGTACAGCAGCTGTTGCTGATTGTGCTGCTGATTACGCTGCTGCTGCTGCTGCTGAATCTTCTGCTGCTGCTGCTGCTGCTGCTGCTGCTGCTTGTGCGCCATGGCTGCTGCTGTTGGGGTGTACGTACTGCGCTTAGGACGGCACAGCCGATAATGCAGCAGCAGGAGCTGCTGCTGAGGCTCCCGCTGCTGCTGCTGCTGCTGCTGCTGCAGCTCCGGGAGCAGCAGCCCCTGCAGCAGCAGCAGCAGCAGCAGCGCCGGCAGCAGCAGGTGCAGCGGGGGGCCTGAAGCTGCCTTTCAGCATTCAAGCAGCAGCAGCAGCAGCAAGAGAAGCTTTGGAGAAGGCGAAGAAGGCAGCTTCGCTGCAGCGGCAGATTCAGGAGCAGCTGAAGCAGCAGCAAGCAGCAGCAGCAGCAGCAGCAGCAGCAACAGCAGGCGCTGCGTCTGGCCCCTCCCTTGCTGCTGCAGCAGCCGTTGCAGCAGCAACTCCCAGCACCACGAGCCCAGCAGCAGCAGCAGCAGCAGCTGCTGCTGCTGCTGCTCTTGCTGCGCAGCAGGCGAAGGCGAGCACGGGGCAGCTGACGGCGGGGATCGGGGCGACGAACCCGCTGCTGCAGCAGCAGCTGCTGCTGCTGCAGCAGCAGCAGCAGCAGCAGCAGCGGCGGCGGCAGCAGCAAGAAGAACAAGAAAGAGAACTTTTGAAAAAAAGTAAACCCTTGAGGTTCGATCGCTTCGGAAGAGAAGTCGACAGCGAAGGAAACTTAGTTGCTGCCAGACCCATTCTCCACTCCAGCCTCAAGATCAACCGCAGGCAGCTGCAGCAGCAGCAGGTACCTGCTGCTGCTGCTGCTGCTGCTGCTGCTGCTGCTGCTGCTGCTGGGGCTGCTGCTGCTGCTGCTGGGGCTGTGGCTGTGGCTGTGGCTGCTGCTGTGGTGGCTGCTGCTGCTGTGGCTGTGGCTGTGGCTGTGGCTGCTGCTGTGGCTGTGGCTGCTGCTGCTGTGGCTGCTGCTGTGGCTGCTGCTGCGGCTGCTGCTGCTGCTGCTGTGGCTGCTGCTGTGTCTGCTGCTGCGGCTGCTGCAGCAAGTTGTGGTGGTGGCTGAGGTGTTGCGGCTGCTACTGCTGTTGCTGCTGCTGTTGGTGCGCCTGCTGCGGACGCTGAGGATCTGCTGCTGCTGCAGACGCTGCTGCTGCTGCTGCTGTGCTGCTGCTGCTGCTGCTGCTGCTGCAGGCTGCTGAGACTGCGTATGAAGACCCAACCACTTGCCCGTGGTATGACCCAACAATTCAAACCAAGACAGCTAGAAACCAGGTATTGCTGCTGCTGCTGTTGCTGCTGCTGCTGCTGCTGTTGCTGCTGCTGCTGCTGTTGCTGCTGCTGCTGTTGCTGCTGCTGCTGCTGCTGCTGCTGCTGCTGCTAGTGATGCTGCTGGATGTACGATATGCTGCAGCAGCTGTAGGTGTCTTGCTGCTCAGCATGTTTGCTGCTGCTTGCTGCTGCTGCTGCTGCCGCGTTGGCTTTCGCCGGTAGTACGGCTGCTGCGGCTGCTGCTGCAGCAATAACTGCAGCAGCAGCAGAAGCAGCAGCAGTCTTTCACTGCCCAATACCTACGGCGCGCTCTGCTGCTGCTGCTGCTGCTGCTGCTGCTGCTGCTGCTGCTGCTGCTGTTGCTGCTGCAGCGCAAGCGCAAGGCTCTGGAGTTTCTGCCTAAGGGACATTATGTGCGGCTGGAGGAAAACATGATTGCCTACCAGCAGCAGCAGCAGCAGCAGCAGCAGCAGCAAGCAGAAGCTGCAGCAGGAACAGACACAAAGACTGAAGTCTCCCCACAAGAGAAACTGGAGACTGCAGCACCAGATTTGGCAAGGATCTGGGTAACTTGCTGCTGCTGCAGTTGCTGCTGCTCTTTTTGCTGCTGCAGTTGCTGTTGTTCTTTTTGCTGCTGCTGCTGCTGCTGCTACAGCCGTTATTCCTTCTTTTGCTGTTCCCATTGCTGCTGCTGTTGCTGCTGCTGCTGCTGCTGCTGTCGCCGCCGCTGCTCCGTACCTCCCTGCTCCTCCTACCGCTGCTGCTGCTGCTGCTGCTGCTGCTGCTGTTGCTGCTGCTGCTGCTGCAGCTGTCGGACTGCCCTGCGGTGGAGCCATGGGATTTGGCTTTGTTAAAACAAACGAAGACGAAGGCTTACGAGATAGATGAGGTGCAGCAGCAGCAGCAGCAGCAGCAGAGCAGCAGCAGCAGCAGCAGCAGCAGAGCAGCAGCAGCAGAGCAGCAGCAGCAGCAGCAGCAGCGCAGCAGCAGCAGCAAAGACACCTAGCGCAGCTCAGGCGGCCATTAGGGGATATCTTTTTGCGGATTTTTTTGCGAATTACTGAACTACAAATGAATTAAATTAATTAATTAAATAATTAATTAATTTAATTAATTAATTAATTAAATTAATTAATTAATTAATTAATTATTTTATTTATTTATTTATTTATTCTTAGACAAAAATTGATGCTCTTATTGAACACCCGCCGCCCATAGTCACCGTCGCGAAGGGCGAGACCATTGTCAACATGTACTTGACCCCAGCAGAAAGGTAAACCCTAAACCCTAAACCCTAAACCCTAAACCCTAAGCCCTAAACCCTAGCGCCAGCATTTGCTGATAGTGCGGCGCTCTACCCCCTCGGTCGATGGCAGCGTCTGTTTGTTTAAGCTCTAGGGTTTAGGGTTTAGGGTTTGGTGCTCAGGGTCAAGGGCCTAGGGTTTAGGGTTTAGGGTTTAGGGTTTAGGGTTTATTTTGTGCATTTCCGAATGGATTTTTTTGCCGCGAACTGCGTAGACCCCCGTTTGTAATAATTTGGGGCGCAAACCCTAAACCCTAAACCCTAAACCCTAAAAGGTTGGTTAAGTAATTTTAATGTAATTGTTTTATTCTTTTTTTTTAATTCAGGACCCTTCGAAAACTGAAAAGAAAGTCCGCGAGCAAATGGCCGCGAGGGTTGAAGGCCACGAAAAGAGAAATCAAGAAAGAAAAAAAACAAAAGAGGAAAAAACAAAAAAGACAATTAATAAATGGAGGGTTTGTCATTTATTTATTTATTTATTTATTTATTTATTTATTTATTTATTTATTTATTTATTTATTTATTTATTTATTATTATTATTTGTTTGTTTGTTTGGTGGGTTAATTGGTCTGCGAGGGTTTGCTGCTCGCGGTTGGGCTTTCGAAGCGCTTTCTGGCGCTCTAGGGTTTAGGGTTTAGGGTTTAGGTTTAAGGGTTTAGGGTTTAGGGTTTAGGGTTTAGGGTTTAGGGTTTTGCGGTGCAGCTGAAGCAGAACAACTTGTGCAGCGTCGCTGTCTTCCGAGTCAAGTCTTTGGCGAACAAACGCCATTTGTTTAAGGTCAGAAACCCTAAACCCTAGAAAACCCTCGCGCGCGTCAAACCCCAAACCCTCGCAGCGAGCTGCTCTCAAAGCCCACTTCATCTATTTCAATTTAATTAATTTAATTCAATTTAATTAATTTAATTTCATTTAATTTAATTAATTTAATTAATTTAATTTAATTAATTTAATTAATTAATTAATTAATTAATTTATTTATTTATTTGTTTTCAGGTTGACACAAATGCCAAACAATTTCATGTCACTGGAGTTTGTGTTATTCCCCCCGCGCCTTTCTGGAATGTAATTGTCTTCGAAGGTAAATTAAATATTTATTTTATTTATTTTATTTTATTTAATTAATTTAATTTAATTAATTTAATTAATTTAATTAAATTAGTTTAATTAATTTAGTTAATTAAATTAATTTAATTTAATTAATTTAATTAAATCGGTTTAATTAATTTAATTTAATTGTCTTCGAAGGTATATTAAATATTTATTTCTCTATTTTATTTAATCAATTTAATTTAATTTAATGAATTTGATTTAATTAATTTAATTAATGTAATTAATTTAATTCAATTTAGTTAATTTAATTGAATGAGTTTAATGTAATTAATTTAATTTGTCTTCGAAGGTCAATTAAATATTTATTTTATTTATTTAATTTAATTTATTTAATTCAATTTAATTAATTAATTTAATTTAATTTAATTAATTTAATTTAATTTAATTAGTTTAATTTGATGAATTTAATTGATTTAATTGATTTAATTGATTTAATTAATTTAATTTAATTAATTTAATCAATTTTAATTAATTAAATTAAATTAAATTAAATTAATTGTATTAGAAGGGAAATTAAATATTTATTTAATTTATTTAATTAATTTAATTAATATAATTTAATTAACTTAATTGAACTTAATTAATTTAATTTAGTTTAATTCGATTTGATTTAATTAATTTAATTTAATTAATTTAATTTGATTAAATTAGTTTAGTTTACTTAATTTAATTTAATTATCTTCGAAGCTAAATTAAGTATTTAATTGATTTAATTAATTTAGTTAATTTAATTAATTTAGTTAACTTAGTCTAATCGATTTAATTAATTTAATTAATTTAATTTAATTCAATTTGATATGATTAATTTAATTACATTAAATTAGTCTAATTTAATTCATTTAATTTGTCTTCGAAGGTATATTCAATGTTTAATTAATTAATTTAATTAATTTAATTTAGCATAGTTTAATTAATTTAATTTCATTAATTTCATTAATTAAATTAAATTAAAATTTATTCATTTAATTAACTCAACTAATTATTTAATTTGATTTAGTTCAATTGACCCAATTAATTTACTTTAAGTAATCTAATTTAATTTAATTCAATTAGTTAAATTAAATTAAATTTAATTAGTTTACTTGTGTTCACTTGAATTAATTTAATATAATTTAATTAATTATTTAATTCGATTTAATTTCATTGATTCAATTTATTTAATTTAGGTAATTTAGTTTAATTTTATTTTATTTCATTTTATTAATTTAACCAATTCAATTTACTTAAACTCAATTTAATTTAATCAATTTAGTTAATTCAAATATTTAATTTGATTAATTAAATCAATTAATTATTCAAAAAGGTAAAAAGTTTTGAACGAAAAAGGTTTAGAATGAAAACATTCAAATAAATAAAAAGGATTTAAAGAAATAAAAGATTCAAATAAATAAAAAGGATTTAAACAAATAAAAGATTCAAATAAATAAAAAGGACTTAAAAAAAAAGAGACAAAAAATAAATAAAAAGGATTTAAACAAATAAAAGATTCAAATAAATAAAAAGGATTTAAACAAATAGAAGACTAAAATAAATAAAAAGACTCAAATGGATTAAAAGGTTTAAATAAAAAAGATTCAAAAGATGAAAATCAAAAAACAAAATTTGAATAAATAAAATTAAAATTAAAAAATAAAAAATTAAACCAAAAGTGCACTTTTTGGGGGTCAAAATTTTCAATTTTTTTCGATTTTTTTCAATTTTTTTAAATTTTCTTTGATTTAAAAGCTAAATAAACCATTTTTTGAATTAGAATTGAATTTGAATTGAATTGGAATTAAAAATGGATTCAAAATGGAGAAAAATGAATCAAAAATGAATTAAAATGAATCAAAATAAATTAAAATGAATTAAAATGAATTCAGGATCGAACAAATCGATAAAGCGGCTGAAGGCGCTGATGCTGCGGCGGATAAAATGGGTGGAGGCGGAGTTAGGGGGCGGGGGGCTCGAAGAGGTGAATTAAAAACGCGAAAAGTGGCCAAAAAAAGGTCTTTTTGGACGAAATTTAATCCAATTGAAGAGTTTTTAATTCTCTATTCGTTTAGATTTTATTCTGCTTCGCAATTTGCTCCAAATTCCAGAAAAAATGAGCTCAAAGTGGTGCCGGGAAGCCCCAAAACAGAGTTTTCAGAAAAGGGGTTTTAAGTGATTAGGTGCAGTTAGTTTTCATTCGTTTGAATTAATTTAAATCATTTTTAATTAATTTAAATTAGTTTAAATTAAATCAATTCTGCATCCAAATTGCATTTAAATTGCTTTTAAATTGCATTTAAATTGCTTTTAAATTGCATTTAAATTTATTTTAAATTTCTTTTTTTTTAAATTTTTTTTTTCAGGATTCGGATGAAGAGGAAGACACCCAAGAAGAAGCCTCGAGAGAAGAATGCTGTCTTTGCTGGAGTGTAAATTTAATTTTAATTTAATTAAATTAATTAATTTAATTTAATTTAATTAATTAATTTAATTAAATTAATTAATTTAATTTAATTAATTTAATTTAATTAACTTAATTTAATTAATTTAATTTGATTTAATTAGTTAGATTGAATTGAAATGGATTGAATTGAAGGAGTGGAAAGAACGGAAGAAAAAGAGATTGAACTTGTGGAGTCAAATTAAATAAAATTAAATTAAATTAAATTAAATTAAATGTTTATTATTTATTTATTGTGTTTATTTGTTTATTTACTTATTT